TCGTAGCTAGGGGAAGTATCGACAAGATACTAAGTATACTTATAGAAGAGCCTATTACCGAACGAGACAGACTAGAGATAGAAATTTCAGCTCGCTTTATCCTTAGAGCTACTTGTTTAAGGATCCTATTATTAATAAGGACGGAGCCGGCTTTCTAAGCGGCCTAGCGAAGAATAGAGATGCGTAAGGCCTAGAGAGTAAGGCAGTAGTATATAGTAACCGAAAGTCGGTTTAAACACTAGATACGCGTTCTAGCTAGGCTAGAGAAGGAGATGTTAAAGCATTTACTATAAGCCTAAAATCTGAAGTAATTTGGTTTTTCTAATTTTCGTAGTCGGCAGGTATAGTCGGCAGGTATTATTAGCTATAGAAGGAGATATCGAAGTACTTACTGTAAACTCCTAAATTAATTTGCTTTTTCCTAATTCTCGTAGTCGGCAGGTATAGTCGGCAGCTATTGTTAGCGAGTTCAGGCAGTACGGTATATACGAGGCTTATTACTGTTCTAGAAGCGCTTACTATATTTATTCTATATCTAGAAGAGGTTTTACGTAATACCTATCGCAATACCTATTAGGTATACCTATTGGGTTTTTTCCGTTAGGTTGTACCTAGCTTATAAGCTAGGTACCTACCTTATTTGCGGGGTTAGGTATTAACGTTAGGTTGTACCTAACCTATACCTAACCCAACCTATAACGAGGCCTATCTGCCTACTGCTCTACCTACTACTCTACCTACTGCTCTGTCTGCTATACCGCCTACTACTACTATCGTTATAGCGCCGTTACTCGTAGCGCGCTGTAAGCTTTCAATCGCTAGAAAGGTACTACGAACATCTGGAAAGAGACTCCCTAGCGTAACGGGTAGGAAAGGGCTTCTATCCGTAGATATAAAGAAAAATCAAAAAAAGAGAGGTAGTAAGTATACCTAGTCGGCAGACGTAGTCGGTATATATAGTCGGCATATACTAACATTTCTTTTAGAGGGAGCTTTATAGGAGATCAAAAAATACTAGACGGAGGTTATAAACTATATCCTAAAGCTCGCGTTCGTATATATCGTTAGGGATACTATTATCCTTTTTACCGAAGACTACCTCCCTATACGGATCTAAGCGAGCGTACTCGGTATCCTCTAGGAATAGTACGAGAGTATAGTAACGAAAGTCTTTTCGTTAGCTAATCTTCTCGCTATCTACTATAAGCGAGTTATAGTAATAGCGAAAGATCTCGAATGTCTTCGTAGGCTGTTAAAGGAGTAGAATGTCTAGCTAGATAATTATATAGTTGCTCCCTATAGCTCTGGCCTAGTTAATCCGAGTACGATATATAAGCCTCGATCAAAGACGAAGAAGACGAAATCGAAGCTAACTCTAAAGAAGCCGACTGCGAAGAAGAGAAAGAAGACTCCCGCGTCCTTAAGCGAAGACGAGAGCTCAGATAATCCCGATAACCCTAGCGCTTAAACGGGTACTTAAACCGGTACTAGTAGCTAGATAGACGCTAATAATTAAGATCCTCCTAGTACCGATTAGGATAATAGCGATACCGGTAGCTAGATAGACGGGAACAATCAAGATCCTCCTAGTACCGATTAGGATAATAGCGACACCGGTAGCTAGATAGACAGTAACAATTAAGATCCTCCTAGTACCGATTAGGATAATGCAGATACTAGTAGCTAGACAGACAGGAATAATCAAGATCCTTCTAGTACCGATTAGGATAATGCAGATACTAGTAGCTAGACAGACGGGAACGATTAAGATCCTCCTAGCGCCGATTAGGATAATAGGGGTTTGAACGATTCAGACGGTAAGAAGCAGGCGACTATCGTAATTTCGAGCGGTAATAAGAGCTTAGAATACGATCTAGATACTAATCCTAGCGTTCAAACTAGTTATCCTCTAGCTAATAAGGAGAATACTTAGGACGATAATACAGTACCCCTAACGATAGAGGATGAATATCTCTAGGCTCTCCTCGATTATGTTAATGCTTAAGAAGAAGAAGACGAGGAGATAGCTTCCGAGAATTCAGATTTTCCTTTTAGGTAACTAGGTATACCGCTTAGTCAAGCAGATTTTCAGTATAGCGACGAGGATATAGGTACCTAGGATCAAGATATCTCGCTTAGCTAAGACTACAATCCTTTCGATTATCTAGATTTAGAGGAGATAGGTCCTAATTCTCTCTAGGAGAGTCGACCAGATATAGAGAGAGAGGATAAAGAAGAGGAGTCGTAGTAGGAGTTTGACGAGGAGATAATAGAATTAGAGGATATAGCAAGGGCAGCGTATACGGTAGCTATAGATTAAGCGAATAATCGGGGTACGTAAGAATTCGTAGCTAGAGGAAGTATCGATAAGATACTAAATATACTTATAGAAGAGCCTATTACCGAACGAGACAGACTAGAGACAGAAATTTCAGCTCGCTTTATCCTTAGAGCTACTTGTTTAAGGACCCTATTATTAATAAGGACGGAGCCGGCTTTCTAAGCGGCCTAGCGAAGAATAGAGATACGTAAGGCCTAGAGAGTAAGGCAGCAGTATATAGTAACCGAAAGTCGGTTTAAATACTAGATACGCGTTCTAGCTAGGCTAGAGAAGGAGATGTTAAAGTATTTACTATAAGCCTAAGATCTGAAGTAATTTGGTTTTTCTAATTTTCGTAGTCGGTAGGTATAGTCGGCAGGTATTATTAGCTATAGAAGGAGATGTCGAAGTACTTACTATAAACTCCTGAATTAATTTGCTTTTTCCTAATTCTCGTAGTCGGTAGGTATAGTCGGCAGCTATTGTTAGCGAGTTCAGGTAGTATAGTATATACGAGGCTTATTACTGTTCTAGAAGCGCTTACTATGTTTATTCTATATCTAGAAGAGGTTTTACGTAATACCTATCGCAATACCTATTAGGTATACCTATTGGGTTTTTTCCGTTAGGTTGTACCTAGCTTATAAGCTAGGTACCTACCTTATTTGCGGGGTTAGGTATTAACGTTAGGTTGTACCTAACCTATACCTAACCTAACCTATAACGAGGCCTAATAGTAGAGACTATAGCTTGCCGAATATATACTCGTTTAAAGGCTTATTTGCTTACTATAAGAAGTTCGGCTTCTACGATAGCTCTTCTTAACGTCGGTTGACCTTTAAGATAGGCGACTTTCTTAAGTATACGGCAGACGGCCGGATTATACGTATTAACCAAATATTCGTCTACTTATTCGACTAATAGCGTCGCCTATTTATAAAGACAACCCTATTGATTGTCGATCCCTCTACGCCTACAAGCGATCTAGTCCTCGGTCTAGGTTTCCGTCGCCTATACTCTACGAACGATACGGGCGTATATATTATCGGCCTTCTATCTATAGATAGCGAACAACTCTACGTTATACTAATTAATACCTACTAGGACAACGTCGTAGAGCTAGCTCGCGTCCTCTCTTAAGCGCAGAATTTCTTGTAGGCGCAATATACAGTCGCTTAGTTATAACTCTAGGTACGGTATATCCAAATATCGTACAATTATAAGCTAATGTTCCTCTACTAATATTACTAAGGCTCCGTTAGAGATAGATATTAAAACTCCTTCGAAGGTATATATACCTTATCAAGTTGTAGACGTAATAAGGTCTATTACTAATCCTCTCGGCTCGCAATAGCAGGTCTCCGCCCTAACTCTTCCTCTCCGCCCTAACTCTTCCTCTCTACTCCGAATCGACTCGATACTACTACCCGACTAAACTCGGTTCGACTCTTAACCTAATACGGACCTCGAATGTTAGAGGTATCCTAGGGCCCTAGACTCCCTAGATAGACAATAATATAGGCTCTAAAGGCTTAGTATAGAGTAACTTATATCGAAAAAGTTATTATAGTATTATCGGTATAGAACTTAACCCTTGTATAGATATCGGTTTATAATATTTAGAGTTAGTATATAGTAAGGGGGTGTCCGGTACTTAGTACGGAGTCGTATATAGAGACAATATACGGAGGGTAAGCGGATTGATAGCGGAGGTCTTTAATACGTAGTAGTAGGAGGGTATAGATATAGCTAGGACAAATATTAGGCTAACAAGCCGGGTACTAGGCATTAAGTACTAACCTATATATAATTCTAGTATACTAGACTAAGTATAGTATAAGCCTAAAGATTGTATTAGTACCTATATATTCTATATTAATATACGATCTTTCCTTTTATAGTATCAATATAGTATTTAATATAATACTATATTTATATAGTCTCGATTTAGATATAGTGTTAATACAAGTTTTTATTCTAATACAGGTTTTGATCTATACTGTGTTTATATAGTTATAACGATTATACAAATTATCTTCGATATAGAGTTGATATAGGCTTTTTAATAATACAACTTACTATATTAATACAGTTATTCGTAGAAACGCAACTAAGTACTAATACTATATCGATATATACTAAGCGTCTTATATATATTCTAAGCGACTACTATCTAACTATAACGCTAATACAACTCCGAGCCTCCTAAGGACTCTAGTAAGGTAGAAAAAAACTCCTACTATTTCTAAGTCCTATATGTTCTTTTATATAACCCTAGGATACCCCGTAACCCTAGAAGGTAGGAAGCCCGAGAAGCCTACCTCCTAGGGAGCCTAGGGAGCCCGAGAAGCCCTAGGGATATAGAGGAAGAGGGAGGATTAGGTAAGACTTCGGGATCCCGGTAGATTAGGTAAGATAATTAGGCCAATCGGAGCTTATTCCGCCGAGGTAACGTAGGAGGGTCAAAGTTGTCAAAGTTACCAAACTTCAATCAAAGTTGGAGGGGGTCAATAAAAGCTCAATCAAACTTGAGGGCACTGATTACATAATCAATCAAACTTTGGGCTTCTCGCAGGTTTGATTGATTGGGGACCACCCTGATCTCAATATGCACACTACGCTACACCAGAACGCTACGCTTCAGTCCTTTTGGCCAACAACTGTTCCGCTGGGTTTTTATCTACGCCTCATTTGAAAGGCCCTCGCTCTCTACATAGGACGCCATTCTCTCTTTCTTCACGTCACGGCTCGTAGCCTTAGCCTTAAGCGCCGCACGAATGTCCTCAACACTTTTGTGCTCCCATGCGCTGAACTCCAGACTGCTCAACGGCCACAGAGGCTTCGAATTGGCGTGTCGCATCCAAGTCTCGTTGTCCAGAGGTGCAGGCGAGGCGGTCATCGCATCTATGTCGTTCGCAAGCTCATGGCAGTAGGAATCTAGTGGCAAGTCGTTCACATCCATTCCGAAGGGGTTCTCCAACTCATGGCCGATCTGGGCGAGTCCTATGATGATGTAGCCAGCGTAGATCGTAGCTGGTATTGCAATCCACCCGAGTGTCGTCACCAGTTGGAATGGCAACAGGAGGACGTACGCCCAGGTGATTTGCGCGATGGAAATGCTGTACGCTACGGGAAGTGGTGTATTGACCACACGTTCCGTGCCGGTAAGCACATCACTCAAGCTGAGCATCTGGGTGTGCATCTGACCTTGATGCGATCCGATGGACATTGTGCCATTGTGGAACAGATTTTCAATGTATGTCGCCAAGTATGTGAGAATCTCCAGGGGTGTATTGCCCAGATTTTCCTTGGAGCGCTTGATCAGCTTCCGTGGATTCGATTCAGCCATTGGCACTCCGAGGAACTGGCCCACTGACTTCAGCTTGGAGTGTCTACGATCGTGCAGCTGTTCTTGTTCCGCATCACCAGCCAGAGTGTGCAAGTGTCCCAGGAGTGGAGCTAAATCCGGATAGTCCGTGGAAGGCTCAAATCGAAGATGATGCTTCAGAGCAACAGCGAATGCGTTGATAAGCTGAAGAGCTGCGAGCTTGGCCAATAAATCCTGCTTGCCGAGCGATTCGGACTCCTTGTGTCTCTCTCCACCATGCACCCAGATCAGTCTCGCCAGACTTCGACTGGCAAGGAGCAGCTGCGCCCAGTATTTTCGACCTTCGGTGAATCTCTCATAAGCAGTAGTGGAGCGGAAAGAAAGAGCTAGACCGACCACGAAACCCAGGACCGTCAGGAGAACAGAACCGACAGCAAGAGTATGCACCATCTTGTGTATGGTGGTGATCATGGTCGCCCAGATAGCCAGAAAGGAAAGTGGCAAAATCATTTTTGGCAGAATACTTCCATGCATCCGCATAAATCGTGGCCACTTTGAATGTCTGTTGACATCGCGCGGCCCTCGGAAATAGTCCTCCACATCGACATGGCGTTTCGTAGGATTGTGGTACATAGGCTGCGGCACGAACTTTGGCTCGTCTCTGCGGTTCAAGGGGGGCACACAATTTGGTGATGGCTCGGGGTTGCTTTGCTCGACTTGTCTTTCGGATATGACAGTCGCTTTCCTCTCTGGCATGGCCATGTCGATCGCTGCGACCGGATTCTGGCTGGTGGCCATGATGATGGTAATGGTACTGGAGATGCTGCTCGGTCTAGGCTGAATCGACTAGCTGCTGTCAATGAGTTCCCAGATTTGGTGCAGCCTGGATCTGCGTCGAAGTGTTAGGTCCATAAGGTAAGGTGTGTAAGGGAGAATCTGTCCGCTTCTCAGTCTCTCGCATTACGTGGGAAACCCGTTTTGTCCGTGGCTTTCGAGCCTGCCTCCTGGAAGTGACATTTTGGGAGGCAAGAGCAACAGCGACTGCCTAGCGCTGCTGTAGTGGGTCAAAATCTGGTGTTGGGCCTCTCTTTCCGCCTGAACACATAGTCGGGTGAGGTTGCTGTTCTGCCGACGGCTGGCTCTCAGCCTGCCATATTAGGTAGGTAACTAGGTGCATTAGGTAAGGGACCTACAGGTACATAGTATAGCAGGTTGACACCTTATCCAGAGCGAGGAAGGAAGATACCTTGGCGAGCAGATTGATATTACAGTAGATCTCGCGCTAGTCTGTTCCCAGTGAAGCATACAATTTCAGCCTTTGGGGAAGTGAAACAAAGTGTGGGAAGTCTACGTCGCTGAGAGCATCAAACGTTGTTGAACTACCTGGGTACCTGCCTGACCTTTGCGTCTTTGTGACCGGACAAGATCATTGAGTAGTCCCGTCTCAACAGTCTTACACTCCCCCGGCAACGATGAATGAGCAAATACGAAGACCAATCACCTTGTGCCTGTCGCTAGATGCGTGAGTATCGGTTATCGCTGTAGCATGTACGCCTCCTGCAACTTTTCCTGCACGCACCAGTGGACCAGGTAAGCTAGGCAAATGCATGAAAGTTTAGGAATGAAGTGTTTGTGATGCCAAAGCATGCCGACAAGAACGAAAGCATCTCGACCTCGGTCCGGCCAAGTCAAGGTCTCCACTCCCCGGATGGAAGTTCGGGACGCTGTGAGATGTATCACACTCATCTCGATTATTCTCAGAGGGAATGCATGGCAACTGGCCAGAAGGTGGCTCGGAACGAGCTAGACCGAGAGAGCGGTGGCTGCTGTGCTTGGCTTTGGGGCCTGAGCGAAGTAGTATAAAGGAACACCAGGCAGAGCAGGAGATTGGACGCAGCTGGATTTCTGGATTGCCAGACGCCCGAATGACTCGGCTTCATAGCAACTTGGAGGTCATAGTCATCCCACATCGAGCAGCCCGAGGACTGTCATATGTGTCGCGCTTGGAGTTATCCTCAGACCCTGGGGAAGAACGCCGTCTCATAGGTGTCTTTGGTTGTATGGAGATGTTGATGATGTTCGGTGAGCGCCCTATTCGAAGACAGCAACACACCACCTGGTAGACACCAATTATCAGCTCACCGCATTCGGATTTCTGGCTACCTTAGTCCTCCAAACCTTTTTGCCGATGTCCCAAACTGTAACAGATATGTATCATCATGATTCGTGCAATCGTTCAAAGACCATGAACAGATGTAGATGTATACCTAGGTATATTGGCACCAGGCCGTAAGGACCAGGTTAAGACATGGTCAGGCCCCGAATATACACCGCCCCTATCCGGGTCAGTTAAATAAAAGTCGTCGTCTTTCCTGTTGATATTGGGCATCTGGTTCACTCGCACTACAATTTCGATAGCTTCGACGGACGACCAAGCATACACAAGACGAAAACGATGTTTCCAAAGCTCGGCTACCTCTTCACTCTGCTCATGATAACGCAACTCGTTGTCGGTGACGGTATTTGCGGGCTTTATGGCCCTATATGCCAAGCATGCAGTCCAAACAACAACCCAAACAGTATGTGATGGAACATGTGTACAAAGAATTTTTACTGATGCTGTAATCTAGAAAAGGGATACTGCCATACTGAGGATGGTGGAGCCGATCATGGCTACAAATGCGTTGAACAAAGCTGGTGTCATTAGCAGAGAGGTGGATAGCGACAGCACAACATCACGACAATGATCAGGCATTTCGGGACAGAGAGTAAGGTACCTGTACCTACCTTACAGTACCGTATGGAAGGAAAGTGCATACGGCTAATATGTTGGCATATTCGTGCTAGATCAGAGCATTCGACAGAAACAATGTATGGGGGCTTGCGCCCGATCAATTCTTTGTCCAGTACCTACATACCATAGGTAGTCAGGTATAGGTACCAGGTACAGTACCTAAGTTATAGATATGTATCCATCCTGTTGGTTATCGTCCGTGTCGTCCTTCTCTGTATTGTCAACTGCACAGCAGTTCATGCAGCTTGGTAAGTCCAGGTACAGTAGCTTACGCCATTTAATGTAGTCGAAAGTACCTAGTGCCAATAGATGGAATACATGCAGCTGCCGGGCGTCGAGTGTGGAGGCAAAATCATGATCGCGTGGCTTTGTGTGCTTCACTTGGCGTCGCAATCATGGAGACGATAGGAGGTAGAGTGGACACAAGACGATCAGCACTAATAAATGCTGTCAAATGGTCCAGACGCCAGTCTCCAGGTGTATGGTGGAGGTACCTCCTAGGAGGTAGGGGCGGAGAAAGAGCTTCGGGAAGCGGGAAGCGGGAACCGAGCGAGCGAGCGAGGGAGAAGTGGTGCTCAACCTACATGTACCTCCTACCTCCTTCCTAAAGGCGAGCACATGCCGTCGCCGGCATTTTCATGCAGCAGATTATTATTCGGATATTCCGCACCACGAAGTGGCAGGGGTTCGCGATCATGCTCAATCTGCCGCAGCCCGCAGGTGCAGAGGTATGTATGTTACCGACTTACCTGGGTGTCAACTTAAGTGAATCCAGGGTTGTACCACTGGCAATTGAGAGTCGAGACCTGTGAGAGAGCTATGAAAGCCTGAAAGGAGTCCGAAAGCCTCAAGCCGTCACGACCCATCCATACTTTACCGTCAGCACACGTGCCGGGCGACGCACAGGGGGCTACCCTACAGTTTGAAGAGCGACAGTGTTGGAATACGCGGAATACGGGGCGCCTGGTGTTGGTGAAGTGTAAGAGTGTGGCGCGGCATCCCTTTGACGACCGTGGTACACTCGTACTACACTGTCTACACACACGTACGCAAGGCGGACGTGCGAAAATGTACCTTAGCTGTCTAAAATTGGCGTCCGGGATAAACTGGCTCGAGACCGGGGGGGCTGAGCTGCTGAAACGAGCAACGATTCCAGCCAAAGTTCGAACCTGCCAGAAGCGGTCGTAAACCCTTTTACAGGTACCGTACAGCGTTATTGCTTTCATCATGACTAAGGGACAAAGTACCGAAGCATTGCGAGCTGGCATTCATGTACATGTACCTAGGTACATCTTAGGTTTTGCTGTATGCATATGACTTCTTCGTATAGCACAAGCATCACTTTCATGCACACTGCCGCGCTTACATGTTGAGTGAGACTGCGGCGCTGGAGTACAGTAATCATAACACTACAAAGGACGTCTGCGATTTATGCCCACTAGAGTCTAGGGCAGTGTTCCATCGCCGTGGTACCATCTTCCACTTTAGGCTAGCCGTCCTGATCCTCGCTGTACGGCCATCCATATACCTCCTACATGCCTACAACCATGGGTCCAGTCGCATCAAGATCAAGCAGTCGAACATAATGACGGCCTCACCAAAGTAGCACTCTCTGATGTGCCATGTGTGTGGGATTTATTACGTCTCTCCCCAGCTGTGACCATTCCGTGTGTGAGACCTTTGAACAGCCATACCAACATCGAGGACACCTCAGTGTCAACTGTCAAGTACGGGAATGTAAGGTAAGGTAATACTCGAATTAAGGTGTCCAGTCAATAAGGTGGTCATACCACCAGACCCCTGCATAATAACAGGAACCCGCCGGGATTCACCAACAACGGAAGCTGACGTCCCCTATCTTAGCAGCTGCACCCGAGCGCTCGCCCCACTTACCCACGTCCGCCCGTCTTTGTCCCTGTCGTTATAAGTCCCGTCCCCGTCCCTCTCGCAGAGGACAAGTGGCAGCTCTCGGACTTTCTTCAGCAGGCGCCAGCGCTCAGCGGCCTCAACTACAACCAACTCATCACCATCACTTCCGCCGTCAACATCACCACCACCACCACCACCACCGTCTCATGGTTGCCGGCTATCTCGCGCACTCCATCGATTCATGATCCACGACTGCCCCACGCACTCCACCACACAGCATTTCTTGCAGCACCTACCAAGCCAGAGCACCATGTCCGACAAGTACCTGAAGATGGAAGACGTGCACCGCGCCGCCTCGTCGGCCTCACCCACACCATCGGCGCCTGAACAAACTTGGGCACAGTTCTCAACCACCCAATCCTCCACACAGGACGCTATTGTCGTCCACTCCAAGCCTGCCAAGAAAAGGAAGTCATGGGGACAGGAACTACCAGAACCCAAGACTGCGTTGCCTCCTCGAAAGCGCGCCAAGACCGACGACGAGAAAGAGCAGCGCCGCATCGAACGAATCAAGCGCAATCGCGCTGCCGCTCACAATTCGAGGGAACGCAAAAGGCAGGAGGCAGAGAATCTCGCCGTCCATCTTGCCAGAGCCAACGCTACACTCGACGCCTACAGGCGCCACTTTGGCGAGCTCCCCGCCCACATACAAATACCCGAAGTCAGGATAGAGGTGGACGACTCGGGTAATGAGCACATAACAACCTCAACGCCAGCGCCGTCCTTGGTGGAATCGAGTGGTAAGTCACTACTGCTGCCATCTCGCTATAATTCAATACTAACACCTCGTAGGATCACAACATGACCCTTCCAGTCCTATATCCCCACCAGACGACTTTTCTTTTTCTCACATCGACATCAAGACAGAATCGGATGATTCTGTTCCCGAAGCGTACATCCCCGACGACTTCATTCCTCTAGCAATTGGCAACAAAAAAGAATCCGAATCCTTCACCCCTGATCTCACCCCAGCTGCCCGACCATACGAGTTCGCGCCGCTCGGCCTGACACAACATTCTGCAGAAATGTTGTCGTCTGACCCGCAGTGTCGGCCGAGCAACGCGAACCGCAGTATGCTTTTCCGGGCAGCAGGATGCTAGAGCAATCTTACGCTCTCCCTCTGGACATGGCACAAGACTCCTTTGGTGCCCATGTGGATGACCCTTTTGCCTTCGCGCATGGCGCGACTGATGCAGCAATCAGCGACCCACTCTTCGAGGTCGATGACTATCTCAACTTTAGCGAAGACACGCAGTAGTGATTGACGCCCAGATGTCTGGCGCGGTTTAGTACCGCGACGGGTCAGAGCGCATCGCTTCAGCAGTCTGTTATTGATGTTGAGGAAGCTCGAAGATCGAGAGGAGCACGGGATGCTGTGTTGCAAGCTTACAATTGTGGCAAAGGGCAGGCGTTTGGAGGGATCAGGGGGCACGCTTGAGAACATTAGCGATGAGTGATGAAGGCTACGAAAGTACTGGCATTTCGGGACGGACCACTCGGTCATGTGGCCATTGTATTACCACGGGCTTTGACTACTTATAGGTAGCTTTAAAAAAGCAACACCATTTTTGGAAGCTGATATGCAACATTCTCCTGATTGTTAGAAGCACATGTCTATGCCGCTGACGACCGAAAGGTAGCAGCTCTGTGATGCTTGGCTTACAGGCACCACCAGTGGAAGTGCGGTTGGGGGATAGATTCAAGCACTCTCTCACAATCGCGAACAAGGCTCTACCTGCTGGTAAGTTTCACGCTGTTACATAAACGAATCCCTCTGTCACTGATATCCCGCTCCATGCCTGTGGTCGAAAGGTCAAGCTGCTAAGCAAAAAGCTGCCACTGTCATTGATGGAGTCCCATAATTGGCTCGAAAGCTACCAAGCAGATCGCAATGGCCCTCCATTGAGCATCCATGAATACATCTTACATCCCCCTCCGGTTGCACGATCTGCTCCCACTTCTTTCTCTTTCTCCACACCTCTCTCTCCCTCTCTCTTCCTCTCTCTCTCTCCCTCTCTCTACAGAACTCACGACTTCAGGCGAAGGCTCAAGATGAACGAGGCTCGACGACAGGAGCAGCGCGAGCTAGAAGAGGCAGGACGCTTGGCATGGACGAAACCGCGGACGCAGCCACCACCGTCTCGCGAAGTATCGCCTCATGAAACCATTAATCCTCCGAACACTGGACCACTTCAGAAGGAAATCATCGCTGGCGAGAACAGCCGTCGGGCCAATCGTTTTACGCGCGAGGAGTCGATCGCAACTGGTCAGCAATGGTACAGATCTCGCGAAGCATCTACGGAGCTGCATCGCACCTCCCCCACTCGCAGCGCATCGCGGACATCTCCGTTAGATCTCACGAGGACCACGAAGCGCGCCCATAGACCGAGTGAGGTGAACAGGTCGGGAACAGACTCGCAGCACTCGGATGGTCCATCGAACAAAAGACTGCGCTCACCACTCGCGGATATCCTCTCACCTCCCCCACACCCCTTGACGAGGACCGCCAGCAATTGGACGACGAAATCTCTCTCGCCACCGCGCCATCTCCTGACAGAAGGTGCTCTGAGACGTGGATCGAACGTTTGCGATTCTTCGGCTCATGTGCCAGCAAGAGCAAGTCCTACGCGAGAGGCGCAATGCAGCCCCCCAACCACTCAGTGGAGCCACGCATCAAATGGTCCATTTGTAGATGGCATACCTCCCAAACGTACCGCTCGCACCTTCTCGGAAGCTACGACGACATTTGAATCTTCGACGCAGGATACACTGAGCGTTGCGGACCGAGGCAGCTCCGGTGAACAGTACGTCGGTGACTCATTGAAAAGACATGACACGCATCAAGCTCACGAGCCAGAAGATCGACCTGAATCCTCGCTCGGAAAGAGGTCAGAAGATTCAACATCTGTCACATCGTCAGCCAAGTCTACGGTACAGCCTCGGCCGAGTCGGAAGAATGAGGTGCGCCAGTATAGACGGCGCACCACTCCGGCGCGAGTGACGCGGCAATCTCTGAAGAGCACGTCTCTGTCGTCCATATCACAATCCCAGAGAGCTGAGCGACATGGTCGGTTACGCAGAACGATAGGCACAGAGAGCGGTGAGAGCTGCCCGACGAAGCGTGCCGAACGATTGACCTGTTCGTTCTGTACCAGAAGGCTTTCCATCAGAAAGCCGAGTGCAGCGCAGCAGACGAGGCACTCAGGTTCCTTCAGAGGAGGGCTTGGCCGGCGACTGAACGGCACTGATCGCTTGTGTATCTTGGTTCTCGCAATATGCGGGTTGGGATGCACGAGCTTCTTTCTCTTCCACATGGTGCCGGTGTTGGCGGCTGGAAATATTGGATTATCGCAAGTACGTACAATCCACCGCAATTGCCTTTCCGCCCTCCCCCGCGAGTTGCTTTGATGAGTCACAGACAATAACTAACAACAGCTTGGCACAGTTTTGTGTGCTGATCCTGTTTGTGTTATTTCTGCCGTTATTGCCCACTGCGGCCATTGCGCAGATCTGGAGTCACGCGGATCAGAGATATACTAGAGGTCGGAGAATGTCGACGACGACGACGGATGTGGAACGGCAAGCTCTGCTCCCTGCGAGACCTCTACTGGCGAACAGCAGTGAATTGGTGATGGGATGGTGACGGATGTTGTGAGTACCAGGATACATAAGGTACATGTACTAGCCGATCAGAATCAGATATAGAACAAGATGCGGGGACTCTGGGGTAACAATGACAAACACGTGCACTTGTAAACATTTATCATTCCTGTACCTAATAATATTCAAAAAAACTAGTTTCAATAGAAAGCCACCTGCAGCAAGCGAGGTGCATGTCCTACCTTACCTACCGATGGCTACCTTACCGTAGGAGAGAGCGGAAGAAGCTACGAACATCAATGATGGTGATAACTCCTTAGGTGCCTACCTACCTATTCTAACCGGGCAGCACCGTGTGGAAGGTTCCACCAGAGTAGGGACCCACTATACCACCTCAGTATATACCTACCTGTACCTACCTTATGTTGCCGAACGGATCCTGCCTCTTCTCTTCCATTGTACCTTCCCTTATATACCATCACTTGGAATATTTTCACTCGGAATCTTCTCACGTGGCATCTTCTCACGTGGAATCTTCTCACTACGCATCACTTCATTGTTCTGGACACTCCAAGTCAGCTGTCAATAGCCCACAAGAGATTACCTAACTGTAGCCTAGGAGACGGTGCAATCATTACCGTAGGAAAAATGCTGTGGCCCGTATGGGCTTGGTCTGCAGCGCTGCTGTTCAGCTGTCATAGTCTGGCCAAGATATACAATACGCGATTCAACGGCACCACCTGGGACGATGAAGCATGGAGCATCACAACCACCACCCTGGACCAGGGCCATTACCAGTCTCGCATGTCGATGGGGAATGGCTATCTGGGAATCAATCTCGCCGCTGTGGGGCCCTTCTTTGATGTCGATGTACAAGTCAACGGCGACAATATCCAAGGCTGGCCACTGTTTGATCGCCGGCAGAGTTTTGCGACTATTGCTGGCTTTTGGGACTCCCAGCCCACGACGAATGGGACGAATTTTGGCTGGTTAAACCAATATGGTGGCGAAAGTGTCATTTCTGGTATCCCTCACTGGGCAGGCCTGCATGTGAAGGTCGGAGAGGACGTGCTGGATGCGAGCGTACCTGCAGAGCAGATATCGAGCTTTACGTCGACGCTGGATATGAGGAATGGTGTCCTCCATTGGAATTATACATGGACGCCAACTTCTGGCTCTCCGCTCGATATTGAATACACTCTTCTGGTGCACAAGCTGAATGTAAATCAGGCTGCTGTGCAACTTCGGCTCACGGCTGCCGAGGATCTTAACGCGACTGTGATAGATCTGTTGCAAGGGGACTGTGCTGTCAGGTCCACGCCTGTGGACAAAGGCTCCTTTGCAGTATGGCCCGTCATATGGTCTGCAGTCAGTCCGGACGGCATTCGCAACGTGACTGCTTGGGTCCACTCTGCACTTGTGGGCGACCAAACTTGCGATACAGCCAGCAGGAGAATCATCACAGATAGTGACATTGTTGGCAGCAACAGTTCTTCCATTGCGCAGTCTTTGGACGTGTCGCTAGTCGGAGGCTGCACTTCTGTCATTACAAAGTACATTGGAACTGCTTCGAGTGATGCCTTCACCGATCCCGCGTCTGTAGCCCTGCAGGCAGCCTGGGAGGGCGCCAATGCGGGATTCGACGAGCTATATGAGTCGCATGCGTCCGAGTGGAAGAGTATATTGACTGAAGACAGCGTGGAGGATTTTCGGGATCACGATGGTAACCTGCCGGAAGATCTGGACGTACAGGAACTACAGATTACTGCCATTACGAATCCATTTCAGCTGCTCTCGAATACCATCAGTGCCAATGCTGTACTCGCCGCGGGCAACAACACGAAACTGGCGTCGAACAGTATCTCGGTCTGTGGGCTTGGAGGCTCTTGCTACGCTGGTCTGGTCTTTTGGGACACCGAAGTCTGGATGCAACCGGGACTGGTCGTCACATACCCAGATGCAGCAAAGCAGATTGCGCAATACCGAGTTGACAAAGGTCCTCAAGCCCATGAGAACATCTTGACCGCCTACCAGTCCAGCCAGAACCAAACTGACAAGTTTTCGCCACTCGGAGCCGCTTATTCTTGGACAGCTGGACGCTATGGTAACTGTACAGGTACCGGCCCATGCTTCGACTACCAGTATCACCTTAATGGCGATATTGGCCTTGAATTCTTCAATTACTGGGCAGTTACTGGCGATACCGACTACTTCCGTCGAGAGTTGTTTCCTATATACGAGTCCATTGCACAGCTCTATGCTGACTTGGTTACATTCAACAAGACCACCGGCCTGTACGAATTGTACAACGCTACAGATCCTGTAAGTGAATGAACAGTTCAAGACTATCTTTACACCGTGATGTCTCGCTCTCATTCCGCTGGGACATTGAGCTTGAGGGCAGTCGTTATTGAAAGAAGTCCGAGTATTCAGAGAGAGAGAGAGAGAGGGAGGGAGGGAGAGGGATGTTTGCTTACTGTCGGCCGTGCGATGTCTAGGACGAATACGCCAATTTTCAGAAAAACGTCGGCTTCACTATGCTCCTGATGCAAAGTCACCTCAACGAGACAAACACTATTCGCGAAAGATTTGGTCTCGAGGCCAACCAAACATGGGCCAATATATCCGATCTGATCACGATCCCTGTGGGCGAAGAAGCCAACATTATTCTGGAATACGCCAGTCAAAATGGCAGCATCACTGTCAAGCAGGCCGATATTGTTCTGATTGATGACTTTCTGCAATGGCCGAACCCCTACACACTGAGCAACCTGGACTACTACGCTGCTGCACAGTCTCCCGACGGCCCTGCAATGACATATGGTGTCTTCAGTGTCGTGGCCAACCGCGAATCCCCTTCGGGCTGCTCGTCGTACACCTACGATCTGTACGGCTCACAGCCATATACCCGAGGACCGTGGTACCAATTCAGCGAGCAGCTCATTGACGACTGGTCCACGAACGGCGGAACCCACCCAGCATTTCCCTTCCTGACGGGCGTCGGAGGCGCACACCGTGTCGCAGTCTTCGGCTATCTCGGTCTCCGTTTAATGCTCGACACACTCAACATCGACCCGTCTCTCCCACCTCAGATCCCCCAACTAGCCTTCCGAACCATCTACTGGCAAGGCTGGCCCATCAAAGCCTTCTCCAACCAAACTCACACCACTTTAACCCGTCCTCATCATCGTCGCGGTGGCAACCCCCTTTCTACAGCAAACTCCACCTTCGCCACCGCACCCATCCCCGTCACAATTTCCATCTCAGGCACCACAATCCACCACAACCTCCACCCCAACTCCTCTCTAACTCTCTCCAACCGGCAAATCGGCCTCATACCGACTTTCCCAGGAAATATCGCCCAATGTCGTCCCGTGGTCAGTTCCCCACAACTGTTCCTTCCAGGCCAATTCCCTCTCAGCGCCATCGACGGCGCCGTCAGCACGAAATGGCAACCTGTTGTGGCGAATGTTACTGCATCCATTACGATTTCTCTCCCGGAACCTTTTCTTCCTATTGTCGCCATTCGATTCGATTGGGCAAAAGCTCCACCGAGAGGGTATTCTGTGACTTTTTCGAACTTTTCTTCATCTTCTTCTCCCTCCAATCTTCCTAGTGGAGGGCAAGAAGGGCAAGGAGAAGAAAAAATCGTCAACGTAACATCCTCCAGCCACGTCCAAATCAGCCATCCATATAATTCTTCCTCTGCAGATTTGATTCGACCATATGCTTCGAATGTGACGAATGTGACTTTGGAGAGGCCTGTGTGGAGTGGGAAATTTGCTACGTTGGAGATTTGGGGGAGTTGGGCAAATGATGATGGTGATAATGGTGATGGTGATGGTGATGGGAATGGTGGTGGAGTGGGAGCTAGTGTTGCCGAGTTTGCGATTATTGCGCAAGGGAGTGGGGAGAACGTGGTGGCGAGGAGTGGAAGAGGAGAGTGGTTGTCCTGAGAGGAAGAGGGTATGTTGGGTGGCGTGGCTTGGGGGGCGTGTGTGTGATCTGGGTGGCGTGGCTTGGGGGGTGTGTGTGATCTGGATGGATGTGATGAGGATATGATTTGATGATCTGATGAATTGTATGCATGTATGCGACCAAGGCTGTACAAATTTCGGAATATGGTGTATGTTTGGGCAAAGTTGATCCACAGGCAGTGCCGCTCGTATAGCTGGCTCATCACAGAGATAAAGAGAAGTTTCAGACACATCTGTGTGACCTATACATATAGTCCATGTGTATCGTATGCTACGTGAAGAAACACTAAAAAACTCACGCTTTTTTTGTACAGAAAAGAAACGACAGCGTGGCCAGAGCACTTCGGCCAGACTGGTTTAGAAGCTGTTGTTACAGTCGCCTGACTTCCTTCCCCATTGTCCTCCCTACGCTTGGGCAGTGCTGATGCCGGTTCGCGTCTGTGGGTTCATATTCATAACTGTGGTCTTCCATGCTCATGTTTCCCTACACACCAGAATAAGGCCTCGAGTTACCAAACTCGTCATCATATTCATCCACTCGACCAGTCGTAGGAGAAAACTGTCCTGGCTGCTGTCGATTTCTATACGGATTGCTGGTGGTGCGTTGTGGAAGCTGGCTCATTTCCACGGGCGATGTGGTGCTGATAGTGGGAAGATTGCTCTGCGCAGTCTGGAACTGCGACGGCACACTGGCGAGCGTTGGTCTGTAGGGTTCGGAAGAGTTCGAGCCAGTTGCTCGCGGCTCATTGATAGCAGGCACACTTGGTGCGTCGCGGAGTTGGCGGGAGCCACCTCGGACGCTCGGCTTTCTCTTGCCTCTGGTGTTTCCTCGCTCGAGGAGGCTGCGAACATCGTCGAGGTCCTGCTGGTCAATACTGGAACGCTCGCCCAAAGTACTGGAGCTATCGTCACGGCCAGTCGCCCAAGCGTTGCCTGGGTTGTCTCGTGCAGTATCCTTAGCTGGGTCGCGCGCATTCAACTCCCCGATTGCTGGGTCCTGAAAGCTTAAACCCGGAGAAACGCCTTTGTTTGCAGCATTAGGACTCAGATTTGCTCCAGCGGCTCCAGACTCGTCGACTTTCTTAGTTGGTATCATGCGCGCCTTCTCCCTATCTTGTGCTGCTTGCTCCGCGTTCTCCCTTGCCTCAGAGTCGGAAATGGCGACTGAGTAGTTTGGATTGGCAGCGCTGCCCGCAGCGTCTGCGTCACCTCCCGGAGCATAGATCGGCACAGCACGAAGGGCAGCGATCAAGGCACACATAAACTTGCTGCGACGCGCCGCGCGAAGAGTCTCGTTGGCCCAATTGGTCTTGTGTCTGATTTCAACCTTGAGTTGCATCTTGGACAAATCAGAAGTGCCGAGAACTTCGACCTCGACTTCGGGCTGGAAGTCGCGGCTGTTCTCTCTGTCCGTGACAAATTTGTTGAGCTCGTTCTTGAGCAGCTGGACGTCGTCGAAACTTGTGTCAAAGGAGACATCGATCGTTATCTGCTCGGTCTGAGCCTGACTGCGAGAGACATTGTCCAAGGAAAGACTGTTCAGCACAACGTTGGGGTACTGGCAGAGCTGTCCCGTCTTGGGGCCATATGCACGCTTGAACACTGTATAGAGCAGACTGATGTGCTCGACGACATACGCGTTGTCTCCAATGTCGATCCGGTCGCCGACGTCGAATGGATGTTTGACGAAAAGGAAGATGCAAGAACCAAGAACCTCTTGCGCTGAGACTGAGAAGACGAAAGAGAGCGACAAAAGTGCTGTACCAGCAGTGGCCAGAGTGGTGACGAAGCTGGTGTTGAGGAAAGCAATGAAGATGAAGACGATGGCGACCACCACGATAGCGCACAGCATACGATCCAGGACGCTGATGGCCTGAGCGACATCGACCATGGAGACCGCAATCGCCTTACGCTCGCGACCCCATTCGACGATGGTCTGTATCATTTCATCCAGGGAGATATCGCCGTTGCCATCACGATCGAGGGCTTCATATGCTTCTTCAGCTTCATGCCCACGTTCCGGGCCAAGAACTTCGGCGATGTCGTCCTCGGATAGCTGGTCGTGACCTTCCACTACCAAGCTCATCCAGATCCGACGGGCCAAAGCTTCCGAAGTGCGACGCTTCTCTAGTGCCTGAACTACGATCGAGTGAGAGCTGTTTGGGTTGAAGACTTCTTTGCCCGTAATCTCGGATGCAACATTACCGAACGCGGATGTGACTTTATCACCGACACGTCCAACAGTCTGCAGCATCTTCATCGGCGTCGCAGAGCCGGAGCGGCGGTGGTGGGCCCTCTTCTTCTTCTTCGCGCCAAAGACAGCCAAGTTGATCTGGTCGGCGATTGCGTAGTCTTCTTCGGCAAACTCGTGACAGTACTGCGGAAAGATGGCCTTCGATGCATCATACAGGAGTCCGAGGATGTAAACCTGTCTCTTCGAATCCTTGATTCTCGAATTGAACTGCTTTGCGTGGTAGTTGATGCTGATGAGCTGAATGATGAGCTTCTCGGCCAAGAAAACCAGCGTGCTGGCTACTGCCGCAGCGAGAACCTTTTGGACGATATCCACCCAGGTTCCCGATCCTGCGTTCAAGGCGTGCGTGGACTGGCTGTTGTAGGGATTTCTCGTCATGATAGGCTTGAACGTCGCCAGAGAAGCAACGGCCCATCCGACCAGCGACAGAGGAATCTCGAGTTTTCGAATGACGCTTGCATATTTCCGCACTCCAGAAGAGACCACACCCACCAGCGTTTGGAAGAGGAATGGTAAAAAGTGTGCTATGAGCTTGCTGATCCACAAACTAAACCACACGATCTCTATCCACACGAAGAACCAGAGTATTGGGACTCCGGCAATCTTGGGGGTATCGCGGTCGCTGTAAAAGCTGCCCACAATGATGGGCACGGCAAGCAAGACACCCAGGGGTATGACGTAGAGCAAGTACCTGGTGATGATGGAGAAGTTCAAAATCTTGTAGTAGACTTTGCCCATGGTCGTCAGTTTGTCAGTTTCCTCTTCAAACCCCTTCTTGTCTGCGCTGCCATCCGTTACAGGCTTGACTCGTCGGCCTCTGAAGAATCCGCCGCTGCCTTGCTTTTCTGAAGTCGTGTTCATGGCGTGCAGGTTCTCGGCTGTGTGATTCGCATTGCGTCGTCCTCCGCCGACGCTCGCGTTGGTCTGGACTTGTTCGAGAGGTATGTCGATGGTCGCGTCGTTGCCGCCGTAGCCCGTGTAATTGGTGGACATGTTATCTGTGTGGCCCGCGGGGATGGGCTGGAAGCCTTCGCGAGAGAAGCGTGGGCTGGCTTGAGAAGGACGAGCGTGAAGATGTGAGGACATTGTGCTGCCTCCAGTGAGGTGTAGAAACGAAGGTGTGCCCGCTCGAGCGAAGGCGCGTGGTGGCCTGCGTCTCGGATTTGGCGTGCTGTATCAAGGTGTCTGGCGCTGCCGCCTGCAGATGGTGACTCGCACGCGTTGCTTGTAGGAAGAGCAGCTCGAGGGAGATTGGGAGGAAATTGGTGAAACGATGGCTGGAAGTGGTGCAGCTGTGTGTAGAGTCAATGGGCGTGAGTACAGTAACGATCGTGGGAGAGAGGAGAGGTGGGTAGGCGGATGGAGAGGTAAGGTCAGGTAGGTAGGGAGAGGTAGTTGGGGATGATGGGAGAGGGAGGTTGGGGGGGGGGGGAGCAAGGAGAAGGTAGGAGTTTGGGAGGTAGTATAGAGGTGGAAGTGGTGAAGTTTCTTCTTCTTCTTCTTTCTTCCATCTTCCACTTCTTCTTCGTCTCCTTCCCTTCTTCCTCTTCTACTGCTGCTGGTCACATCATTGCCAGACGTGGCAGACCCAGCGAGTTTCATGTGTGCACAGTGCGAGGCTCTAGGCGAGTTCCTGCAGATGGCAAAGGCGCGTGTGGCGTCATTGGCGCACGTCGCACGTCGCAAACAGGGGGCTAAGGTTTCTAGAAAAGCTTTTTCGAAGCACCGATCAATTATTACATAATCATTGGCGGACCAAGAATACAGGTACCTCCAGTACAACCGATACCTATATCGTAAGGTATGTACATTGTTGCTTGTGATTTTACCATCCTCGTGCTCACCTAGCATACCTAAAGCAGGCACATCTGCTGTATTTCTAGAATATACATGAAATAGCTTAATGATATAATTCACCTGTTCTCGCCTGCTCTAGCCGCTTCAGAAGTTTAGAACTGCCCCTCCAGGACGTTCGATCCACAAACCCAAAGACCCTGAGAAGCTCGCTCTAAAATAGCACCGCAACACGCGGCCTCGATGAACTTAACAAAGTCCACAAACGGCTTCAACCTCGGGACCACTTGTGGTAACGACGACGAATGCCTCGTCTGCCTCCTAGGTACACAGCTATAGAACCAACCATTCTTGGCGAGGGAATTTGCTTCCAGCCATATTTGACCTGGACCAACCTAGCTTCTACTTGTGAAACACCAGAACCTCAACACTTCTCGAGAGCTCTACTCTAGAGGTGATATATCAGACTCTGAGCAGGTCGATTGAGACAACAAGCAATACAAGGGAGCTTGTAGGCAAGACGTCCTATGTAAGCGGGATTGAAAACGGTTCAGCCTACAGAGTTACACTCAGCTCAGTCTGGTGACTCAAGAAGCGTCGAACCGTTTGCAAGCAAATGTTGTTGGATCAGATCCTTCACAAACACAGCTCAAGTGAGTGCATCACGCTCTCTACCTCCTAGTCCTGCTGAACGAGACAGGGAGCTTCTCGTCATGGTCAAGCGTGGCACAGGTGTAGCTCATGCCGAGACCGGACGATTACCAGCTTGTCGTCGACTGTACATGGCCTATATAGTAGTCCTCACACCATTACTACCCGACAAAACCTGCCTACATCAAAGCGGGTGAAGGCACTGGAACAGCTCTACCCAAGCTCCGTCCATTCCGCACGAGAGTCGCGTTGCATGCAGAGTAACAGTTGATATTGAATATTTCCGGGCCCAGCGGTCAAAGGCTGCTTGCTTGTTCTACCTTAGACATAAACTTCAGTGCGTGTCGAAGCACCGTCGAGTGAGGTTTTCAGTGGTCGCTTTCTTATTGGGTGCCTGATCTGACAGAGCAGAATTCAATGAAGCTTCTGGGTTCCATAGGAGCTACTTTCATCCCACGTTCTTGATAGCTGCCACGCATCGGTGACAATGTGCGGGAGCCGGAGATGGCGGCTCCTCCAGATATGAGCTGGCGCTTGGCGATGTAGCATCGAAGGCTTGGCGTTGATCTTTGCGCCGATTCTTTGCGCCGTGACGATCAGATGCTAGAGGCAGCAGTGGCACAAGCATTACAGCTGACATTCACACACTGGTGCCCATCGAGGTCGAGGTCGAGTTCGAGGTCGAAGTCGGAGTCGGAGTACTCACTTCAGCACCTAGTAGGCTTGGGGCAAAAAGTTTGTCTCCTATCCTGACCATTCCACGTAACAATGTGAAAATCATGCTTTTCGACAGCGCTGCTCTTGGAAACCCGCCGGACAGAATTGGAGTATCTGGAACTTCCTGAGGGTTCAGATAGTTATCAGTAATATAAGATATACATATACCTGGTGTATCCCGAGCCTCCGCTGAGGACAGTACCTCCTGGTGCAGTGATGGGCTTGTGCTCGCTGGCTCGGCGTAGGTTCACGTCATACAAGGAGCCTGCTCGCAAGTCGTCATATGACACTCACTACCTCACCTTAGGTATCCACTATCCAGGACTACTGGTGTATTACTGTATTTATGTGCCGTATGCAGGGTCGGAAACCGGTAGTGAGCTTGCTGGCCAGTGTGATAGAGTTGCTTATCGCTTTCCATCTTGCTTTCTTTTGGAGCTTATCATTCATGTATTCGTGCTCTTCCCCCCCTCACCACTCGTACCAGTGTTGCAGGTGAAATTCCCACCGAGCGAAGAGTATCACGAGAAATATCACTCCAATCCTACCTACCTTACGTGCACCTTACCGAACCTGGTAGTCCCGAAAAGTCACCGATCAGAACTATCGAACGGACCGATACCCCACTGTGACCCGGGCTGACTTCACGGCGTGGGGCAGGCGCGTCTTTTGCTAGCAGAAAACGAGAAAGAGCTGAGAGAGAAAGAATAGTTCCTTTCTGCTCAACCACAAGGTACTGTAGCGAGCCATCTTCCCATCCTCTCCGACTATTTCTCCCTTTAACCCTGATTCGCATTTCACGAGCACCCAGCTCACAACCATACTCATCTGACACCAGCATCTTCTACTACTGCTCCCACCACCGCCAGCACCACCAGCACCGCCACCACCCAGCATGGCGCAGGTCAATCTGAGCCCGCCTTCGATGCCATGGGGAAAGAAGCGCATAGCAGTCATGACCTCGGGGGGTGACTCTCCTGGTATGAGCGCTGCCGTCCGAGCTGTAGTTCGACAGTCACTATCAGCAGGATGCACGGCATACGCCATCTACGAAGGATACCAAGGCCTGGTCGACGGTGGAGACATGATCAAAGAGATGAAATGGGAAGACGTTCGAGGATGGATCTCAGAAGGCGGCACATTGATTGGCACTGCGCGATGCAAAGCGTTCATGGAGCGACCAGGGCGGCTGACAGCTGCGAACAACATGATCGAAAAGGGCATCGATGCTCTGATCATCTGTGGCGGAGACGGCTCATTGACGGGAGCAGACAAGTTCAGAGGAGAATGGCCAAGCCTGATGGATGAGCTGGTATCGACCGGGAAGCGAAAAGAGGAAGATGTGAAGCCATACAGGCATCTGAATATCGTCGGTCTTGTCGGATCGATTGATAACGATCTCAGTAGTACAGATGCGACAATCGGCGCCTACAGCTCGCTCGAACGGATTTGCCAATCGATCGACTACATCGACGCCACGGCTCTCTCACACCAGCGTGCTTTCGTTATCGAAGTCATGGGACGACATTGCGGTTGGCTGGCACTCATGGCAGGTGTGGCATGTGGAGCAGACTTTGTCTTTTGCCCAGAAAATCCACCTTCCGAGAACTGGGAGGCTGAAATGTGCAGTATTGTCCAAAAGCACCGCACCATGGGCAAGAGGAAGACGATCGTGATCGTAGCTGAAGGTGCTCACGATAGGAACCTCAAAGCCATCTCACCCTACATGGTGAAAGATCTGCTCACGAATAACGTGGGACTTGACACGAGAGTGACGACCCTGGGACACGTACAACGTGGAGGTCCTCCTTGCGCATACGACCGCATGCTGGCGACATTACAGGGTGTGGAAGCCGTCAAGGCTGTACTCGAAGCTACGCCAGAAACCCCGTCTCCTGTGATCTGCATGGTGGAGAACAAGATCGTACGGAAGGACATGATTGAAGCTATTCGCCTCACCAAGAAAGTCGCCGAGGACATCGCTAAGAAAGACTTTGATGCCGCAATGAAAGGCAGAGATGCAGAGTTTGCAGAGTTCCAACAGGCTTTCAATATGACGACCTCCACAGACAACACCAAGACTCTGGTCCCGAAAGAGAAACGAATGCGGGTCGGTATAATACATGTCGGTGCGCCCGCTGGTGGCATGAATGCCGCAACTCGCGCTGCTGTGGCATACTGCCTGTCGAGAGGTCATACTCCGGTGGCTCTGCATAATGGCTTCCCCGGATTATGTCGCCATCACGACGACAAGCCGCTGGGATCTGTGCGCGAGATTAGCTGGCTTGACGCAGAGAATTGGGGATCGAAAGGTGGTTCGGAGCTCGGAACTAATCGTGCACTGCCATCCGAGGACTTCAAGACGGTGGCCTTTTGCTTCGAGAAGTACAAGATCGATGCTCTCTTCGTTGTTGGTGGGTTCGAGGCGTTCACGGCCGTATCTGAGCTACGAAAAGCTCGGGCCGATTATGACGCCTTCAAGATTCCCATGACCATCTTGCCCGCCACCGTCTCCAATAATGTTCCTGGCACCGAGTTTTCGATAGGCTCTGATACTTGTTTGAATGCCCTCATCAACTATTGCGATGCGATCAAGCAATCTGCTTCAGCCTCTCGCCGCAGAGTGTTCGTAGTAGAGACGCAAGGTGGCGCTTCGGGCTACATTGCCATATTGGCAGGCCTCGCCATTGGTGCAGTCGCTGTCTACACTCCAGAAGAGGGCATCAACCTCAATATGCTCGTGCAGGACATCAAGTTCTTGAAAGACCAATTTGCCATGGACAAAGGCCATGCTAGATCTGGCAAAATCATTCTTCGCAACGAGAAGGCTAGCAAAGTCTACACGACAGAGTTCATTGCAGATGCTATCAAGGAGGAATCGAATGGAAAGTTCGATTCCCGATATGCTGTGCCTGGTCACTTCCAGCAGGGAGATATTCCGTCGCCCATGGATCGTACACGAGCTGTACGTTTCGGTGTTAAGTCGTTGCAATACCTCGAGGCCTTCGCTGGAAAGTCGAAGCAGGAAATTGCAGACGATCCTATGTCGGTAGCTGTTATTGGTATCCGAGGCGCTAAGGTGAAATTCAGCGCTATGGAAAAGATTGAGCGCGAGGAAACGGATTGGAAGGACCGGAGGCCGAAGGATGAGTTCTGGATGGGCTTGGTCGATGTCGTAGATACTCTGTCCGGACGATCCTTGGTCAAGGCTTCCCGCACGTCCATGCGTACGCCGCTTCCTGGCACCCCTCTGCCCGGCACACCGGATGTACAGGGCATGCAGAAGCAGAATGGCACCGGGAAATGAACGAGGGGAGACAGAATCACAGTGAGACGGCTACGTGCGCGAGAGTCTGGGCAAGAATGGCGAAAAGGACCAGTTGCTGACGACGGATGGGAGGGTTCATAGAGTGCCCTTCCCACCGTTATATGATACGACCCGTGACATGACATGAGAACAAGATACAAAAGCAATGACTAGTCCAGTATATGTTTCATAAAAGAATTCAAGTGAAGATAGTGGGGGAGCACGTGCACTCGGGCATGTGAATACGCAGAAGCCGACGTCATGCCCTTGAGCCAGCCCACCTTGACGCTGCCTCGAACTTGTGCTTATAGTCAGACTTCCTACAACGATTCACGAACTTGAATATCGACAACGCCATTCCTCCCTCAGCCTCACCATGTCTGGACTAGAGAAAGCCCTCTTCAACCTCAAGGTGCGTCCCGCGCAAAGGCCACCTCCATCTCTTCTTCTTCCTCCTCCCCGCCCGCCCGGCGCACACTAACTCCGTCCACCACGCGCAGTTCACAGCCAAGCAGCTCAACCGCCAGGCCGCCAAAGCCAGCAAAGATGAACAAACCGAGAAGGCGAAGCTCAAGAAGGTACGTCTGGCCTTTCCCCCTCCTCCCCCTCGCCTTGCCTCCCCCCCCCCGCTGACTCGTTCTGTCCAGGCCATATCGCAAGGCCACAACGACATCGCCAAAATATACGCCGGCAACGCCATTCGGAAAAAGAACGAAAACTTGCAGCTTCTCACTCTCGCCAGCCGAATCGATGCCGTGAGCTCGCGAGTCCAGACTGCTGTTACCATGAGGAGTGTGACCGGCAGCATGGCGAATGTGGTGAGGGGTATGGATCAGGCGATGAAGAGCATGGATTTGGAAAAGGTGAGAGAAGGATCGGGTCGTAAAAGACCCGCTGTTACACAAGGAAGAGAAAAGAAATAGAATTTGCTGATCAGGGATTTATCAGATTTCCGCTGTCATGGACAAGTTCGAAACGCAATTCGAGGACCTCGATGTTGCGACAGGATACTACGAAACTGCGACTTCGTCTGCCACTGCTACCGGGACTCCTCAGGAGGATGTGGATAGGTTGATGAATCAAGTTGCCGACGAGGCGGGCGTGGAATTGAGCCAGGAGATGGCCGGAGCTACGCCCGCGAAGGGGATACAAGCTCCCGCGCAGCATGAGGAGGAGCGGGAGGATAAATTGGGAGAGAGATTAAGGGCATTGAGAAGTTAAAGAGTGGGCGGGACATGGAGGTGTGCTCAAGGTAGGCTGGATAAGTGAATGAGGCGTTTTTCTTTTTCTGGAGCGGAGTAGTAGCGGTACCTACCTGAGATTCCATGATGAAGTCATGATTGGATGATCTCGGCGCGTGGAGTGAATACGGTATGTATGGTGGAGATGAATTATCAATTCTCTTTTTCTTTAGTCTTGTACTTCTATTCTACTCTGTGGAAGCCTGAAGTGAAGTCGCTAAAAAACAATGAACATTGGCAACGTTTACATGCCTGTATTCAATGCAAGCAAGTGGACCTGCTACCTACTACCTAACATGTCGACATCTCAGCCATTGAACACATACATGTACATCTGGATCGGGGAGTCGGACAAGGTCGTTCGTCATCATCATTTCGCCGGGCTGAGGTGGAGATTTATTTATCTATTTATTGTTCCCTGAATACCATGACTTTGATGACGGGAGCCTGAGTGAAAAAAAGATGGAGAGACATCTCCTCGGCAGGGCGACTTGAGAGGGGCAAAAAGAAATGGAAATCAAAAGTCAGGTACATGAACTGCACTGCAGGGTGTATCAAAACACCTGTATCTGTGTAAATTACAACTCAACAAACCGACTTTGTTCAACAAGTCACACACTGAACATTTTATCTTGGACATACCCAGTCATCTCTACCTCCTAGGACGGACCATATCGGCTCTCCCAGCTAGACTAGACATTAGTGGCAGTCGAAGCCACAGACTCCTCAGCCGTAGAATCCGGCATGTAGAATCGTAGCGAAGTGCTCGCATGCCATTCGGCCTCTCGGGGACCATCACAAAGGGCACATCCAATCGGTTCAGGCGGCCATCTGGCACCGATACTTGCATCGTCCTCCTTACCCACATGAGCTGTCAACTCGATAGGAATTTTTCGCATGTGTGCATCTTCGAGAACTTCGGCGGCGCGATCTAGCTGCGCAGCCAGACTGTCAAAGAGATCTTGTAAACGGGAGATGCGAGCGGGGATGCCTTCTGCTGTGATATCACGCAAAACTTTCGGCACGTCGGACAAGAGACCGAGACTATCGTCGAGATGCTTGGCGTAGTTTTCCCAGATATCTCCGCCCTCTTTGAGATAGTACATTGCTGCATGGCCGTTGAGTCTGGCAGTGTCGCTGAAGTTGTAACCGCCGCGAAGAAATTTGGCGCGCGTTTGCACCTCGCATGACGAAGCGTCATCCGTCCCTTTGAACCATTTGGACCACCATTTGGACCATATGGACGGTTCGACTTTGCGGGCTTCAATCTGGTAGCAGAGTTGCGTTACAGCAGAATCGGCCTGTCGCAGATTCCACTTGAAGACGCTGTAGTTGCCTACGAGTTGACGGTAGACTGTCTGCAATTCACCAGCTTCGTCGGAGAGAACCCGGGCAATCACTTCTCGGCGTCGGAGATGGGTTTCTAGGTCTGCGAACGCTTGAGTAACGATGGGATAGTCCCAGTCACCGGGAATTGCCTCAATGATATTGTTTTCCCACAGAGTCCGCGTTGCCGGTCGCAGGACCTGAGCGACTTGCCTGCAGCCTCTGAGCTTCTCGGCGAGGGTACGCGTTTGTGCATATGCTAATCCCTTCTTCATAGCTGCACGCGAGAGTCTGCACATCCGCTTCTCGACCGATTCTGCACGCTCTATGAGGCTCGTGCCTTTGCTAATAGGATGAGCGTAATTTTGTGCTAATTCTCTGCTTCAGTGTTAGTCTGCGGAATAGAAACTTCGCATGGGCGAGAAAAGGGTTCAAGCAGACTTACTGCAGCTCGGGTTCCGGCGACGCATTCATCAGCTCTTCCCACGACTGGGCGCCCAAAACTGTGCGGGAAATGGTTTGCTTCACGGTGAAAGCTAGTCCCGTTGACTCCTGCTCATTGCACACACCGTCGACGGACAACGCGGAGTTGGCAATAAGAGGAATATGTTTCGTGCCCAGAGGGTCGACCAGAATTCGAGATGCTGCAGCCTGGCTATCTCCCTTGACGTAACGGAAGGAGACGTAGTACTTGAAGTACAGAAAATCGACAGGTGCGCTCACCGGCAGATCCAGCAGCACGTACACCTGACGCAACAGCAGTGCTTGCACGACAGCTACCATCAATTTCGGAATAGTCCACTTGAAAGCTCTCCAGAGATTTCGCCGCATGCGCTGAAATGGCGTGTTGTCTGGCGCAAAACTACCGTGAGCGGATCCATTGTTTGAGGGAGGATCAGAATCACCACCAGAGTGCGAGCCTGGCGGAGGACTACCATGTGACGATCCATCGTTTGACGGGGGAGGATCAAAATCAGAGTCCGGATCTGGCGGAGGACTACCATCAGTGCCCGAGGGGGAAAGGTCATCGTCACCAGAGTTCGAAGCCGGGTTTGATGAATCAGCTCGGTAGAGAGGTGCTGTCATGCCACTGGAAAGACCATGTTGCGATGCTGGAGCATCCCGCGTTGTACTAGCAGAAGGTGCCCGCCGTGCAGTTCTGGTCGCCGCTAGACCCCTGAGCAGTGGAGAGCCTGGGTTAGTCAGATACGACTGACGAGTTCTTGGCGCCATGCTGGTATCTCTGGTGCGTCAAGTGTCAAGTAGGTAGCTAGAGAATTCATGAAGTTTTTGGTAGGTTTCTTTCTCGAAAGTCGTCGCTGGCCATATTTGCTGCAGTGAAATTTTCTTTATTGTTCTTTTCTTGTCGTCAAAAGGACAATAGGACATGACCGGATGCAGAATTTTCTGAGCAGAAAACATGCTTTCTTTCGCTTACCTTTGTTCAAATTACGAGCTTATGCGGAGGGAGTCACCGATGAGGACGAGTATGGCAGTATGCTAACAGTGCGTGAATGCCACCGTCCTGCGTCTGCACATCAACAGTTGACGCTCGCCTCCGCTCCGCCATCTGTGAGACGACAATGCCGTCGATGGGTGTCACGAGGCGGGCGGAGTGGGAGAGCGGCGAGGGGAGAGGGCGGTGTGATGGTGAGGGTCAGTGTGAGGGTGAGGGAGGAAGAGCGAGAGAGACAACACGGGAACGAGAGGAAGAGAAAGAGACAGAAGCGGATAGAACCGCATCGGTCCGTCACCTTCCACAACAGCACAGCTCTTCTCTCCAGTCATCATGACGATTTCGCCTTCACGCGCCAGAAAAGCAGATCCACTGTTGAGTTCATCGTGACAGGTACAGAAGGAAGGCGCTTGGTATAGAACTGCTCACCCACGCACGCACCGTAAGTACGAGAGACAACACTACCAACCTCTCTCTCTTCCTCTTCTCTTCCTCTTTCTTCCTCATCACACAATCCACCCTCTATACCATACCACCAACACCAGTTCCATCATGTACGGACCACGAGCAGCCACACGCGCGACGCGTGCAGTTCGCAGCTCTGCCACCTCCACCCGCTCGGCCACCGCACGCAATGTGCCTCGACGGACCTTTGCAGACTCTGCGCCTTCACCAGCAGGGTCTGCCAACGCAGGCGGTGTCAGTCATGGCGTTACCGGTGGGCTCATTGGCGGCACCGCTGTGCTGGGAGCTGGCTACCTGTACTACCACTTCTCTGGCGCGAAAACTCTCGTCAACACTGCACACCAGGCCAAGAGTTACAGTGATAGCGTGGCAGATCAGGTCAAGCAGCAGCTCCAGGAGCTGAAGCCTGAAGGAGACGATGTTCTAGGCGCCATTCGCCAGGTGGCAGAAAAGTACGCTTCCTTCGTCCCTGGCGGCCGTCAATTCGTGGATACTTCTTTCAAGGACCTCGACGCGATCAAGAGCAAGCACGAAAAGGAGTTCAACGAAATTGCACACGCCACCTACAACGAGCTGCGAGACACCGCCAATAAGAACGGTGCTAGCATCCAGACGATGAATGACATCTGGACAATCCTCTCCAAGAGACTGGGACAGCTCGCCGATCTTGCTGGAGATGCCTCACAGCAGATCTTAGAAAACCATCCAGAGTTGAAGGAAAAGCTAGGAGGTCAATTCGACCAGCTCAAGTCGCTCGGAGATAGGCTCGGGCCAGAGGCCAAGAAGCAGGCAGATGACACCTTCAAGCAAGTGTCCGATATTGTCAAGTCTGGAGCGACTCCTGATGCTGCCACTCGTGCCTACAAGTTGCTACAAGAGAAGACACAAGAGCTGAAGAAGCTTGGTGACAAGAGCTGGGAGACGGGGTATGAGCAGATCAAGCCGTATCTCGAAAAGAACTCTCAAGTGAAGGATTTTGTCGAGAAGAACATGGACGCGATGAAATCGGGCAATGTAAGGGACGTGATTGAGAAGGTGAAGTCTGCAGTCCAGAGTGGGAGTACGAAGGACCTCGAGCAATACGTGCAGGAGTAAGTGTCGGCGTTCGCAATGAATGAAAGCGACAGAAAGTTAACGTGGTTCTGCAGGGGCAAGAAGAAGGCTGATCAGTACACCAATGGCGGCGTCTCCAGCTGGCTCGAGGCTCTGCCCAATGGAGGTCAGATCTTGCCACAGCTGATGAAGCTCAAAGAGGCAGCCGAGCAAAAGCGTCCCGAGGCGCAGAAGCTCGTCAAGGAGACGATTGATGAGATTTCGAAAGTTCTGGAGAAGAAGTCCAAGGAAGCCGAGGAGCTTGCGAAGAAGTGATGATGATGATGAAGAAGAACGAAAACAGAGGGAGAAAAGCAGCCAATGGGCAACTTGTACAGTAATGTATTAGACATGGCCGCCAGTTGCGGCCTCATGACTTGTATGATGGAAGCGTTTATGGCATGGAGTAATAGCAGAAGAAAAGTTTGAACAAACATGCGCGTCCGCGTGGGTATTCCTTTCGACATGATGGTTGTGTGTGTGTGAGAGAGAGAGAGAGAGGGAGAGAAGATGAAGATCAGCGGCTCTCCATTATTTTCTTGCAAGTCAAGTGAAAAGACGGCTAGAAGATCAAATCATTGGCATTCTTTTCTGGGGGGGTATCATCTCATAGCTGTACACCGGTAGTACCTAGTGCGCGCGCGCATCACACACCGAGCTGAAACAAAAAGAAAGAAAAAAAGAAGTAAAAAAGAAGCAAGAGAGGGGGAGAAATAGACAGAGAGGCTTCCCTTCCCTTCTTCTCCGCTCTCGCTCGCTGTTGCTCTCACTCTCACTCTCGCGAGCGGGCGCAGACGCGCCCAATGGTATCACATCGTTCCGACCCGAAAAGGAAAGAAAAAAAAAGCAACCATGAACGCCGGGCCACCACCATCACCACCACCACCAACGAAACTCCAAGGAAAGGTTCTTCTCTCTCTCTCTCTCTCTCTCTCTCGCGTCTCATAGTACAGCGGCATCCCGTCCCAGACTGTTTCATTCCATTCCATTTCATTCCTCATTTCCTTTTTTGTTCTTCTTCTTCCTCGCAAATCTTGACCCACTTTCAATCCCAGTCCAAGCGTGAAAGCATCAATGTTTCGAATTGATTGAATCATTCATTCATTCATGAACAAGTCCACACCCAACTCAACTCCTCTTAAACAACTGATCATCCCACCCCAAACTCCCACCCTCCAAACTGCCTCCACTCAACGCATCAATTTCCGGCAAAGTAGGCATAGGATGATCCTTGAATCTCTTATGCTCGGGACCATTTTCGTCGAGGACATCCAAATTTCCCGCGTCTTCGGCGGCAGTGGGCATGCCGAAGATTTGGCTTTTGCGTTTGACGGAATTGAACCATGTGCTCGAACGCTTCTTGCGCAGTAGAGCGGAAGTGGAAGTGGTCGCTGTTGCTGCGGAGGCGGTGGAGGGGCGTGGATGGGGCTCGTGGGAGAAGCGGGAGGAGGGTGGTGGGGCCATGCAGGAGGTTGCGGTGGACATGAGACTGGGTGATTGGGCACGGTAGGAGGAAGAGGAGGAAGAGAAGATGTGTTGGTAGGAGGAGGAGGATGGTGGTGGTGGTGGTGCAGCTCTTCCTCCTGCTACTGCTGCTTGGTAGTTGCCATGTGAAGTGTCGGGTCTCAGGCTGAGAGAGGCGCGGGAGCTGCTGAAGGATTGTCGCAAGCTGGTCAGACTGAACAGGCGACGTACGGGGGCTCGCTGCTGATAGCTGTGCGAGTGTTCCATGATGGGCGGGGCAGCAGCAGTGGTGGTGGATGGTGTGAGTGGTGTGAGTGGTGAGTGCAGACTGTCTGCTGCGATGGATGTGCTGATGCCGTTGGTGTCGATGGAGGAGGTCTTATGGAAGCTTGCTCTCTCAGCTTCGGGAGTGGGCGGCCAGGTGCCTGGTGAAGTAGTCCAATCGTGGGCCGGGTGGGAAGACAAGGGACCACCGCCCGGCGTGGGTGGGCGTGATAAGCGAGGCCTGTTGTTCTGGCTGCTGCCACCTCTACCGCTAGATGGTGGGCGGGATGGCGGAGGGCTGTCAAGTGGCGCAGGAACAGAACAGTCGAGGGGTTCCCGTTGTACCGAAAGGACGTAGCTCTCCCGAGGGCGCGAAGGCGCATTGGGGCTTGTTGGTATGGAGGCCATTGGAGGAGAAAGTCGCGTGGAGGATTTGGTGAGTGACGATGATGTCGTGGACGACAAGCTGAAAGTACCTAGTACAGCGGCAGTAGTACAAGCACTACAGGCAGGCTACAGGTGTTGGGTGTACAGTACAGCATGCACACTGCACTGACTGCAGCAGTACGACAGCCCAACCTCTCCCGAGTCCCTTTCTCTCTGCGCAGCTGCAGCTACAGCACAGCAACAGCACACACACTATTGCCCTTGGCGGTAGTCTTTATAACACGAGTACCGACTAGGACTAGGACCTGAACCTGACCGTGTTCGTTCTGCTGCGGGGTTGTACTGTAATCTTCGACTGGGATGCCAGATTGAGATATTCTTATACCTCCGTAGTGTACTGTGTAATAAGTATCGTGATGAGTGAGGCTGTCCGCTAGGTATGTACCTTACCCACTTCCACAAAAAGGGGGTTTTGAGGGAAGAAGGGGGGGATGCAAACCGTTCTTCAGACTTACGGTATAGGAGAGAGAGCGGAGAAAAAATGTCCTATTCCGCCCGAGACACGGCTTTTCTTATCCAATGTTGTTGTTGATGTTGATGTTGTGAGGCGGAATAGTGAATTTAATGTTTCGCGAACAACACGCGCCGGGCACGCGAAGACGGGAACGCTAGTCAGCACGGTTTACACTTTACCTTATAGTTTATACCTTATCATGCAGCTTATGACGCAGAGTTCAGGAGCCGACTCACGACCTGCAGCGGGGCAGCTCAGCCGTTGGAGTCTTCGAAGAGTTTCTTCTTCGTGTGTCCAACCAGCTTCATGGGAGAAAAGGAACTGATATGTATCATGTTTGGTATCGCGTGTGTATTTGTAATTTTCTTTTTATTTCTTCTCTGCCCAAGACGCCCCGCTTTTCTGGTAGCCATCATATTTTCCATCTCTACATCTACCTAGGAGGTACCTTATCTAGGTATGATCGTATGGATCGACCATGTTGTCATCCTCGCCTGCAATCATGAACCTCCGCGACCACCTACCCTGTTCAACGCTTCGACTTGCATCTTGCTGAGCTCAATCTGGGGCAGAGGCGTGGCCTCCTTCTTCGTCGGTGCCGCCATGAAGTCTCGAGCTACAAGAAAGGATAAATAGGCACCTGTCGCCTCTGGAGTCACCGTTGCCGGAGTTTCTATTCCCCCAACTGTAGCATCGGCTCTCAATGCAGCCTGTGCCTTGCGATCATCCACATTCGGAGCCTTGGTCGCTGCGGGCAAATCGCCCGTGACCATGTGGTAGAGTCCCAAGAGTGCGAGCTCGTCCGGACCTTCATGTCCTGCTTCGACGTATGCCTCAATCTTTCGTGCCCACGTGGAGTACGACTCCACAGGGCTGTCGTACCCATACTTCTCCAGCGCTCCCAGATACTCGTTGAATGTGGGCCGAGGATGTGCGTCAACAAATGCGACTGAGCCGGGCTCGCCATGGAACGACGCCGCCGTGATGAGTCTCGCAACTCTCGTGACGGGAACCATGTTGATGGTGTTTTCCATGTCTGGTCGAGCCCCAACTTGAACACAACCCTTGAGCATACGCACGAGAAAGTCATCGGTGTTGGAAACTCCCGTCTTCGGATCGCCCATCACGTAGCCAGACCGTACAATGACCGCGTTGAGACCGCGTGTCCCGGCTTCGCGGATGATTTGTTCAGATACCCATTTCGACTGACCATATCCGGTGCCGAGTCCTTGTCGACTCCCTTCGAGCGGATCGCTCTCGAGAATAGGCTGCCCAGCATCAGATTGCTGCACGTAATGTTCAGTGTCGACAGCACTCGTCGAGCTAATGAATGTCAATCGCTTGCTCTTGCCGCTGGCGCACAGTTTGATCGCTTCGATTGTACTCGTGACATTCGCAGCTCGAAGGCTTTCGTATGGCATGAGCCAATGCACCCGAGCGCCATTGTGGATGACAAGATCAGCCTCTTCGGCCACTTTCTTGTAGTCAGCGTCGCTGAGTCCAAGCTTGGGCTTCTCTAGGTCTCCGATGACAACTTCCAGCTTTCCTTCCGTTGCCCACGAGTCTTGCCAAAGGCCGTAGGCAGTGCACGTTCTGCGGATTCGCTCAAGGCCTTCGGCCTGTGATGGAGCACGGACGTGGGCATAGACATGATTGGGAGTGTTACGCATCAAAGCGTCGCTCAGCACGTATGCACCCAGAAAACCGGTGGCACCAGTGAGAAAGATGTTGACGCCCTTCTCCGCGCTTCTCATTGGGCCTCCAGAAATCGTCTGGGGTAGTTGTGAGATCTGGTTTGGCAAGTCGTTGGCGTAGTGGAGTGTTTGCTCGACTTCCTCATCATCCTCGGCAGCATCCAGACGAAGACTGGTTGGGTTGATTGATCTGTCGATATACTTTGCCACCTTCTCGAGTGTGGGCTGCCCAGAAGCCATGATCGACATGGGAACATTGATGCCTTGCCACTTACGATTGATCTTGGGCACAATCTGTACTGTCATAATGCTGTCGCCCCCGAGATCATAGAAGCTCGTGTCTCGAGGCAGTGTCTCTGAAGTATGGTTGCGAGTCTTGAGGTGCTCCGCCCAGATCTTGGCCAGCTCTTTCTCGGTATCTGTTCGCTTTTCCAAGTCTGTAGCTTCTGGCAAAGAACCGAGCAAGTCCGCACGTTCGGGGAATGGCAACGCTCTCTTGTCGACCTTGCCATTGGGGTTCAATGGTAGTCGCAGCATTGGTATGAATAGTGTTGGTACTGCATAGGTGGGCAGCTTCTGCTTCAGCCTTTGGCGAGCATCCTGTGTAAGGAGGTCAAATATCTTCATGCGTTGAGCAATGCCATGAGTCTCCTTGGCCGACTCTCGTCTCCGAGGTCGAAGCCCTCCATTCGTGATGGGCTGTTTGCCTGCAGCTTCTTCCTGCTCAGCGTACCATTCTCTCCACTTGACCATATCGGGCACGTAGTATGAGACCAGAATCTGTTCTTCTTGATGATCGCGCCTGACCAACGTGACATTTTCGCGAATGAGTGGGTGCTGGCTGAGGTGAGTATCGATTTCTCCAAGCTCGATTCTGAAACCACGAATCTTGACTTGGTCGTCCGCACGACCGACACACTCCACATTACCATCCTGCATGTACCTTCCCAAGTCGCCAGACCTGTACATGCGGTCTCGTGGGCCCTTGTAGTGTTCTCTCCACGGCTCGGGCTGTCCAGCTGCCTCGACACGCTTTTGGTCCTCCTCTAGCCACTTTTTCGGGTCGACGAACCAGTTGGAAACGAATTTCTGGGAATTCTTCTCGGGATCGCCAAGGTACTCTTCTGCCAAACCACCTGCGCGGACGTAGATCTCTCCAATCTCTCCCACTTCGCACTGTCTTTCCTTCTTCTCACGATCTACCACGAGAAGCTGGACATCCATCATACCTGTTCCAGCAGGAATCACATCTCCCATCTTGTCCAGGTAGCTCGAGTCTTCATTGGCAGATGGGATTTCGTAGAAGCTGACCGCACGTTGGGTCTCGGTCGTCCCGTACATGTTTTTGATTCTGCAGTTCGGGGCAAGTTGTTGCAGCCGTCGACAATCGCGCTTGAGCAGGATATCTCCGACGAAGAATGCTCCATGTAGACTTGTAATCTTCGGCTCCAGACTACCGAGCAAGATTTGGCCCATGGCAGGAGTAAGATGCATTACTGAAATCTCATTGGTGCTTGCCCAATTGGCCAGTCTGTCGAATGTGATGTCTTCAGCCGGAGGCACGATCAAGCTGGCGCCAAGAAACAGAGGGGTGAAGATGTCACGCTGAATCGGATCGTGCGCAATGCCACTCAACATGGAGAAACGCTCCTTGTCTGTAAGATTGAAGCGCTTGGACATCCAAGGGAAGTAGTAGGCCAATGAGAAGTGTCTGCCCTTGACACCTTTTGGTCGTCCTTCAGAGCCAGATGTAAAGGACAATGTGGGAGTGCTATCAGGTCCGACAAGGACGCCGGGCAGCTCTTCTTTCAAGGCTTGCTGAGCTTGGAGACAGTCTTCGCCACCCTGAAGGGAGCCTCCCGTCACTGATCCATCGTCATGCAGCATCAATCCGGGCACTTCCGTTCTGAGGTTGAGGTTCGTGCTGATGTAGTTCCTGACAAGAGGCGCAAGTTCTCCAGCTTCCTGTTTCGCTTTTTCAATGCAGACCAGGGCCCGTGGTTGAGCAACCTCCAGATAGATGTTTTGCCTGTCAGCTGGGTACGCGGGATCGATGACACTGAACGTCGCGCCCGCCTTGAGCACACCCATGACAGCTACGACCAAATCCACGCCTCGGTAGGCATAGACCATGACCACTTCGCCGCGCTGGATGCCATTGCTGACAAGATGATGTGCCAAAACATTCGATGATTCGTTGATTGTCTTGTAGCTAAAGACGCGTTCAGGTGATGTTGAAGATGCCGTTTCAATGACACATGATCGTTCTGGGTGCTGTTTCGCATTGGCTGCAAAGATCTCATGGATTGCTCCTCGATAGTCCGACCAGTGAAGGTCAGACGTGGGGTCTGGGCGGACGTCTTTTTGGTCGGCAGGCATGATTGATGTGATATGTGACTGAACGTGAAGGGGTGGTATAGATATACGTCCCCGGTTACTGACTCATCTGATCTGAGCCAGGATGAATTTTCTTCGTCGTGCTTGGAAGCCGCTCTACCAATGGTGATGTTCCAGTGCACTAGCCAGGAGTACAAGTGGACGCGAATCTTTTTGTCTGTTTGAGGTGTTTTTTGCAAGTGAAGTTCATGAATATCAGAGCGATATCGCAACGCACGACATCATCTTCCACAGACCCAAAGCACTGACCAAATTTTTATAAAGATCAGCGGGCCGTTGCGCGAGCGGCCGAGAGAGGAGCTAGTTTTCCCAGCCACTTGAACAGCTCCCTAGCTTTATGCGGTACCGCAGGCATATATAAATCATCCTCTCGGCGCGTGAGAAGCATGTCCCCATCACCGCAGACATGGCGCCGGCAAGCGTCCATGGGCGGACTCAGCACGGCACTCGACCAGCCCGGCTAGTACGCTCGAGGCCGTCGACGAAGACAAAAGAGTCAAAGGAAGCTGGAGACGTGGCAACGACGCCCGATGTCGAAGAGGTGCGGCAAAAGCGAGCAGCATATTATAGCGAACCGGCCATCGAGCGGCGACGAGCCACGCCGCTGTTGGGAGTGAGGCCATCATCGAAGAGCAAAAGGAGGACAGAGACAACGACAGTGCCCAAGTCAAGGTCCAGCGAGCAGAAGAAGAGACGGAAGCGAACAAGCAGTAGTGGCCACAAGCCAGACAGCCACAACGCAGATGCAGACGGCTATGTCTACGATGCGGCGCTCACACCGCAAGAGGCAGGGTCAGCAAGACGAAGCGCTGGTGTGCAGCGGAAGTCGAAGCACACGACTTCCACGAGTGCGCGTGAGGTCCCGTCGATTGTGGACGATGAGCTCACCCCCAACGATAGCATATCCCAAGTAGGTCTGAATCCTGCTCCGCAAAGGACAAAGTCAAACATCTCCCGCTCGTCTGCTCAGCGGAATCTGGGGGCTGCGAGGCTTGCAACTGTCTCTGAACAAGCAGATGAGCAAAAGAGTCCTCCCAAGCCATCCAGGCAGCAGAGAAGATCGTCGTCCATCTTTGATTCCCTTCTTCGACGCCACTCCACTGCGGCCATACCAACGCGTCCTCCCCGACTAGTAGAGTGCTTGACCTGCGGCTCGGACGACATACCCTCCACGCAAACCGCCAAACTAAGCTGCACTCACCGCATGTGTCACGACTGTCTCAAGCGTATATTCGAGATGTCCGTGACTGATCCTGCCCATATGCCACCGCGCTGTTGTACAAAAGACCACATTCCTCTGAAGCACGTGGAGAAACTCTTCGACCTCAAGTTCAAGGTTCTCTGGAATCGCAAATACCAAGAATATCATACCAAAAACCGAATTTATTGTCCCACCCCAAAGTGTGGTGAGTGGATCAAACCATCTCACATTTCCTCGTCCAAAGGACGCAAGTACGCACAGTGTCCTCGTTGTAGCACCAAGGTGTGCACATTATGCAACGGGAAACTGCACAAATCGTCCGACTGCCCCCAAGATCCCGAGATTGCCAAGCTTGTTGCCCAAGCCAAGGAGAAAGGATGGCAGACGTGCTACAGCTGTCATGCAATGGTGGAGCTGAAAGAAGGTTGCAATCACATGACTTGTCGCTGTCTCGCAGAGTTCTGCATGATTTGCGGGAGTAAATGGAAAAGCTGTGAATGCCCTTGGTTCAACTATCGGGACTTACCCGATCCGGATCGTTTGACCAACATGCGTGTGCCAGAGGAGGTTCGAGTCGTATATCAGAGGGTCATGGACGCTGCTGGTATACCAGTACCACCACCAAATGCCGCAGCAGCAGCACCACCACCACCAACACCGCATGCTCGCGCTCGGCCTGTTTCGACGTACGACGAAGAGCTCGCGCAACGCCGAAGACAAGAACGTCTTGACGCTGATCTAGCACGCCGACTACAACTGGGACTCATTCTCAACCCTGAGGACGGAGAGGAAGCTGGGCGGCCCCGGGATCGTCATCGGGAGGCTAACATCGCAGCATGGGGACTGGACAATGATGAAGCTGGGCTGAATGACAATTTCGTCACGAATGCGGCGAATGTCGTGATGAGTGCGTTTGGAGACGCCACCCTGGGACGGAGAGGCGACAGGGAATCTGGTAGGCGACGTAGAGCACGGCAGACTGCGCAAGGCTCCACCGATGCAGGTCTTGCGCCGAACTTCTTGGGCGATGAAAGCGTGTTGGGTGTGGGGCCATCTCCGAGGAGATTTGGGCGATGAATGTACGTACGACTTGATGATTGATGCTACACGATCATCATACTGTATGTTTGGAGAATCTCCGTTCAAGCAAGTTCTCGATTCGCATCATTTCCCATCACCTAGTTCTCTTCCAACTCCACCACATCCCACGTCAAACCTCCATGCGTAATCTTACCGCCCAATTGCAACCGGTCAAATTCCATAGCCACACCACACGGCAAGAAAAAATCTCCCATGCGGAAACTCCGCTTCCAATTCTCCTTTGCCGTCCACTCCCACCTCTCCAACGTAATCTCTTCCCCAATTCTCATCAACCCTTGACAAAACTGTCCCAGTCGAATTACCATTCCTCTCATCTTTTCCTTTTCCTTCTTCTCTTCCCCTTCTCCCTTCTCCCCCTCTTCAGACTCCATCACCAACACGGCACATTTCACCCCACTACCACCACCATCCATCTTCTTTTCTCCTCCTTCCTCTGCACACCTCAACCCCACCACATCCCTCCACATCTCCTCATAGTCTTCCATTTTCCCCGTCTGCGAATTCATCATCGTCCCCTTTTCCAGCGTGCGACCAGTTTCTTCTTTATCAGATCCAGGAAACATGAATCCTTCATCAACTACATTCTCTGCTTCTGTAGTGCGAGAATCAATCCAGTGTTTCCAGGTGGATTTGAAGAGTGGAGAACCATCTTGGACGTGGTGCGTTATTTGAGATGAGGATGTTCCTGCAAAGGCCCAGTCGAGGTGGGAGAGGGGGAGGATTGCTATGTGAGGTATGTTTTAGTTGGTTTGTACAGTTAAGTAAGTGGTGGTGGGTGATGGGGTTGGTTTTGTTGTGGCCTTTTGTTTTTGCTTTTGAAACGTTTTTTATTCTTGTTTCTTTTCTTTTTATATATGTTTTAATTATTTTTGTTTTTTTGTTTTTTTTTCAACTGACCTGCATCTTTGGCGACATCGGAAACGGGTTCTCGCCCATTTTTCAAGACTCGGATGTCGACGAAGCGGTTTGCACTTGAAGTGAGGACAAGTGTTGAAGTCGGTTCCTCTGCTGCGGAGGTGGATGGCATGCGAATGAACTCGCGGATCGAGATGTGTGGCGCCATTGTTGAGACGCGAAATCGCGACTATGTTGACGTTGGTGATGGTTGATGATTGTGAAAGTTGGAAGTGCAAGATTGTGAGTTACGTAATAGGCAGAAGGTACGAGTGAATTGTGGCCGTCACTAGGTATTTACATTTGGCAATCTATTTAACGAACGACATGTGCAAGCAATCATTCATACTATGTACAAAGTATCTGTATATACAATTCATTCATCTCTATGTACTCGTCCAATCTCGTCATAATTTTCAAGTCGTTGCTCGCGCATTGAGTGTCTCTAGTCTTGATCAGTCATGCCACTGCTAAGCTCGCCGGTCCTGGGAGATGCTCAGCAGACATCTCAGGCACTGGTGGCAAATCTTCCATAGGTGCAGTGTCGAATGGATCGCACTCTTCGTGAGCAGGAGTGGGAGGAATGGCCCCGAGAGTATGCGCCTGGAAGCTGTTGGTGAAGGGGTTCTTGGAGAAGGAGTTGCTATTGAACGAGTTGCTATTGAAAGAGTTGCTGTTGAACGCAGCAGCATTATTCATCGAGGCCGGCAGGCTGGTGGGGCAACCGGCACTCACACTGCTCCGGACATGCGTGGGAGTGCGATACACTGGTGATGGACCACTGACCGAATTTCTGTGCTGGAGGGCGCCTGCGCTGACTGTGCTCGATTGTCGCGACGATGGAGCCTGAGCGTTCGTGCCCTGGAACGCAGTTGAGAGCCTTCGGAAGACAGAGCTGCCAGCACTTGCTATGCTGAGCGAGCGTGGGGCTTCACACGGCTCGTGAGTGTCGAGCATGTAGTACACTCCCTTCAAGCCAGTGTTGGCGGCAATGACGGAGGCTTTGACAGTATTCCAGCTCTCTTCGAGGCGAATGAAGTCATCCATCTTCTGGTCCATACTGTCGAGTTGCTTCATGACCACCTCAACACAGTCTGCGATGAGAGTGAGGCCAGTGATGAAGACATCCGCAGCCTGATCTTGGGCCACTGCAGCAGGCTGCTCGTGGATGAGAGCAAGGGCTGAGTTGCACAACTTGTCGATGGCCATTTCTGCCATGTTCTTCTGCATGGTGATATCGACATAGAGTTTGGACCGGTCTGCTTGCTTACTATCCTCGTCTCTCATAGCATTCTTTACGTTGTTGTAGACGTTGAGAAATGCGTCTTGGTGTACGTAGGCCATACCGCCGTTGAGGTTATCCATGGCAGCCATGACTGTATCTGCTTCGTCTCCAAGCGTGGCTGAGAGCTCTGCGAAGTGGTTGGTGCCCTCCATCATGCCCGCCGCTTGGAGGTGCTTGAAAAAGCTGAAATCTCCGCTGCGACTCGCAGTATGAAGGTTGTGTCGGACAAGCGCAATGCGCTGCGTCCAGTGTAGTTGCTTCACATTCCCGGTTAACATTTCGATAGTGTGCTAGGAGTTGTATAGCGTCACAGTGGAATGGTAGATGAGTCGGGCTGGGAAAACAACAAGTATGTATAGTCACAATATATCGGGATCGGCGTGGCACACGGGATGGATAGACCTGAAGGTATATCCTTGCCGGCTTCATTGTCGTCCCCGCAAGGGTCTCCAAGGTCTGGAAGGTCGACATTCAGGCCGGCAAAGATCTGAGCGTACTGTACCCGAGTGCTCGTTCGATGCGGTCGTGCTTACCACATGCTTTAGGGAAATAGACAGATGGACCCCGTCCTGATCCAGTATCACGCAGTCGGTAGCGAGGAATGGGTGTGGCATCCAGGACGACGGGTCTTTGTGCAGCAACTGGTCGCGGTAGTCCTCGCGTGCACATTCCACGGCATAGAAGAGTCGCTGCTGGCTGGACAATGCTGGCTTTGTTCAACATGTCGTACACCAGCCAGGCTACTGGAAATGGCAATTGCGGGTGACGCAATCAAGTGCTGCCAAAGGATGGAGTGAACGGAGGCATGTCCGGGAAGACTGGATGATGCCGTTGCCGTACTTGGAGTTCTCTTCATCATACCTACATGTACTTCTTGCATTCCCGGCTGTGTGCTGGCTGTATCTATCGCCCTGGCTATCTGCTAGATGGGATAGAACGCTCTCATGCTTGTCACGGGGGCCAAGCCCTGAATACCGTCGAAGGAGCATACATGATGTATCTTGCTTTTAACGCTGTGGCATTTCTTGCGCTGGTACGTACTGGGCGGCAAGATAGATCGCTGTGAGCTGTTCAGCAGACGTGTTCATTATTCAGACATGGGGCTGTTGTCCAGGATGGTGGAGATTGGTCCGGCGTGCGAAGGCGGTGCAGCAGCTGTTAGGCACTTTTCACATGCCCCATACCTTAGGTATGCATGTGACCAAAATCTGCATGTGAAAGTGAAGAAATATGCTGTTGCCTTCGCGTGAGGGAAACGAGCCGTCGTTCTCGCGTGCAAGATGAGGTTGATGGGTGATGGAAGTGTCTAGATACATGTAGTAGGAGAAAGAAGGTAGACAGAGAGAGACGTCGCGGCGGTGGCGCAGGTGGCTAGTGCCTTCTTGGCCCGCTTTTTATGACGACAATCCATCCAAGGAACGTGTTGGTCAGTTCCCTAGTCTGTCCAAAACCGCAGAAACAGCGCATGTGCATATAACCACTCCGACCGCCTCTTCTCTCACCAGCTACACACACACTCACACCCACAAACACATTCTCCCACAGCACTTCCGACACACCACTCAACTCTCAAACAAATCACACCAAGTTTCACATCAAGCCCCACCAACATCCACACAACAATGTCGACCACCGTTCATGTCAAGGGCATCAGCGCCCAGACCAGCGAGAAAGAGGTCCGCGACTTCTTCAGCTTCTGGTGAGTGGGCACCCCATTGACCTTCCAATCTTGTGCACGTGCTAACAGTTCTCTCCAGTGGCAAGATTCAATCCCTCTCCCTCACTCCAGAGTCCAACGACTCCAGCGCATCACAGTCCGCCAGCGTCACCTTCGAGAAAGAGACCGCCGCTAAGACCGCCCTCCTCCTTGACAACACACAACTGGGCCCGTCGCAGGTCCATGTTACAGCTGGCCAAACACTCGAACAGGCATCCGGCGGTAAGACTGCTGGTGCTTCGGAAGATGATCTTGCCCAGGAGGACAAGCCGCGTGCCCGTGTTGCAGCCGAGATGCTTGCCCACGGTTACAACTTGAGCGACCAAGTCATCCAGAAAGCCCTTGCTCTTGATCAACAGCATGGCATCTCGACCCGCTTCACCACCGCTCTCCAAAACTTTGATGCCAAGTACAAGGTGTCTGAGAAGGCAAAGACCACCGACACCCAGTACGGCATCTCGGCCAAGGCCAATGAAGGCTGGAAAGGCTTCAACTCGTACTTCGAGAAGGCTCTTGGAACTCCCACTGGCCTAAAGGTCCGCCAGTTCTATGAGCAGGGCAGCAAGCAAGTTCTTGATGTCCACAACGAGGCCAAGCACCTTGCATCTTTGAAGGCTGGCAAGGAGCCAAATCACCCAGTCGAGGGCAAGGAAGGCCGAACAGCTTGCGCTTGTGGTAGTGCCGCCGCCAAGTGCTCGTGCAAGCCTGGAGAGTGTGCTTGCTCCAGCTGCAGCAAGAACCCGGACGAGAAGACATCCACCGTTTCCGCGGAGGAGGCCGAACTGGAGAAGATTCCTGGCACCGAAAAGACCAAGTGCAACTGCGGAGGTGCAGATGCAAAGTGCGCGTGTGAGGCAGGCAAGTGTGCTTGTGCTAGCTGCCCCAAGTCATCGTAGGCTGTCTCGCGACGACCACAAGCATGGGTGTCTTAGCTCCAATCTGCCTGGTCAAAGAAAGTGAACGTGGCCATTAGGCATCGTTCCATTGATCTGGCAAGATGGGAATGAACAGTACGGCCGTTTCGAAAGTCTGCATTCAACTTGATTGTATCACTATCGCGGAGAATGGATTTGGCGCCGGTGCAAAAGGAAGGGATGAAGGGATGCAGGCGTGCGAGGGAATGGTTAGTTTATGAAGTTATGAGATTGAAAGTAGCGAATATGCAAGCGACTGTTTTAGTATTCTATATCGCAGTCCATCAATGTCCCGAACCTTGGTCATTTGTTCCTGCATAAACGTGCTCATCTGTGTACCGCCTGATCATCGGCGAGCTTGACGTGCCGTGGGAGATAATGTGAACTGGAGACCACTGAATAATATCTTCTCCTCCATGTTTATCTAGCAGCTGATGACCGAAGTTCAACCCAAACCTACACTCAAGTTATCTCCTACCTCCTACTACCACCATACAGCAGACGATGAAGGCGAAGGAGTGGTGTGATATTATAGAGATATGGGCGATATGGGCGATAGTGGGGCATACATCTTGATTTCCAATCGCCCCTCCACATTCAAATGATGACGCTACCTTACTCTAGCTCTATTATACGCTATCCTACTCCATCAACAGTACATGTAAGGTACACGTACCTCCTACCTCCTACTGTAGTCACAAATCAACACAAAGTACACAAACGCAGACCCGTCTGTGTCTCGCCACCTTCGAAACCACCATGCCTCTCCCCACCTTCGAAACCACCTTCGCCGTCCCTCTCTCCTGCGACTCATGCATCCAAGCCGTCAAAGCCGCCCTCCAGCCCATTCCCGGCATCGAATCCATCTCCGCTTCCCTTTCCGACCAATTGATCTCGATCAAAGGCAATGCGGCACCCAGCGCCATTGTGAAAGCAATCGAGGAGACGGGACGAGATGCCATTTTGCGCGGAAGTGGGAAAGAGGGGAGTGCGGCCGTGTGTATACTGGAAACGCATAGCTCGCAAGTTCCCTTGGGAGAGGTTGTGAAGGGATTGATTCGGATGGTGGAAGTTTCTTCGGGGGGTGAAGGGGTGGTGTTGGCGGATATGACTCTGAAAGGGGTTTCGGAAGGGAGATATCATGTTACGGTGAGAGAGGCGGGAGATATTAGTCGGGGCAGTGAGAGTGCTGGTGGAGTGTGGGATGCGGTGCAAGCTGCGAAGGAGAAGAGGGAGAATGTGAAGGGGATGTTTGGGACGATTGAGGTGGGAAAGACGGGATTGGGATCGGTGTTTATTGATCGCCCTGTGAGGATCTGGGAGATGATTGGGAGGAGTATTGTGGTCAGTCAGCAAGAGATTGGGAAGGAGAAGAAAGAAGACCCGAATACGCTTGTGGGTGTTGTTGCGAGGAGTGCGGGCGTTTGGGATAATGACAAGACAGTCTGCAGCTGTAGTGGGAAGACAGTCTGGGAAGAGAGGAAAGAGCAGAGGGAAAAGGGCATGTTGTGAGACGACTTCTGTGGAAGTGAAGGTGTCGGCGAGGTATGTCGAGCTCGTCTTCAGCGTGATGGCTGAATCATTCTTTCTAGTGCTAGAGAGCATCAAGATGGCCTTGTATGGACGAGCGAGTCATTGCATCGCCATTATTCTACTCACGACCAACACTCTAGGACTTGTTATTGTTCGTATCCCGGAGCCAGCTCTCACGCTCTACCCATACTGAGGACACCAGGATGGAGCGATGATTCTGCGCTTCCCGATCGATGGCTTCGTTTTGCTGCTGACGATGACATAGCAATAATCTCGAGTTTATACCAGGCGTAGGATCTGTGGATCTTTTCGGATCGCGGGCTTGTCGGATTGACGAAAGTACCAGGTATATACTCATCCCATTGGCTGTCTGATTCCCGCTTTAGGTATGCCGTACGAAGACCCAAGAATCAGAAGAGATTCTAGACAATGTTTCAACAGTTGCTGAGCGAAGGATTACTTGCTGACCCAAGGAGAGTGTCCATGTTCAGATAGACCTAGCACAGGTAGGGTTCGCGTTCCGCCATCAGGATATGTTCCATGACTTCCAATAAAACAATGTCCATCCAACTCCGGTCAGGCAAGAATTCTCCACTTCACACCCAGGTCCATGCACCACCGCGAAGCTCTCGTCGTTGCTTCGATGCAATACGAATAGCAACAACATGGTATTGTAGGTAAGGTAGGGAAGTTCCACGTACTGCTATTCTCTCCGACGACAAGGAAAAAAAGTAAATAAATAGTATCCTCCATCTCCCAGATAATTCCTTTTTTTTTTCCTCAAATACCACACACAAACTCGACCATCTCCAAGAACAACAACTCACCCCCCAGCCCGCCCACCCACCAAACAACCAACAACCATGCGTTTCGCCCACCTCCTCATCGCAGCCCTCGCTCAACTCGCCATGTCCATGCCTCATGCCGACGCCGCAGCACAAAAGAAGATTTGTTGCGGCGGTGCACCATGTCCACCCGATGGGGTAAGTCGGCCATCGTCGTCGTCGTCGTCATCTCATACCTTGTAGAGAAAAAGAAGTGTTTTTTTTTTCTCTTTGCTTTGTTCATTTTTGCGTCACCTAGCTCTCGGTTCGAAAAAAAGAAAGAAAAAAAGGGTAAATGCTGACATTTGTGCTCAAGTGCGGTTGCGATCGAAGTGTACGTATATTATATATCTTGCTCCCGAAAAAAAAAAAAAGAAAAGGTAAAAGTAAAATACAATTAAGAATTGAAAAAACTAATATCGTCTTTCTGTTTCTTTCTTTTCCGGGGGGTTATTAGTGTTAAGGGAGTACAAACTACAAACATCTACCTACCGATCTGCTGCGAGTGATGGGGTTAGTGGGATCTGGTCTCCGAGAGAGAGAATTGTAGCCTTTGGGTTACTGTCGACGTCGAATGAGAGACAGTTTTTCTCTTTGATCGTTGTCTGTCAGGCAGAGAGAAGAAGGAAAGGGAGGAGGTATGCGGAGGGGGATACATACATGTCCCTACCCTCCTAGGAAGAATGAGACACACCGTCACCCACGTACGTACCTTGTGTAATCGGACTCGGTCGAGCTGGCTGGCTAGGACCCGGGCAAGGACATGTACCTAACGAGCGGCGAGCTGCTGACCAAGTCTAACACGAGTGGCGAGTTGAATGTCCATTGTTTCAAGACAAAAAAGATCTCAAGTTACCTCCTCCTAGCACATTGTATCTGAGGTGGGCTTCGCATTCCGATGACACCACTTCCCATAGGTACCTGGTAGGAGATATCAAGGTAGGTAAGATACGGTAGTCCCTGACTGGAAAGATGTAGTTGTGGAATCCACTATCTCTCCTACAAAAATAAGTATTTATTCTTCACATTTCCTACGTCGTCAAAGTATCTAGGCGAATAGGAGGAGGAAGAGGTCTCAAGTGAAAATGTACAACGGGTATTTGTAAATCTCAATCTCAAAAAAGGGCTTGAGTCCTTGACAGAAAGAAAGAAAAAAACCCCCCCTCGTCTTTGGAGCTTCGCATCTACCTGATCATCCATGCTTGTATCTTTGCCATTAGCCATGAACAACGTGCATGCCTCTTCAGATGCGGTAAAAAGACCAAAAGAAAGATAACAAAAAATATCGCTTCAAGAATTGAATGAATGAATACAAAACCGCCAAAAGAGCCAGCCCGGTGTAGGCTGCCGGTGGATGCCAAGACTTGAATGCCATCCTCTCTCTCTCGAAGTGATGAAAACTCCAACGAGAACGCTCACAACACTTTCAAGCAGTCTGTCAGGATCAATGCGCAGACCGACACTTTACAATAGTCTCTTGAAATTCTCCACGCCCAAAGTAGGAGTCTCAACCCACTTACGACCTGGAACACCCTCTTTTAGTCTTCGATCGAAGAAACTTCCACACTCACCCACGACAACAGTCCACTCTGCCAGGGCTCTGCCCGCATATCGAGCGGTTGCCATGCTGGCGCCTTGAGGTTGGACAGGCCCGGGCGCTGAGGACACGACGTTAGACCGCTCCTGTAGCAATTGGTGCGCAGGTCCAGGCAGTCGTGGCGGAAACAGTCGCATTTGCGCATGCGGCTTGATGCTGGGATAGAGTTCGAGCGAGAATTTGAAAGTCAGGCTTCGATGTGTCGGCTTCTCTATCGCAGTCTCGATGGTCGTCGGAACCTCCGTGATCGAGGCATTCGTCGCGGATTTGATCGGACTGGGAGGAATGGGAGGGTCTCGCGATGCAGGTGAAGTACCCTTGTCCTTTGGATAAGACTTCTTTCCACCACCACCGCCGCCGCCGCCCCCGATCAGCTTCTTCAGAGCTCCAAAGAGCCCCTTCGTGCTCGGCTCCTGATCGGAATCTAGGTTTGACGAGGACGAGTCCGGTCTGAGATCGATGTTCTCGATCAACCCCGGCGCTGCAGCACTACGCCTGGCCATTTGTATGTTTGCATCTTTCATTAGGCCATCAAATGTTAGAAAGGAGCCTCCGGGATTCATGATATTGTCCGTGCGCACGATCAGAAGTCGTCGACCGGGCGCCGGATGGCAAGGGTACGCTTCAGGGCGTAGAGTGCTTTCGCGGTCTGCCTTGTCACACAGATATATGTAGTGCGACCAGGTCCGATGTAGTCGTTCCTGCAACGTCTCCAGTATGGGCATGTCCGTCAGTTCGTCATCGTCGGATCTGCCGAGTCGCCAGCAAAGCAGTCGCATATAGTAAGCCCGCACCATTGGGCACCAGTGATTGAACCTGGTTTCAAAGACTTGCGGATCCAGTAGCAAGCGCAGGCAGATGTCATGCTTTCGGGAAGTATTTCCGGTGACTACGTTCCACACGGTGAAAAGGAATGAGAACAGTCGAATCTCGGTCATGGTGTTCTCGCTGTCGATCATGCGTCGAAACACAGTTTGCCAGAAGCTGGAGTCGACGAGTGACGTGTCGGAGTCCCTCAAGGCGTCGTAACGAACCAGTATGATGAGTGCCTCCTCCAGGAAGTCCAGCAGTGTGTAGCAAGCAGAGTGGTTGAACATGGAGGTGCCACGAGCAGCCGCTTGCAGCAAGTCGGTGAATGAGCGAGCGAACAGCTCTCTGGCGACAGGATGCTCTGATGTACGCTCCGACAGGAAGTCGCGAATTAGCATTACTAGTCGATTCTCAGCCATTAATCTTACAGCATTAGTTGGTGGTACAGGTAGAGAAGACGCGTGGATATCCGGATCGCCCAACACATCGTCAAAGGTGGGAATAGGAGTGGCATTCAGGTCTTTGAGGGAGTGATTTGCTTCCCGGTGAATTGTCAATTCCAGGTTAGCCAGAATCTGTGCATGAACCGCGAGCATGCCGGGGGCGCACATTATCTCCTGTCGAGTCGTTCTGGGGGGCAAGAAGTCCACGGCGAGTATGTGAAAGTGCTTGCAGAAGACATAGAATAGATCACTTTCGCGGCCGTTCCAGCGCTCAGTCCAGTGACCCCACCACTCGATATGAGTCGTACCCACGGGAGGAGACGGCGGTGTGCGCATCTTCCGGGAGTATTTGGACAGCGACACGAAGCCAAGTTGATGCAACGCAGGAGGAAATCCCGAGACGGTCTCTGCGCATAGTAGCTCGGGGATGCTGTCGAACCGGCCGATGCCGTTCTCCTTGAGCACGCGTTTCACGTTGTCAACCGGCAGATCCCAAAGGCGCACCAAGGTGTCTGCCATGCCCGGCACGAACATGAAAGCATAGGCACACGCTTTCCCGCAAAATGTCACCAGACTTGCGGACGCATTCCTCAAAGACATCTTGTCAACAACGAATGCCATCTGAGAGGTCAGGTTTGTGATGAATAAGTTGCGAACATTGTGATGAACAGAGTCTGCCAAGAAGTCTGAGGAGCTCGAGCGCAGTGAGGTGTTGGAGCGACTGCCGGTTCCAAGGGACACCTTGACCCGTTCATTCAGAGGGCAGAAAGGCGAAGGTGGAAGCCTCCACTCCGGCCTCTCCATAATGCCAGAGATGCCATCGAGAATTACAGGTCGATCCGTTCCTGAAATGGATTGATTATTCTTGCCGGCGAGCATCTCGATCAAGCCAGTCCACCACTTATTGAAGATACTCGCCCGACGATCCAGGTCTTCAGGACGCAGCGTCTTATTCGATGCGTGGGTGGCATGGGTTCGCAAGAATGGTATGAGAGCAGTACGCACCACGTTCGCTTTAAGAGCACTGGACTTGGACTGAAATTTCGAAAATTCCGCGTCAAGATTGCGGAATTGTGTCCAGAGATCGTCCTTCTTCTTCGTGGCAGACAGTGGACTCATGTGATGCTTCTCAGCAGGCGGTAGTTTGGGTAGGGGAGCTGGTACATTGTCACCAGATGACTGCGTGACAAGCGAAGGCAACAGATCTGTTGAAAACGACTTGGGCAATTGTGGCACCTTAGGAACGGACGCAAGTGAGGGTGGCAAGCTTCCCCGGCGATTATCTTGGTTCGTTGCAACTTTCGTCAGGCCAGCTGCGCGCGTAGCTTTCTTACGCAGAAACGTGCCCTTTCGCGTCATCGCCGCTACTGGTTTCTGCAACTCCTTCTCATCGCTTGAGCTCTCCTCATCACGCTTCTCTTTCGTCCCTTTACTCTCCTTGAGGGGTTTCAGTGACCTCCTGCGAAGCTGGAACGACTTCCTGCGTCCCGCATCTGGGTTCTTCGAAGGGACATCACCTTCCACGGCCTTCGAGACCTCGGCAACAGGCTGCTCGACTTTGCTGTCTACCTTCGTAGGCGATGGAGACCGCGAGGAAGGCGTGGAGGACGCCGATGGATACCACGATCGGCCGGAGAATCGTTTGGAGAGCGACTTGTTGAGGGAAGGCCGCTGACTCGAAGCCGGCGTCGTGGCAGCAGAGGAGACAGTCCTGTCAGACTCTATGCTGGTTCTAGACTCCCGCGCAGTGGATTGAACAGTCGAGAGACTGCTACTGCTGCGTGCACTATCTGTCTGCCGCAACTTACTCGTTTCCGATACCTTTGTCGTTTCTAGTTTTGCTACAACGTCCTGAGGTTTGATGGGAGCAGCTCGCTGGCCACTGTCCTCTGGCGTACTCCATCCAGATGTGTCCGGGGCTGAGGCCTCCGAGGGCGAGATATCTACCGTCTCGTCGTCAGACTCTGCCATATAGTCGCGCTTCATGAGCCCGTTGACCTTGACCACAGCATGGCCACCATAGCCATGATCCTTGACCTCTGGTATGTAAGTGTACGAGGCCGCTCGCGGTAAATGGACCTCGTTCTTGCGTTCCGAAGTGACGTTCCCAATGTATCCATTGCTGCCTGCTTGCGATGTATCGCCTAGTCGTCCTGTACTTCGCTCGCTGCTCAACACGCCAGGTTGGCCGCGATTAGCTCCAGTGGCATTCCCCCCGGGCCGGCTGAAGTTGATAGGCTCCGTTATTACCGCCATGCTGGATGCTCCCAAGTCGCTGCCCTGTACTGAGATCCACTGTATTGCACCGCGAACCGGACTTTGTCCCTGCTCCTCTTCCGCATTAACAGTCCATCTTCAATCCTTCTAAACGAGTGGCAGCGCTCAAGATGAGCTGCAGAAGAGGATGGCGGACGGCGGTCGGCGGACTGCCGCAGTGCTCGCAGTAGGTAGTCTCACTAGTCTCGTGTATATCTGTGTATGTCTGGATCGGGGTTTCTGTCGGTTTCGTGTATGGTCCTCCTCTTACGCACACTCGGACTGCTGGGGTGTTGTCGCGCGAATCTGTGCAAGACGCTGCTCGGTCCCCGCGAGACACCGGGACTCGTGATGCTGCTGCTGCTGATGCCGATACTGTTTTCCCTTTCTGCTCAGGCCAGGTACATGTAGTACTGCACCGCGGACCAGCCTCGTGCGATAGATGGGTGGCCTCTGCCTCTGCCTCTGTATAAACCACAACGAAACAACAAAAGAAGCCAAGTTGGGAGAATAAAGTCGAGGGTCGAGTCGAACCGGGAAGACGTGCAACCGTCCGAAGCGGCTATCAAGGCGCCTGTCGATTCCGAATCCGCTTTTTCTCCTGTTGATGGTGAGCTCCGCTAGTCTCGATGTGTGAGTTCTAGTGGACTCTGTCGTCTCACATACAAGAAGGTGGGCTATTTCGGGGATATTACGTTGTACGCCAAAGTTGTGTTTAAATTGCACCCTCTACGTGGTCTCCTGGACTTGCGGCGAGGAGAGGACTACATATACATATAAGGTACCTGTATATACGAGGTCGTGTAGTCGTTCAGCAACATCACCTCTTCGCCACCAACGCCTCATCGTCAACGCGTCTTTCCTGATTTTCTGGCCCCGACGCTGCAGATACCACCGGATGAACTGACCAGCAGGCTCGTGGCCTGGTACTGTAATAGATATTCTCGCGGGAGACCGCGCGGCTGGGCCCTTGCAAATGGCGTGCATGAAGCGGCGGGGCTATGGGCAGATCCCATTTCTGTCTAGCTGCAGACCATATTCTGAGTCATCAAGTAATTTACGTACCCTTAGCTTTGGGCCTTACGATTGTATCATTGTACTCGCTCTTTTCCTAAGGTACCTAGTAGGCTTCAGTGCTTCACTTTACATTGCACCCCGAAGGATACTCCGATCGATTCTTGGCCCCCCTTGGGAGGCTAGGGGGGCAATTCAGTCGGTATCCCCGAGGTATTCGGTATCCCCGAGTTATTCGGTGTTCCCGAGGTATACCGTATTCGGTGCCCCCGAGGTAGAGGCGTTGTTTTTTGGGGGGTAGGGTTACAGTGAAAGGGTACGTGATTACTTGATGACTCAGAATTGGGTCTACAGCTAGACAGAAATCGGGTCTGCCCATAGCCCTGCGGCATGAAGGATCTGCACGTGAAATCCTGCCGATCGAACCAAGGCCAAGCTTCTGGCTGTTACACGTACCGTCAAGCTGTGACGCCGTCACGCCCGTTGCTTTGCCATCTGAGACTCGATCACACTGTCACACCCATTGCACGAGCTCGCTGGAGACCGGGAGGTACTTCCAGTTCCAGGGAAACGAAATCTATCGAGGCGGACTGGTACAGTATCTGCATTGATTGCACTAGGTACCATCTGCGATAGGCGAGAGAGTGGCCTGAGAGGCTGAGCATTAGTTGCATTACCACATGTACCTCCTAGGTGACCTTGAAAAGTCCACGATGTGGAACTAGGATCATTCCTGCAGCCTCACGAGAATGACTTCTCACCAACACACGAGGCCCAGTCTGATATGCAGCTATCCTGCCGCCGCGAATAGTAACGCCCTGCCGATAGGCCAGTTCACTCTCGTCCGGATTGAAATGCAAAGTGCCGCGCGTTGTTGGTACAGGTTCAGCTTCTCCTACCAGGTTGACGCTTGACCAGTCTACTAGTGCCAACGCGGGCCCGTGGGGATTCCAGTGCTCGGGGTCGGCTCCGAAAAACCAGAGATGATACCCAGGCTTTCTCGTATCGTCGCCAGGGCTTCTCTGGAAGAACTATCAGAAAAGCGTCCTGTACCACAGTGCGATGCCCCGCGCTTGTGTCATGCGGGTGAGAGACACACACGCATGGTCAGTGTCCTATTGATAAGACTCGTCCAATGATCTCAGTCCTGCAGCCGGTATCAATCGCGGCAGCAAGTCTCTCGGCGCTTGACGTCTCTTCAATGTCTGACGGCAGTGTGTGCAAAGAGTGCCTCGATACGAGAGCTATGCTCGTAGTCAAATGCCTTCAGTAAACCAACCAGATGAGCAGCGGCTGCTAGCACGACCAGCACATGAAAGATCTGGTGAGAGCTCCCAAACAGATCGTATTTGCCAGGATTCCAGCGTTCGGGTACACGAGACTTCGTGTACTGTTAGCATGCATATATACATCATCTCATCGGCATGCCACCAAGACGACTTACTGCATAGATAACAGCTCCCGTAATATATAAGATGCCCATGCTCACAAGCCACGTGAGACCGATCTGCCTCTCCATCTGCTCCAGCCCGTACAGCTTTAGGCCATGCAAGACGGGAATGACTGCACTCAGGCCCATCATAACGAACATGATCGCCCGGAATGGTCGCCACGCGGAGCTTCGGAATTTCGGATGCATGACGACGACGAATGTGACTGCACCTATTGTCGAAATCTGCAACATTGGTCAGAACAAGCGCCAGAGCTGCCAGGAGACATCCCACCCTACCATTGACCAATACACTTGAATGAGCTTTGGATCAGCTGCAAAACCGTAATAGATACTGGGGATGAAAGAGCCCCAGATCAGAAAGATGATTCCAATGTAGTCCAGCCGGTTTCCAAATTTCTGCACAGCAGCTGAATGATTCGAGATGGTATGAAACGTCGCACTCATGCCGAGACAAGCAAACGCACCCGCGAAGAAACATGAGAACACGAGAACATCTTGCGAAGTGGCTTGATCGAATCGTGGCTTCACAGCGAAAAGGATGCCGGATGCTGATAGCACCGCAGCAATCGCACCAAGCAGATGAGTCCAAATGTTGACGCTCTCGTTGTGGAGGTATCCGATGCTGGCAGCGGACTTGGCATATGAGTTTGAGGCGGGCCGGTAGCCGGATATGATGTAGTGATTGTCTTGTTGCCAGTCTTGGATCTGATGCCAGGCTACTGTTAATGCCGATTCGATCTTGTGCTCTGCCTTGTGGAAGACCGTGTCGCCGTCCTTAGGCTCTTTCTCGCACCTAACTACACTGGCTGGTTTCTTGTCCATGACTGTCGTTTGGTGCAAGTTGAAGAGATGAGTAGGAAAGGAAAATTAGACCGAGCGAGACAATACCTAGGTAATCCACTTTATATCCACTATGAACAGGTCGGGTGTCATGTTGAGATAGGTCGACACGGGCAAACGAGGGAGCCGCTTGGCAGCGTCGAAAGCGAGAACGAGTGAATCAATGTGCAGCCTAAAATTCCATTCAGGCATAACTCAAATGGTCAGACACCCTGAGGGAAGAACGTTGGGGGCCTCAGACACCTGGACGTCACTTGCTCTGGATGATACCTATACAATTGAAGTAAGGTACATGTACCGCGGACATCTACCACCGCAATGCACTGAAGGTTCTTACGTTCAACTCGCCGCCTGCTCTCGCACGCTGGACTTCGACGCTAGGTACTCACGGCCGTACGACCCAGTCTGGATCCCGCCGCGCTCAAATATCCTCGTAGTCTTATGTCCAGCTCCTCACGACCGCCTCCCAGACGTGGCGCCTCGGGAGCATGGAATCGATTCAAGTCTGGCGGTCCTACTGACCCCCTGGACGTGTATGGTCTTCCCTCTAAGGGAGAGATGAGGTGCTTACCCCTGACTGGAAGCATGAAATGTCAATTGCTGACAAGTCATGGAGATTGCACGACCACAAAGTTCAGGAAACCTATTATGCCCGGATTGTCGACAGATATATGAAGTTTTGCGCGACATGTGGCGGAAGTGACGAGTTGGGAGCTGCCTTTGCATCGCAATCCGTCCCGGAGACCGGTTCGACTTCCATTGTCGGAAATGGTGGCAGCAAGAAACCACCACTCTCACATCGGCCGTCCGATGCAGCCCGATCGAGTGATCTACCCAACATCCTATTGGCCATGCGAAAACTCCGTGAAGGCATCCTGGGTTCTCGTCGGAGAGATCACTTTGCGCAAAGAACATACATGTTTATCATCCACACCAGCATTTTGAGCAAGTCCTGGGAGTCTTACCTTCCTGCTCTGCAGTATTTGCTCGGGACGATTCACAAATACACTCCGCTTTCTGTTCCAGAACAGCAAGAATTCTCCAGCTATCATATTTTAGATTTGGCGTGTCGACAAAACGAGCTTTTGGACGCGTTTGCCGCAAGATTGACATTCAAGAACCGAGACAGAAGAGTGGCCACAGCCTTACAAGCCATTGTGCATGATGATTGGGTCAAGTATTGGAGGACTAGGAGGGCTGTAGATGGGTACCAGAGAGCCATCTTGGAATTCGCAGTCGACAGGATGAGACTGCATGCTTTGAAATGTCTAGGCAGAGGCTACCTGAGTGCTGACAAGGCGTATGTGGAACGGAGTGGAGACCAGAGCTGGGAAGAGCTTGTCAAGGACGGTGTCGGCTGGCAGTTGCAGGAGACTGGGAGCGTCATTATCAAAAAGCCAAAGTCGAAATGAGTGTGGCCATTGAATGTCTAGTTGAGCAGTACACTTGTGCGTCTGATCTGGTCGTTTTCTATTGGAGTCGAGGATCAGTACGTCTGGCCGAAATCCTACGTCGGCGCTATTGTCCTCCATTCGCAACATACCAGAGGCCAATAAAAGCAGACAGCCGCCTCTTACTGAGCTAGCACAACCAACATGGTTCCTGGCACGAGGACGACAGGGATGCTCGCAGGAAGCTGATAGTTTGATCGCGAGATCGAGAAGCCGGAAGCGAGAGCCACCATAAGATATGAACATCCTTGCCTCGTCTCTTCTACTAAAGCAGTACTCGATATCCTGCGCTTGACTAAGGCAGCAGAGGTAGTGTTCGAGAAAATGAAGTTAGACTTGTCTACGAAGTTCTCGAAGGTCTTCAGAGAACCAGGACGACGAGTAGAGTAGGCTTGGCGCTGCGCGGTGGTCTCTCATATCGACAGGGTCCGCCGGCGTATGAGGTAAGGCAGTATGACTATAGTGACTATGGTTCTCTATGCGAAACTGGTCTAGACTGCTGCCCATGCCTACCTGGTGTTAATTCCTGTTGCAAATCGCCTGCGCTTCCTCGTAAGGAGTATCCTGCAGGTACAGTATTTTGCCGTGTCCGCATAGTAAGAACTATGTACTCTATGGAAACGCCATCTTGAAGCCACTTCCGACAATCAATATATGCTATGTTGAGCACCCGCTGTCCCGCAGGGCATACTATAACCCTAATGATACCTTGAGCGTTGAGGTTGAACAAGTGAATTAGACTTTTCGCCAAGACATCGCTAAGCTTGTAAAAAGGGCAAATTGTGATTGAGGTGTTATACAGTACCTCCTATTGTACCTATGAGGTAGTTCGTGATCTCCTTTTTTTTATGCGTCCCTATCTATGCCTGCACAACAACCACCACGATATGAAGCCCAAGCGAACATGCACCGAACCACCCAGACATCGCGCGTATCCTTACCCCAGACTCTTCTCCCGCCGATGCCCGTCTAGTCTATGCTCTTGCGCGCATCTGGGAGTCCCGCGCTTTCATCGGCACAGCTCACGCTTTAATGAGATCTCCACAAAGTCTATTGATGTTCCTCGCCAGTACCGTAACCGGGCACATATCAAAGACCGGCTGCGCGAGGGTTTGCCGTCCCGTCGAGTGAACAGGTGCTGCTTCACCTGGACTAGACGGGACTTTTTGGACACACCCAGACTCGCTCGCTCGCTCACATCGATCCTCAGCTGCAGCTGCGATACCGCTATACATAAGCCCTAAGCCCCAACGGCCGAAGAATTGTATATGCCCTGAGCTTCGAAGCAGGTGAATCACAGGCCTCCTCTACAGGCCGTAGATCTACCTAATTTGAGGGGGGACCATGTTGGTATGTACTGTAGAGCCTGCGACGACCGACGATATTCCCGCACTGTTCGGACAAACACACATTTCCCACCCTCTTTCTCATCTCATGCAAGCTTTCTGGTCGAGGGGAAAAAAACCAATCTCATCTTTCTCGGTTGTGGTTGTTGTCGTTTTTGTCGAAGTGGCTTCTGCGTTGCGGTACTAGCGAATATGAGTGGAGCAGTGTCGCGCTATAATAAACTGCCAACCAAGAGTTAAGAAAATTGCACAAGCTACTGCCTGCGATTGGGGATCGGACAGAGGTGATGGTAAGCGTCGATGGCAATGCTTCGAACGAAGCTTCTTGGACGTCACCTGGTGTGGGTATCACAGCTGGATATGATGGAAACAGGTCTGTCTTGTTCGCACTCGTTCTTTCTATCCGGAAAGCCAATTACTTGCTTACTTTTTGCCTCGCACACGAACCAGTGAGACATTTCGCATATTCATCGTCTTCTTTCTGGGCCTGGGAATCTACAATGCTTGTGTGATCATCGCTTCCGCTCTCTTCTACTTTAAACACTACCGCGGCTTGTATTTCTGGTCGTTGGTGACGGCTGGATGGGGAATTATTCCTTACTGTGTGGGATTTCTGATCAAATTTATGAACATTGTCACGGGCAAGGGGATATGGATTGCGGCTGTGCTGGTCACTATGGGTAAGTCCGTGAACCCACCACCACCCACACCATGTGGTTGAGTTTTTTTAAAATAAAAAAGTATATCCTGCCACTTGGGAAAACTTTGGAAGCGTCAAAACGAAAGCTGATACCTTTTGGCTACCTATGTAGGATGGTACCCCATGATCACTGGCCAGGCAGTTGTTCTATGGTCACGACTACATCTGATCGTGTCGGGCCAGAGAGGAGACAGAATTCTTCAATGGACTAAATACATGATCATCACGAACGTTCTCATCTTACACGTGCCGACATCGATCATGGCCGCCGGGGCCCAAGGTACAATCCGCACCACAACTTTCGCGCGAGGGTACAACATCATCGAAAAGGTAATGAATGCATGCTCGCACAATCGATCAATCAATCAATCATATTTTGTCGCGCAAGAAAGAAAAAAAAAGGGGGGCAGCACTGTTGCTAATTTTTCTCCATCAGGTCCAAATGGTCGGTTTTTTTCTCCAAGAGACCATCTTATCGTCCATCTACATCACAGAAACCGTCCATCTCCTCCGCAGTTCATCGCAAGCCGGCGGACGTCAACAACGAAGGACCATGCAACAACTCATCGCCATCAACGTCACCATCATTTCCATGGATCTCGTCTTATTAGGCGTCGAAGCCGCATCCCTCTACATTCTCCAAATTCTCCTCAAAGGCCTCGTATACTCAATCAAGCTCAAACTAGAATTCGCCATTCTCACCCGGCTAGTTTCCATCGTTCCCGACGGTTCTACCGGCCCATTGAATTTCATCACTTCCAAGGACAATATGGAAGTTCCCATTGAGGAAATCGTCGACTTTGGCAAGATTAATTCGGATATTACTCATGCGGCTACGCCGACTATGGGGCCCGGCGGCAGGCTGCGGAGGAATAGCGAGTTGGATGTCGAGATTGCACGATTCGAGCATGTTCATAAGGGCGCACTCTGGTCGGAATCTGGTGCTCAGCAGCATGTGCGGTATGCTGATGATGTTGGGCTGGAGAAGGTGTAGCTCGACAGGTACTTGAGGTAGTAATGGCTTGAGGAATACCTGACATTTGGAATGACCTGTTGCTTGTTGTCGGGACCAAGCCGTTTGGTTGAGAAAATTCGGGTCGCTTGGGTCTCCACGTCAAATCATGGCATTCTCGCAGCTGGGATGCGATCTACTGATACAAGCCGCCACTCTGCTGCTATATTTGCCAGAGACACCAGACGCCTCGCTGAAACCACCCAAACATGCATTCACTGTTGACTTCCTCACTCGCCAGCGAGAGACGCGTACTCTACGTCGCCTTGTCCAGGCGGCGGCGCGACAGCTGCCAAACTGTCGAAGTCATCGCCTGGTGCGTTCTCAGCAGCTCCTGCAATAGCTTTCCTGCCCGCAGGTCCAGCGAGTGCCTGGGTTGCAGAGGCTGTTCGCCTGCCTGCTCTTGCGTTCTCCATCCTCTGGTCACGCTCCATACTGTCCAAAGGCTTAGGCTTTCCCCACTGAACCCTCAAAGGTACACCCTTCACCACGGCCCGGCCTTGAAATGCCTGCGCCGCCTTCTCTGCTCCCTCGCGATCCATATAGTTCACGAAGGCACAATGCGAGCGATGACTGCAGACTAGTGACCGCAACGCACCGTGTTGTGAGAAAATCTCCCTGATGGCGTGCTCGGGCAGATCGTCTTCGACTCCAGTCACAAATAAACTCGTAATGTTCTTGTCTGCAGGTGGAGCAATGTCCTGTGGTTTTGGTGGTAAAGCAGCTCCAGATGGGAAGCCCTTTCCACCTCTCCCACCACCTCTTCCACCACCTCTTCCGCCTCTTCCGCCAGCTGCGCCGCCGCCTCTCGTAGTGGACGGTCCATATGCCGAGCCGTATGCCGATTTCCCTTTCGAGTCCTGCGTCCTGATCGGTCCAGTCTTGTGTCCTTCTCCACCTTCGAGTAGTTTCTGGCCACCTTCTTCTTGAGCCTCCAGTTCCAGCCTTCTCTGCTTTTTATAATACGGCTCCGAGTTTGCCAACCTCCTCAGCAGTTCTCTCCCTTTTTCCTCCGTCTTGCTGTATCCCTCCAGCCCTCTTCCCTCTTCAATTTCTTTCTCATGATTCTGTGCAAAGTACTCTCGATTAATCTCCGATTGCGGCCCAGGCGCCACCATCTTCAATGCAGCATCTCGAATCGTGATGGGGAGTCCAAAGCTGAGATCCAGCATGCAGCACTGACAACAATTCTTCAGTCGCGCGCATGTGAGGCAGATTGCGGTTCGTTTTTGACGTGCAGTGCGATCCGCTTTCCAGCGGAAGACGGTGAAGGGTCGCGTGCAGAGTTTGCAGGCTTCGCCGTAGTCTTCCTTTAGCATTTGGACGTAAGGGTTGTCGGACAGGCATTTTTCGCAAACGGAGGGAAGGTCGGTGGTTTCCCAGCCGGAGCGGTTGAGGTCTTGCTTGATCTGTAAGATGTTAGTTATTGGACTGTATGAATGTGCAAGGTAAAGACTCACTTGTGGTGGCATCTCGACGGAGCCTTCACGGTGCTACGCGGGTGGCGCACCTGTCTCTGGACTGCTGGATGAGTGGTCTCTTGGCTGCCGGATGAGCTGAATATTGGGTTCGAAGGAGCCTGTTGGAGTGGGAGAGAAGGGAAGCGGTGGTGGTGGTGGTCGTAGCGGTAGTAATCTCTCACTGCACGACGTCGACGTGCTCACAAATCTTATCTATCTGCACGTGACTACACCGTTACACTGGTACCTGACCTTTCCCAGGGGCGGCTAGCATGTCCGACCGGCGCGCTAAGCAGACCCCTGCTCAAATAATGTCAAGTGTTGTCGTACGATGGCCCATTGGGAGCAGAGGCATTATATACACCTACTGCAAGGCGACCTGTCTTCACCACAATCACCACCCTCGACACTCACTTTTCACCATTCACCACTCTATACTCACTGTCCGCCCTGCAACGATCTCTAGCTACCACCACCTGAATTCACAATGGCTCTCTCTCAACTCGAAAAGGAAGACAAGGAGCGTGATGCACAGTTCAAGCAAGCCCTGCATGGCAAGACTGGCGAAGGACGAGGCGGTTTGATCGCAGCGATGGGCAAGAACAAGGAAGCCCAAAAGGCTGCTGTCGACGAATATTTCAAGCACTGGGACAACAAGGCCTCCGCCGAGGAGACGGAGGAGACACGCAAGGCCCGCCGCGACGAGTACGCGACCCTCACGCGCCATTACTACAACCTCGCGACCGATCTCTACGAATACGGCTGGTCGCAGTCTTTCCACTTTTGTCGCTTCTCTACCGGCGAGCCATTCAGACAAGCAATCGCGCGACACGAGCACTACCTCGCCTTGAAGATGAATCTCCAGGAGAACCAGAAAGTGCTAGATGTGGGATGTGGTGTCGGCGGACCTGCACGTGAAATCTGCAAATTCTCGGGCGCGAACATCACTGGTTTGAACAACAACGATTACCAGATTGAGCGTGCAACGCAATATGCGAAAAAGGAGGGATTGGCACACAAGCTGAATTATGTCAAGGGCGACTTCATGCAAATGTCTTTCGAGGACAACTCATTTGATGCCGTGTACGCCATCGAAGCTACAGTGCACGCTCCCTCTCTCGAGGGCATCTACAGCGAAATCTTCCGCGTCCTCAAGCCCGGTGGTGTGTTTGGAGTGTACGAGTGGTTGATGACGGATGCATACGATAACAACAACCCCCATCATCGCGAGATTCGTTTGGGAATCGAACAAGGAGATGGCATTTCCAACATGGAGAAGATTGAAGTTGCACTTGCGGCGATGAAGGCAGCTGGCTTCGAGTTGGAGCTGAATGAAGATTTGGCGGATCGGCCTGATGAGTTCCCCTGGTACTGGCCTCTGTCGGGAGAGCTGAAGTACATGCAGAGCATTTGGGACTTCCCCACGCTAGTGCGTATGACGAAGCTTGGTCGTGGCATCGTACACAAGTTTGTGGGTGCGCTCGAGATGATCAACTTGGCACCTCGAGGCACGCAAAAGACTGCGGATTCGCTTGCTGTGGCTGCGGATTGCTTGGTTGCTGGTGGCCGTGAAAAGCTGTTTACACCCATGTATCTCATGGTGGCACGCAAGCCCGCGAAGAAATAAAAGTGGCATGCAATGTCAGTTTTTCTTTCTTTCTTTCTTTCCCTTTTCAGAAGACTGCTTGGGTCCGGAATCTGGACGGGCTTTGTTTGCATTGTGATTGGGATTGGTGTTGATCTACGAATTGTAGACGTGCCCGGGTTTATAAGGTACAGGTAGTTAATGTACGAAGCATCTTGTGGGAGCTGATCTTGACAGCCTTCTGATTTTTGTTTTCTTTTTTTGCCTCTCTCAATCTCTCTCTCTCTCTCTCTCATATTCCCATCGCTATCGATATCAAGTCCGGTTCGTGTATTGCATTCCAGGTTGCATTGAATTGAATTGAGTTAAGAACCCAAACCAATTCCAAGACGATAAACTACAGGTAGTATAGCTGGCAGGTAATCACAGTATTATTTCTCGAACTAAAATTACTAAATAGTATCATCCCAAGTCTCGTCTACCTAGTAAAAATTCAATTACCTATATCGGTCTTCACTGGTACCAGGTACGTACATGTACCTTATTCCATAGGTGCTTCTCAATCGCTGACTAAGTTAATCAATTACAGGAATGAAGAAAGGAAGGAACGAAGAAAGGAAGGAAGGAAGAAAGGAAGGAAGGAAGGAAGGAAGGAAGGAAGGGAGGGAGGAACCACATCACGTTCTTCTTTTTTTTCTGTTTTTCTTTTCTTTTCATATCGTCAAGAATCGTGATGGGATGTGATGGTATGACCGGTAAACTGTAATCTTGAGTCGTCCTCCACACTTGTCATCATCTCATGTCGAGAGTAGGTACAGGTACTTTTTCCCTTCTACCCAGTCTGCGCAGGTGGCTTTTAACCGCGTCTATTTTCTATATGCGGATTGCGGAAACTCAAAGTCTGCAAATGTGGGGATATGTGTATCCGCGACTTCTCTCTCTGACGGCCAAGTTCGATTATTCCACTCACTCGTCCCCTTCTCTTCGTCCAGCCCCGGGAAATGCGGTGTCCACGTGCTCCAACTCTCATCTGTACTCGTCGAAGTTTTGGAGAGGGAGATTGCGGGCAGCTTGTGTTGGTCTGCTGGCCACGGGGTTGGGAGTTCGATCGGTCGAGACTGTGGTCCCGTGAATGAGAATCCCGTAGATGCGTCGCCGCGGCCACATCTGGGCCAGACGCCTTTGAGCAGGACTTTAAAGGACGATGCAGAGCCGCACAAAATGGCGAGGTGGATTTCGACTTGTGCGAAGATGCCGCCCAGTACGAGGTTGTAGTGCATATCGCTGGTGTCGATTGCATGCCAGATGAAGGAGCAACGAAGGATGCCAGCTGTGGAGAGATCAATGTCAGTTCCAGTCAGTCATTCGAGTCGAGTGGGGAGGAGGGGAAGCGTACCAGCAATGGGGAGAAAAGCGAGTGCAAATACTGTACCACCTGCGAGCTTTTGTTTGGCAGGCAGCTCCAGATTATGCAGCATCCAAAGGGGTATAACGAAGATGGCGATATCGATTGCGATGATGATTACACCAGTGACGTTGAAGAGCAGCTGTAGTTGCCCCAGGGTCAAGCAGTGATTGAGAGTCGCGGCGCCAATGGAAATGCACGAGAGAGACTGCATGGTGAAGAAAGTAATATTCTGGGTGGCCACGATGAAGATGAGAATGTAGACTGTGGTTCGCATCGAAGTTCTCTGGTCCAGCCGGTAGTAGAGCACTAAAACGGCAGTCTTGACCAGCAGCTGGGCCATGATGTATAAGAAGATGCAAGCAAAGGTAATCTTCCGGAGCAGCTGGACCTCATGGGGAGTGATTTGCGCGACGTGTTTTCCGAAGCCATGATGTGCCCCGACAATGTAGGACGCTGATAAGCCAATGGCGGTGATGGTGCCCATGAGCATCAAGACTGCGTGGGAAGGATGATTAGCGTCGCTACTCCACCTCATTGCATCGCCCATGAAAGGTACAGGTACCTGTAAGCTACCAGGTAGGTAAGGGAAGGGAGTGACATATTCGTACCATCGTCGGCGAACAGCTTTCCCAAGATTGCCAGTCGGGAGTAAATGCGCAGACTGATCCCAATCAGAGACACCAGAATCAGCATGATCGAGACGATAACGATCAAGACGGGCCGGGTGTCATTCTGGACGGCGAATGCGGTCGGCTGTGCAGTCGCCTCCATTGGATGAAAAAAAGGAAGAAGCGCGGACCAAGTTGAAGACAGGAGGATGTAGAGACTGGAGGATGAAGGAAAGACAAGGACGTGATCACCAAACGAGAGCCAGCCGTTCAATCGTAGTCCCAACCGGAGGGAGGGACATGAGGTGGTTGGCGGTGCAGAAAGACATATAGCAGCAGGCAACAGCAGCAATAGCAGCAGCGGGGCGAGAAGACATGATGGCACCAGACAACCCAAGGCAGATGAAACAGACTCCCGTCGTTCTAGCAAAAAGTGTCGAGGGCGATGGAAGGCCGGAAGCAGTTCGTGATGCACGACGTCGTAGTTCGTTCAGTTTCCTTCTTCCTTCTAGCACCTACCTATAGGGACGTACCGACGGGTTCCACTTCACTCTGTCTGTCTGTGCAGCTTGTCTGTGCAGCTGCCCAGCTGGAAGCTAGGGGACCAGGGCCAGCAATGCGGAAAGCGGGAAGCGGCTCTCTGGGCGGTGCAGCGGTGCAGGTGGTGTGTACCGCAAAGGTGGTGTCGCGGAAGGGAGGAAGGAAGTTTGAAGTGAGTGTGGGAACTTCCGTAGGTACCTGAAGTAAGGCAGGTCCAGGAACAGGTACCTTGCAGGTCAGACTCTGCTGACTCAGGAACACGTTTCGACGACTCGTGTCGTTCGTGACAGTCGTGGTTGTTGTGCAGGAACGATAAAGAGAGGTACATAATACAATTACTGCCTTGGGAAACTCTGCTACAGTATACCGTAGTCGAGGCCTTGGCGTGGCCTTCCCTCCGAATCCCTCGCTTATACCTAGGAGGTACAGGTACCTAACACATGATACTGTCGTTCTTACGTGCGCCCTCTGTCATCCACGCAGCCACTTCGGTGGGACGATGTCCAATGCCAATGGCTACAGTCACCGGCGCTGGCGGTGATGAGAGGAACGTAGAAGTGGTTCTCTAAGGTAAGGTAGATGTATCTTAGTTCTACATCGTAATCATGGTGGGAGCAGGGTTCCGGTGTCGGACATTGTACAAACCTACCTTCCGGGCCCTTCTCTTGGCAAACACCGTCCGCCATCCATGGAAGAGAATGGAACGGAGTCTTCGTATGTGGACGAGGAAACCCGGTCCATCTCCTTCTTCCGTTCCCACAATACTGACTTCTTCCATCAGATTGCATCCGCCATGCTACTAGTAGTGATCTGGGAGCCAGGGCTCAGTCTGCGGTGCCCCTCTCTCTCTCTCTCTCTCTCTCTCTCTCTTCAGCGCCGCCCAAGATACGGGTACAGGTACCTATATGTATACACGACGATGATGACACCACACTGCGGCTGCCGCTGCCCTTCCAAAGCGGACTGTCATGCATTAGGTATGCTTTGACAGAAGCCATCAACGGTTGCCATCCAACGGGGCCCTCAATCGGCGTCGCATAGAGGGATGCCTCGGCGGCGATACCTCCGACGACGTTGCCTTTTCACACGTGCAAGAGCCTGACCTGAGAAAACCGGCGACAGATTCGTAACTTCTCATCCTGAAACTCGTTGTGGAGCTTACACTTGCGAAGCTGAGTTGCAAACTCAAAGGAGCATGGTCCCGTTCCCTCCAAAACAGCTTTGCCAAGTGATACGGGTGTGAGCGCCATTATTTTCCTTTGAATATGTGTGCTCGAGGCCACATCTATAAGGCTATAACATTCAATTCTCTTGGGATGAACGTGGCTGTCATCAAAAGAACAGGCATGCGCTTGGGTCCGTCTCCTTGGCCGCCAGCGCCTGGGAGGAGGTCTAGATCAGGTCGGAGTCGGCATCACCAGAGACCGTCATCTCGATTTATTACTCAGGTACCTATCAATCAGCCTTCATATGCGGACGACGACGGATGTGTGGAGTGTGTGATGGGAAATAGGAGAGATGATGTACACTCGACGCTTCGTTAGGCTTCTGAAGTGATGAGTTATGTGAGAGGCGTATTATAGACATACCAACCACGAACTGTATAGTAGTCCATATGACAGAGCCGCATCATTTAGCTCAAAGGTACCTACCTCCTAGGAGGTAGCGAGATGCGGTGCGTCACTTCGTGGTGGCTTGATTACCTTAAAGTGCAGATCACATACCAAACCGCTCTATGTCTATATAGGAAGTATAGGGCTCAAAATATACTTTCCTCAAGCCCTCAATTAGACAACAACTTTACTTCACTTCACTTCCCTTCCCTTCCCTTCCTCATCTCCACATCCAAAACCATCCCCTTCGCCTCCTCGCCTCCACCTCTCCAATCATTCGTCCACACATGATCCGCCTCCTGCCTCTTCTCCGGCCAAGCCCACCTCTCTCTCAACTCCTTCCCCAGAGCATCCCGATCGCGCTGCTGCAAGACATCCACAATCCTCTCGCCAATAATCGGTAAGAATTTATATCCGTGTCCCGAGCCTCCCGTCGCGATGAACAGTCCGCGATATCGAGGATGATAGGTGATGAGCCAGTCGCCCGTCGGAGTGTCCGTATACCAGCAAATTCGCGTATCTGTAAAGGGGCGATCGCCGAGACGGGGAATTGCGGCGCGGAGGAAGTTGCGACATGCGGTTTGGCCTTCTGCGGGGATGGACATGGTGGGGTCGTCGAGTTTGGTTCGAGGGAGGGAGACTGTGATTTCTTCTCCTCCGTTGGGTTGCTCGGGATGGGGAATGGTGACGAAGTTGGCGTATCCATAGCCGTGTCGAGCGATTTTGAGCTTGTTTCCCGTGGGCGGGATGATGAAGAGGCCGTCGTTTTCGCACAGAATGACGGGCTGGCCGGGTTGGGAGAGTTGGGCTTGCTCTTCGGATGTGATGTCGATGTAGGTGAGGACTTGGCCGGTGGCGGAGCAGATACCTCTCGTGTCGATGAGTTTGGGGGTCCAGGCTCCTGTGGCAAGAATCGTCAGATCTGCTGTGAGGTGGGAACCGTCTTTCAGCTCCACGCCGAGAACTTCATTGCCGCCTTTGAAGAGCAGACGGGACACTTCTGACGTCCGGAAGTGGACCCGGTTGAGCGCATCGACTTTCTCTCTCATATACTTGATACCGTTTTCCGCATGCGCCCAGCCCGATGTCCAATTCACGTAGCCACGGTCTCCCACAAAGCCACCCATGGTGCCCATCACTTTGCGGGCGTCTGCTTCGTTGTCAAAGACGGTGACATCTGTGCCGATGCGGAGACCTAGTTTTTCAGTCACGTTGGTGAGTGCTCCCTGGAGGAAAGTCTCTGCACTTCCCCCCTGGCCATTGGAAACGAGGCAGAGTCCGGACTGCGTGAAACGGCCTTGTGCACCAAACTCAGCTTTCCAGTACGGCATGGCTTCTTCCATCAGCCTCGCATATACTAAATCTTCATAGTCGGCTCGAATGATTCGTGAGCTGTCAACGGAGGAGCCATCTTGGGCAGGAAAGTCTGTGCGTTCGAGAACAGTGATTTTGGTATTGCTGAACTCGGGTCTCTGTGCCAAAGCATACGCAGTGCCGAGACCAAAGACACCAGCTCCGACGATGAGTATATCTTTGGGGGCAGTGTGTGCAGGACTGAGATGAGCGGAGATCTGCTGGGCGCGATCCATGACTGGACAGCAGCGCGAGGGGGATAGATGGGGGGTGGTGTGGAAAGGAGAGAGGAGGAGTGTGAGAGCGAGTGTGAGAGGGAATATAGCCTACAGGCAGAAAGAAGGAACTCTAGCGTATATTGGCGGCATGTCCTACTATATATTATTCACGGCGCGAAGGCGAGGAAGAAATGCTGCTGCTGCTGATGGTCCTTGGACTTGACGTCCCGTGGTGAGACAGGAAATTTTGCCCGAAGACGGAGCGGAGCGGAGCGTGCTCCAAGCCAACCAGATTTGCATCGACACGACACCTCATCCTGATATTCTCCATCAGGTACCTTCAGTCCTCCTTGTGTTCTGTTGCATTCTTCTTCTTCATCACCATCTTCTTGTGTTAATACCACCGACCCTTCCACGCGACTACTGATGCAGCGAGTGGACGCGACTCGCCATGTAGTCGGCAGCGTATTCCGGGTCGGCGTGAAGCCATGCAGAGCAGCAGCTCGTCGGGGTTTGAGGACGCGCGATCTCAAGTCTGGAGCTATTCAGCAGAAGGGTAAACCGGAGCCCGCGACACCATCCCCTCCTCCACCCCGACCGCTACCCCCATCCCAGGCAATGCAATTCTTCAATGAGGATAAGGCGGCAGCAAAGAAAGAGACCGTAAACTTCAAGAATCTGCCGCCGGGGAGTCTGGGCGCCGCGCTGCTTCTCGGAGCCATTGCATACTACTTGGGCGAGCTCTTTGTGGCAGCCAACAAGACTTGTTCGAACCCACACATCGCCGACATTGCCGAGCAAAAGGACGTCGCTGCGCGCTACGATGAGACGGCCGACAGCTTTGACAGCGAGGTCGGCATGTCGGAATGGCTGATGGGCGTCAGCAAGATCCGCGGACAGCTCGCCTCACGATGCATCGGCCATGTACTCGAAGTCAGCTGTGGGACAGGCCGTAACTTGGGCTACTATGATGTTATGCAAGGTGGCAAGGTGGACAGCCTGACGCTCGTCGATCTGAGTGCCCCCATGATTGATGTCTGCAAGCAGAAGTGGCAGGCATTGTATTCCGAGTACAGGAAACCCGGCTGGTTTAGCAGCAGCAGAGTCGTCAAGCCGCATCTTACCCTCCGCTTTGCGCCCATTTCTGCATTGGGCGAGATGCCGCTTGCACCGACAGACCCGCCCAAGAAGTACGATACCATCATTCAGACTATGGGTCTGTGCAGTACAGACAAGCCGAAAGAGCTGTTGGAGAACATAGTGCGATATCTTGATACTTCTAACCCCGACGCACGCATTCTGCTGCTTGAGCATGGGAGAAGCTATCAACCATGGTTGAACAAGGTTCTGGACAACTCTGCCGAGAAACATGCTGAGGTGCATGGGTGTTGGTACAATCGTGACATTGGTGCCATTGTGCAAGATGTTGCTGATAGGACTGGCTTGGAAGTTTCGCGAGAGAGGAGAAGGCATCTGGGAACAACGTGGCTGTTCGAGCTGAAGCCGAAGGTCGTGACAGCTGCCTCGATCCCGGCATCAAAACCACCCACCGACGAGCCGATGAAACAGCAGTCTCAAGGTGGGTGGCGAAGTTGGTTTGGCCTGACTTGAAAGAGTAGAAGCACTGCATCTACTTCATTCCGCCATTCCGAGGATGTGCCCATGGAGTCACGCCAACTCTTGCACACGATACGTGCACAGCCCGATTTCACTATATGCAGGTCAGTAATTTCTCGAGTTTCCTCCTCTTCACCTTCTTCATGATGATAAATCCACACTCCAAATATGTTTCAAGACGGGGCAGAGAGCCTCGCTCGTTGTTGATAACGGTTTCCAAGACTGATGAGAAAACCCACACATTCGACACCATACTCAACTTGATTTGAGAAAACAGCGTGCTGATGTATTGTGCAGAGTGTATTCGCGCCAAGGTAGGATCTAGTTGCGACCAGGACGTTGCTCAGCTGGTGGAAAGCAAGCAAGGAAACCTAAACAGTGCAAAATGGCTTGCACTGTTCACGTAACCTAGCAGCAGCACCGTTGAGCATAGCCTATACCACGATGCAAGCACTGGCAGCGAATGCCGCCATCACTGCTTGCTGTGGGGGCGCGACATCATTCACTGCAGGTATAGCCACGCCGCTTATACGAGCAGTACATGTATTCTACAGCACAAAGACAGTGTTGGACAGACTCATCGCAAGTCGTCAATTGCGACCTACCACTCTCGCTGATCTAACGCGCTTTCGTTGACATCTTTACTCATACGCCTCTGAACCGTCAAGTTAGTATGAAGGTCCTCGTTGCCACGACGTGCATAGCAGCCAGCTGCTCGTGCATGGCACTCGCACGCCCGCTTGCGCCGAGGAGTCCAGGGCACTTCTCCCCTTCGTTTCATGTCGCTACAATCAAACCATCGACACCGGCAATGTCCACCACCACGTCCACTCAGACAGTAACAGTGACCATACAGCCTATTTCGATACAGCGCCCGTTCCTCAAGAATACTCTCCGCGGCACACCCCCGCCCACAGACGATTGCAGACCAGTATGTGGGCAAGCCTCCCCGAGTGGTCAGTGTATCAAGACCGTCGACAACTGTTCCTCCCTACAGCACTCTCCTCTTTCCAGGATATCCCACCGTGACCGCCTCATCGCTCTCTTGGCGGCTGTGCTTGCCGCGAGTATCGATTGGCGACTCTCGGTTCTTCTGCTTTTGGGTGCACTTCTACCAGCAGGGAGACCGTTTCCACCAGTGGTAGAAGACTGAGAGAATCCTGCCGCTCACCACGCAAGGTGGGTGAAGATATTGGTTCAGTGGCTTCATGGGAAGGTTCTGGCAGAGCATTTTTGGTTCGTACTGCTGCTGCTCATGTCGTTCATCGTAGCAGTCTTTTTGAGGCGGGAGGTTCTAGTCTACGTTTGCTGGGTTGATGGAACGAGTGATGGTATTGTTCAGACGCTTCTAGTGCAAGGTCAAGCTTGGAGTACGGCTATCAGAATTTGACATGGGCGTTGCAAATGATTGCAACAAGGAGTGACTTCAGGTCAATCGAACGGACGTATCTCGTCCATGCACATATGAGCCCACGAAGCAGCTAGCTTTCGACTGATTGATGTATCTTTGTCAGAGCAAACCATGCCAAAAGACTTAACTTGAAATTCATCCTCTTTTTGCTGTATTGCACTTTTCCACATCAATTCACTCTCCTGCCCTCCTCTCATCGAAAGTCATCACGGCATCATGAAAACGATATTCTGCTGAGGGGACTACACTTGCGAATTATATCCAATCATCACTTCAAACTTATTATAACCTACCTTCGTTACCTTTTCTCAATTCTTATCGAGATTTTCCCTTTTCGTAGAAAACTGCGTCCCCGCGCGCTGGTTCCTATCTTTTTGACACCAATATCACCGCCGCCCCAAAGATTTGTGAGTGAACCATTTTGCTCCACTAGCTGTACTAGTGCTTCCTCCTGGGGCAACCGGGGCCTTCTGGACTATTATGGGGCACAATTTGGCTAACTTGTACTACAGTGCCTATTTCTGACTTATTTTTTCTTTACGCTATAGCTACAGCCTCCGTACTGAACGGCAATCCAACTGCATCACGGATCTACCCACACTACCGCGAGTTCGGGCGAAGTCGTTGCTGCACTCCGCAACCTCTGTCTTTTCCCCTGGTCTAAGGCGGTCACCGGCGAGAATGAACTGGATGCCGTCCTCCGGGGCCTTAAGGTGACTAGGCCAGTCTCGTGCCAAAAGTGCACAACTCGATCTGGGTATTGCTTTCAGGTACCGTTCTGGCCCGTTCCGGGGCGTTTTGGTTCGAGTTTTGCCTCTAACGCTAACGATTCGATGGCGTCAACAAAGATGCAGCAGATGATTGGCACCGTGTGCTAGTGATGAAGATTGGTGAGGTTTGGCATATCCGCACTATGTACTGGTGGAGTAGAGAATGGGGGAAGATTTCTGCAGAGCGCATATAAGAGAATATGCGTGGAATGGCAATAGTTGGAGCAGGCCTGCTTCTCATATGGCGCCAAAAATTCCATGCAGGCTGAAGTGCATGTGGCATGTAGAAGATGACCAGCAGGCCTGCTTCTCATATGGCGCCAAAAATTCCATGCGGGTCTAAGTGCATGTGGCATGTAGAAGAAGAACAAAACGCTGACCGATCGTGCGGCTTGTTCTCAGTGTCCGATGGCATGTCATTCTCCTTTCGGTACCTGTAGTCGAAGAAGCGTCGCCTCGCTCGATATTCTATTATGAATTGCGAGAATGGAAGTTGCAGAACACCACTCGGTCTTTGTTCGTAGCAAAAGAAGTTGGAATGTATATGCCTTAGACCCGTTGTCATATCGAGTGAAAGAGAGCCGGTTCCTAGCTTTTCAAATTGTGATGGGACTGGTCGCGCAGCGTCATGTCGTCCGGAGAGAGACCAACTTCACTTGTGCGCCATGCAACAATGACAGGGTTGACCCTGCTAGCGCGATTCGCAGAGCTGGTCTTGTCACAGAGTTGAACTTCGTCTTCAAGCCTCATAACAAAATGTAAAAGTCCCACGGTATCGAGGAACGGTGCAATCAACTGCAAATGTAGCAACTTATGCAGTGCGCCTATCAGCGTAAAATATCTTTGAGAAGATACTCCCATCGAACTAATCCCAGTCAGCTTCATAGCTAATCTCGAACGTCGGAGTTCCCACAGTGTTGCTACTCTCTTCTGCGCTGTAAAAACTCAAAGAATGAAGTGTGGCAGTCTTACAGGCACACTGGTAACGTCCATTGAATTACAGGCAGAGACCAAGCGAGCACGATGGGCCCAAAGCTACCTACCCACAAGTTTCCACGCAAAAGAATTTCGCACTCGCAAGAACCACGACGTGTAATGGTGCTGGGATTGTAATGATTGTAGGACAAGGTGCAGTGCAACCAAGAGCAAAGGCCGTTACCGCATATGCCATCGGTGCGCGAAGGATGGGGCATCTCGCCGTATGTTCCTCATGGAGAGGACTCGCGATAGATTCCTGGTGTTTCCGGCGCTACCGAAAAACGAAAGAACCCGAATGCCGGACCCTGCAAGAACACGACCAGCAGGAAGGAGGTCATCATAGGTTGTGGGCGAGCAAATAAGGGGACGGACAGAGCTAGCGACGGCTAGTTCACTATATCTCAGTAGCGATTGCCGTTATTGCTACCAGTTCGACGTTCTGTACGGCTTTCAATCACAGTTTGATTTGAGTGGTACCGCATCACATACCTGCCTTAGCACCCATCATCCTTCTCAGCATAAGAACCTCATGCTTCGTCACAAAGATCCCATTACCAGTTGGCCCGCCTTTCGCAGCGTCTTCCATGCCAGTATCCATAGCCTCGATGAGAGCTGCGACTTTACCGCCTTCCCATTCACCAGCGTCATTTGTCCAAAAGACACGACGTATGCCAACCTGATTCATGAATGCGACGCAACGATAGCATGGACGAGAGGCGTGGATCTTATCCTTATCGAAAGAGCAGTCGTCTATGGAATCGCTTACTGGCGGACGAGACGCGGAAGAAGACGGCTCGCGATTGATCAGTTCGTCGTGAAGAGAGCCAGTGCCAGAGCTACTGCTTGTGGTCGAAGGGCCTGGAAGCCGAGAAGTGCTCGAGTACGTTGCATCCTCTACTACAGTAGCATCGGCATCGACAACTCCAAGTTCTGAAGAAGCCTTGGGCTTGGTAGGCTTCTTACGTGCTGTACTAGACCAGCCAATCCTGACAACATAGAGATCAGCGCCTCGCAGCCTGGGGTCTTGCTTCCGATCATTAACCTTGATGTTGCTGTTGTGAGTATGACCAGTGGGTACCAGAACAGGCTGCATTGGCTTTCTCTCATTCGCAGCGGTGCTGCTAAGCCGCATTTTACCAGACTGCACATCATTAGTCACTCACAAAGGCTTGCTGTTGTTTGCACCTACCCGCTTGTAGTCCTTTTTCGGATTCGTGTGACGAGGAGCCTCTCTGAAGTCGGACGCTGTAGCTTTAATCTGTTTCACACCACCATTGTTAATCTTAGGTTCACTCCCTTGTGCCATATCGCACTCGTGAGTTCCTGCAGAATATTCTTTCCTCGGATTAGACGCAGATGGCTGTCGCTGGGCAAAGTCCTGCTGTTTCTGTCCATACGCGCCGTACTGATACTCGTACTGGTACTGGTTCTTCTTCCCATTCTTCTTCTTCTCGTTCTTCCGGTTCTGATGATGTTTCTGAACACCCAGATCCTCGTGAAACGCCACACTCAAATTGGCTAAGCTCTGGGCGGACAGGTCGCCCTTGTCGCCCTCCTTGGGCGTGCTGTTGTTGCATTTGTTCTCCAAGTGCACCTGGTTGAGATGCGGAAGTTTCAAAACCGCACTCTTGAACTTGCAGCTTGCCAGTGCCGGCAGAGGTCTGGCAGACGGCCTTGACATAGGCCTCGAGCACATTACGTCGTAGTCGAGCTTTACGTTTATCCGCACATGGTAGTTTGAAGCACGGTTTTTCGCGGGAGAAGGTCGTAGAGGACATCGCCGAAGAGGCATTGAGGGCAGAGTAAATTGCCATCATCTCCGAGTGCATCGAAAGTGGCTGATTGACCGAATGACCACCGCCTGAGTTGGTGCTCTCAAATGGGACAAAAGTGCTGCTTCTATCGATTTGGTTCTGCTGCTGTTTCTCGGGCTTGTCGCATTTCTGCTTGCCCTTCAGCTTCTTCTTCAGCTCAGCAATGGCAGCTCCATCATAGCCACCGTGAGCAATACGCCCGCTCTTCAATGCGCCACCGTTGAAGCCTGGACGATAGTCGTTGTGACCATGTCCAATAACCTTGCCACCACGCACAACGATGGCGCCATGGCGATAGTGCAGAGGCGACTTCGCGGCCTGCTCGAGGCACAGAGACAAGTAGTTGTCGGTCTTCATTTTGACTTTTAGTCGGGGATTTTGCTTTGAAGTGGCAGTGGCTTGGTTGTGGTGCACGTGAAGAGGACGGCGGAAGCTGAGTGCGTGTGGATGGTCAGTAGTGTGCAGTAGTACTTCTCGCGGTGATGGACGACGTGAGGTGACGCGCGACGTGAATCTTATATTTGTGCCAAGCAAATGCCAAGCGATTGCCTCTTTGCACAAGGTACCTATACCTGACCTTAGGTACCTACTAGAGGTACCATCTACCTATGCTGGAAGCTGTCGTCTACTTCACTGAGAATGTTCAGCGGCGTCTCCAGATCATGTCGACGAAGCGGTCAACGAGAATTGCTTGTTTCTTGCAGCGTTCTACATTGCTTCTTGCAGCACCCGGGGGCATAGCGCCGCACGTTCCGCCTAGATCACAGAAAGAAATCGGTCATGAAAAAGAGTGAAGCATCTCCACACAACAAAATCAAGGTTTCCAGCATATATGTTTCCTCAATCACGTGAGGGACCGCGGCATCGAAGGCGGCGACGGCGAGCTCAGCCTTGACACTCTCGGACTGGAGACGTGGCAAACGGGGAAGGCTTTCTATCAGGTGTCAAATGGGGTTATTTCCGCACCGAATTTGCCTACAGTGGAACAGATTATGCACTGCGAGCGGAGAAGACAGCTCTTGTGGGGTTTAGTTGACCACAAGATCCTCCAAAAAGTCTGTCATTCGCTTTTGAAGAGCCGACAATTGCGCCTCTGTAACAGGCACACTCCACTTGGCACCTCCAGCTGGCACTTTCGAGACGTCGCCAGTTTCCGGCACGATCAGTTTTTGGTCCGTGCCGAAAAACGGAACACCAAGCCTCTTCAGCTCCAGTGCCATGGCTCTGTCCATTTTCTCCTGGGCAGCATGAATCTTGAGATCATACTCGTAAAGCTCCCTCTCCTTCTTCGCCTCAGGTGTCTCAGACTCTGCTGGCTGCTGGTATGAGTCGCCATTCAAGGCCTTCATGATAACATTGGTCTTGGCAACTTCGAGGTGTCTCACGGACTGCTTCTGCTTGAGGTTTTGTCTCTCCTTGTACCAATCCATCTCGTTGGTCCTCTTGTCCTTGATCATCTAGAATGTGTCAATGGGTTCTCTTGGCACGGGAAACAGTATGCCGGCTTACACGTCTGATGCTTGCAGCGAAGTCGGCATTCTGAGCAGACAGCTTATTGACACAGCGCAGAGCTTCTGGCCAGACTGTGATGGTGGCTGGGTCGATGTTGGGCCTTGCTGGTGGCGGTTGCTGTGAGAGGCGCGGGTCGCGTGGAATGTGATGCGCTCCTTCGCCAGTCTTCACGGTCACCGCACCTGGCGCTGGACTGACATACTCTCCCTGGGTTCCGCCATTGCTGTACGCAGCGAGATTGGCGAGGATTGTCTGAAGATCAGGCAACGGAGTGGTGGTATTGCTTGAATCTGCCATGGTGTGTACGGCGCTACTGACTGTACAATATGATATGCTTGTGACAGTATATACACGTACAGGCTCTTGATCTTGCTTCCGCGAGCGCGGCGTCCCGAGACTTGCTGTTGGTGGCGTGAATGAGGACAGCAGAGGCGAGGAGATGAGGGAAGCAGAGGCCGACACAATAGCTGAGGTTTCGTCGGAGGGAAGGTCGGGCCGAGTGCGATGGCGGTAGAGCTACCACTGTACGCCGGGTAGATCTAAATAGTTTAGGTCATCACGAAGTTCTTTCTCGTCAAAGGAGAAGACCAGTCCAGATCAGAACGCACAGCGACTCCAATGCATTGCACGTAACACGTCCAACACCCCCCATCAGACCATCTCCCTGCCTGTACATATACACATCCTTACAACCTCCAACCATGGCCCGATCGCCCTCCGACGCCACGCGCTTCACCTCTACTGGCCCATACGCCTCCAGCACATTCACATCTGCCGCGCCATCAGCAACGACTTCCTCTCGAATAGACTTCGGTTCCGCCCCTGCCAATGAAAGCCCACAGCAGAAAATACAACGCCTGCGCGCGGCAGCCGCACTGGCAAAGCAAGGTCGGGAAACTACTTTCGACAAAACCGTCCGAATAGGCCGAGTATGGGCAGATCGAGCACATCGTGTAACAGCGCTCTCCCTGATAGCGTTTTCAATCCTATCAGGTGCAGTAGCTACTGCTGGAATTACGGATATGTTGATGCATAACCGGCGGAAGAGGAAGGAATGGCTACAGCAGAAACAAATCGAAGGAGCGAGAGAGTTAGCCATCGCAACACAAGCCGCTAGTCAAGGAGTCGCAACGGAGGATCAGATTCTGCTGATTAATCGAGAGAGGAATGCGAGACAGGCGGAGATTGACAAGAAGAATCGGCCGGGCATGTTCAAGAGGGCTAGCAATTGGTTATTTTCGGATCTGAGTAAAGAGGAGCAGAAAGGCGGGCGGCTAGGTGCTGCTACTGCTGCTGCCGCTACAACGAGTACAACAGGGACCATAGGGCAAAAGACGGAGTTTGCGGCCGAGGAGGCGAGACAGGAAGCACGGCATGTTCTGCAAGCCGTGGAGGATAAAGTGGATCAGCATAGAAGGCAGGGTGAGAAGGTACCGGAAATGCTTGCGCCTGCCGGCGGACCTTTGGATCGCCAAGCACAGGTTGCTGCCCATAATGCTGCGGAAACCACGAAGAGTTGGACAAGCTGGATTATGGGGCGGTAGAGTTTTCAATGCGAGTCGTCTGTATACCTACCTACCTTATCATCATGGCGGCGGCCTTGAACCCGTCAGCTACTGCATAAAGATAGTACATTGATTGCCACAAGCACTTATTTGGCAGGTTCAGAGACGCATCATGGTTGGTTGTTTGCCTGGACGTGCCTTCGCAAGCTCGAGGACCAGGAAGAGAAGGAGAGATCATCGCCGAAGGACCGGTTCTTCTTTCTCGAGTGCCTGGTCGAGTCTACACCTATTTCTTGGATTTCGCAACCATCTGCTCGTTAACATCTTACTTGCTGATTGTTACATTCCAGATCCACCGCTTGTGAGATACCGCCATCGGGACATAGCATCTACATCGTCAGTCTTATTGCCTCAGAGATACCTTATCACCGTTGGAATACAGCATCTACACCTTCAGCTTCATCATCTCGACATGTCAGACAGGTCGAGCTGCTGGGACACCCTTACGAGCGTTCTAAACGCGATAGCTCGATGCATTGAATTCATAACCGCCTGTGTGAAGTTCATCTTCAGTTTTCTGAACTTCATACCAAACGGTCTGAACTTCATCAAACGTAGATGGCGTTCGAGACGTGAGAGAAGGATCGAGAGGCGCAAGTGAGTCAATTTTCGTCCATGTCTGGCTCCGAAGACAGCGCTGATATCAATCTTTAGTGCACAGAACTCTCCACCAAACAGTCCCGCTCCCCTCACAGAATCCCACGAGATGCCGCCCATCGAAGGCCCAAAACAGCCGGCAAATGTGTCAGAAGATCCTGTGTCGGAAGAGCCCGTGTTGGAAGAGCTTGTGCCAGAAGAGAGTGTGTTTACCGGTCAAGCAGCGATGCCGCTCGTCGAAGACTCAAAACAGCCGGCAAAGGTGTCAGGAGAGCCTGTGTCAGAAGAGCCTGTGTCTGACAAGCCTGAGTCGGAAAAGCCTGGGTCGGAAAAGCCTGGGTCGAAAGAGCCTGGGTCGAAAGAGCCTGTGTCGGAAGAGCTCGTGTCTACCAGTCGAGCAGCGATGCCCTACCCAGAAAATGACGGTCGTGAACTCAACAATCCAGATGCCGGCTATAATAGACCTGTTTCCTTGAACACTCTCCCGGGCTCTCGAGACGGCAAGAAGCATACTCCGTACAGGCTGGATCACAGTGAACAAAGATCAATCCGGAAGTGACAACAACACTATCTTTGCTCGAAGTAAGTGCACCTGGTGGTGTCGCTACTCGAGAGAAACGTAGACCGGACTCCTGGCTGACTCTTGCCTCCTCATAGGTACGGTACATCACTCGTTCAAGTTGAGGATTTGGGGGGTTTTTGATATGATAGCGTCGTTCTTTTACTGTAGATTATGGAACTTGCGAGAGCCTCATTCCTCTCGTGGAGCAAGCCAGCTGTAGCTCCGTGTCCTTTGATTGACATGTAGAGAGTTGAGAATTGAAACAAACGCGATTATTGCCAAGCCTTTGACGTTGTGTTCAGTAAGGTAGGTAGTACCTACCTGACCTTACCTACCTTACCTTACCTTACCTTACCTTAGGTACAGGTATCCAGTGTAAGTCAAGTGTCATATACACTCAAGTCACGCATTCGCAATGGCAGCTCCCACCACACCCGGCGTCTACGTCAATTCCATGGGGAAGAAGACCTTCATACCGTTGGAAAACAATGCCGAAGTGTTCACCGATCTCATCAAGAGGCTCGGCGTATCCTCTGAGGTCGGCTTCTACGACGTCTACAGTCTGGACGATGTCGACTTACTCAGCATGGTACCTAGACCCGTGCACGCCCTCATCTTCATCGCCCCAGCTCCAGTCTACTACAAGACGCGCGCGGCATATGATGGATACGACGGGCACAAGAAGATCACATATGATGCCAGTGGCAAGGACGAACCGGTAATTTGGTTCAAGCAGACCATTGGTAAAGACCAACTTGTACTTTCACCGGCACAGATACGCCTTCGCTGACTCCTCTTTGCCTTCTCATCCCAGGTCATGCCTGCGGTCTGTATTCCCTCGTCCATGCCATTGGCAATGGTTCGTCCAAGGACTACATCATCGACGGATCTCTCATTGACAGACTGCTGAAAGAGGCCGTGCCACTGAAGCGCATCGAGCGTGCCAAGGTGCTGTACAATAGCAAAGATCTTGAAGAGGCCCACATGGCTTCTGCTGTCAAGGGAGACTCTGTCGCGCCATCTGCCGAGGAGCCAGTGGGGTTTCACTTCATCACGTTCACGAAGGGTAACGATGGCCATCTGTGGGAGGTAGGTGCTATTTGCAGATTCGTCTTCCTTTCATGCTGTTTCACATTACTGATGTTGGAGCAGCTCGAGGGAAGCTGGGATCCAATTGATCGTGGAGCTCTCGACGAGTCAGAGGATATGCTGAGCGCGCGCGCGATTGAGCTGGGCGTAGGTCGTTTTGTGAAGATGGCCGAGGGCAATATCGAATTCAGCATTGTAGCCTTGGCAACGCGTGCGGAGGATTAATAAATCATCGCACAGCGCATTACACAGCTGGACCGGTGAGGGCGGGAGGTAGAAGAAGAGAGACAAGATGGGGAATTCGCCCCCGAGACCGATGCCCAGGCCGGTACCGAGCCCCTGTTAGAACTAATTTCATGCATAACAGAAACGCCAAGATGTCCTTGTCTCGCATTCGGTCAACTCCCACTACTACTATAGGTACACACCCACACACCCACACCCACACTCTCTCACTCTCTCTACAGACGAGGCGTCTAAGACGCGGTCCAAGACGGCAAAACCATGAACGCCACATTCCAAGCCGAGTCGCAACAACTTTGTCTTCCATCTGAGTGGTCCCTCTGTAAAATTCTGGACGCCTCCCAATCCTTCGTCAAGTCGATCACTCCCAATGTCACCGTCCAGCTGAGGCACGTTATGGAATGTGGAGATGATCGAAGGATGATAGACTGCTCGCTACCTCCTAAGGTAGAGGTAGAAGTCAGGGCTTTCTCAGCTACCTCCTAATAAGATGTGACATTTACTCAGTGCGAAATCTGCTTGTTGGATTTTCTGTACTGTTTAGTAGGCCTTTCTGTCGCCCATCCCGTTCGTTACTGTAGCTTCAAGCCTCGCGGCTCACAGCGTCCACTCACTAGAGCATCTGCTCACCTATACTCTTTTCATTATGCCTTCAGTTTTGGCGACAGCTGCTTTCGCGGCCAGCATCGTTTCTTTGGCCTCTGCCGCTTTCAACCCATCTAGCAAGACTAACGTGGTCACATACTGGGGCCAGGGCCCTAACCAACAAAGATTGCTAGAAACTTGCAAGATCGCAGGTAAGAATCTCCAAAGCACCAGATCGAGGAATGCGCTCACATAAGTTTACAGCGGTCGATGTCATCAACATTGGTTTCATCAATCGATTCCCCGACAATAGCGACAACGGATACCCAGGAAGTAACTTTGGTAATGCGTGCTGGGGAGACACCTATCAGAACTCTACTGGAGGTGCGACCCAGCTTCTCAAGACCTGCCCTTACATTGGCCAGGATGTGATTACCTGCCAGCAGACCTATGGCAAGAAGATTTTCCTCTCTCTAGGTGGCGCATACCCGACAGACTACTACATCCGGAGCGATGCATCTGGAAGAAACTTTGCCGACTTTCTCTGGGGTGCCTGGGGACCTGTCAACTCCAGCTGGACCGGTCCACGTCCTTGGGGCAATGCGGTAGTGGACGGCTTTGATTTCGACATTGAGAGTAACGTCACTCCTGTCAGTCGACTCACGTCGGGCTACACGCAGATGATCAACCGCTTGAGAAACACTCTTTTCCCACTGGACAAGTCGAAGAGCTACTACCTCTCTGGAGCGCCACAATGCGTTCTGCCCGACGTGCACTTCACAAACGTCTTGAACCGCGCGTGGTTCGATTTCATCTGGGTACAATTCTACAACACACCGCAATGCAGTGCCAGAGCGGGCATCAACAACCAGAACGGCGCGAACAGGAACCTGGATATTAGCTACACCAACTGGACCAAGTCCGCGTCGTTGAACCCCAATGTGAAATACTATCTCGGTCTGGTAGCTGCGCCTCAAGCTGCGGGTGATGGTTCTTACTTCTTGACTCTCGCCGAGGCTCAACGCACAATTCAACGCTTCTATGGCACTACTTCCTTGTTCGGCGGCGTTATGCTGTATGAAGCGACTTATGCGAAGAATAACTCTGTGTGTGGTAAGGATCAACTCACTTGGCATAAGGATATCCTCAATGGCCAGGCTGCTAGTAAGCCTGTTACTGTTACTTGTCCGGTAACTACTACTTCGACCCGAAGCTCGACGACGATGACTACAACAACGACTCGGGTTACGAGTACGGTAAACGTAAGTTTCTGAAGGCGGTGTACATGTAGATGCGCATAGTTCAACATTCAACAAGAAGAATACTGACGAACGTTCACTCGCGCAGCAGGCTGCAGTCAGGATTGCCTCAACTACCTCCAGCAAGAGCTCTTCAAGCACCGAAGTCACGAAACCTAAATAGCGCCCCAATAATCAGATAAATCGTTATCTATGCTCCCCGCGGCATTATTAGACTGTCCGACCGACTACGACGACTACGAGCAGCCGCCGTAAGCGCTCAGAGCCCACGGCGTTTGTGACACGTGTGAGAAGAGTCAAGCGGGCTAGATAGTTAGAAACAAAAGTCGTCTATGTTTTGTAGTATGTAGTTGAACAGTACCTTATACTTCAGGTATGATCTCTTCCAGTCTCTTGATGCACAAGCATACGAACTAGGTCCTACTGAGGCGGTGAGCTATGTAGCTAGTCATGACAAGCGCTTCTTCCTCCTCGTAGTAGCTTCTTCAGGCATTGATTTCCTGCTGGAAGAGAGACTGGAGGATTCTTAAAGTCGGCTTGATATTGGTAGACTACATACCTTACTTTACGATGTACTTACAGTAGTGTTCTGCCGTTGCCGTACCCTAGACAAGGAAGCATGTAAAAGGTCTTACTGTAGGTGGTATAAAGTTCTAGACTCTCGTAGGCCCTTGACCGCTTTACGTAGGAAAGTTGAAACGTCATTTTCGATTTTTTTGCCAAGGGCATCAGGTAAGGTACATTATGTACATACAGCCTACAGGTACAGTAGTGAACATACACTCTGTCACCTTCTTGTTCTTCTTCTTCGTTTCATCTTCTCCCATGTGCTTGAAATTCGGCAAGGAAACGGCGCGTATGGATTTTATTCCATCATCTCAATATACCTGGTATAAAAAGGTACCTGGTAGAGATCTGCCGGTTCGACGGATGGAATTGACTCCCGTTTCGAAATCCTTGTACGAGCCAAGGGAGGGCCATGAGGCATGAAAGGCTCAGCTCAGGCATCATCATCAGACGCTCAGTTCATCTGTCGCCGTCTGCTGTGTCCGACCGCCTGTCTTTGGTGACAGCTTCGTCTAATTTTTATATTTGTACACACTACTGTGTATGCGTGTGCGTGTGCGTGCGTGCGTGCTACTTGTTCGACTGGTGTAGCCGATATTACTCTTTGCTGCTGCTGCCCAACTACGCTCTAGGGTATGTAATGTGAGGTAAGATAGGTAGTTGAAACGGAAGATCCAACAATACAACAGCAACAACAGCAAGATGCTCAGCCGATGCGCATGTTCAGGGTGTAGTAAAATGTGACGTGGTCATATCATCTTGGACAAAGGAGGGCGGAGAGGAGGGCGGAGAGGAGGGCGGTGGAAATGGTACAAGATGGAGACTAAGGCATCATCACCTGTTTGCCTGTATTTTGATAGGCTACGCCGCTACGCACAACTGTACCCGTTCCCGTCACAAACCCCGTGCAAGGAGGAGGAGTAAGACTGCAAGATAAAGCTAACAGGGAATGCTTTCCATTGCCATGGCGCGAGGCGTCCCGACACCTTGGGTCCATGCACACTATGGCCATGGCTTTGATGACGCTAGACGGGCATGCCGCATGCAGCAGTGCGAGACCAGCAGCAAGAAATGCCACGAGAAGATACAAGTGTCAGTACACTATCGTGGCATTCTCTTTCCTTTCCACAACCCGGCTACGTTCGGAGTCTCCGCTGGCGATAAGTCCGGTCCATGGCTTCCCTGAATCCCGGACTCCTGAGCATACCTCCTAAGGTGCAGTATTCTTCATTCACTCAATCGACCCTGATCCAACGAGGAGGACGAAGAGGAGGAAGAGGAAAAGGAAAAAAAGGACGCGAGAAAGGAGGCGCTGGCGGAGAATTGGGTGCGCCGCCCTTGCACGACTTGACCGATAATAACACGCCACACATACATGTTTCTACCCGCCCTGTGTTGCACACGATCCGTTTCGCGTGATCTCACTCAATCTAACCGTGCACTCCCTATCGCGTCGCTCACGGACAAAAGAGCCGACGACCCCAGCGTGCAGTCCAGTCCACCCTGTGCATAAAGTTTCACGCGTGAATCTGTTCCCCCAAACTCTACACCTACTGTACCTTTGACTACCTCCTGTACCTACACACCTGTACATGTATGTTGTACTACTGTACGCTGCTGTGCCTCGTTCTATCCAGGATCCACCCCCACGAAGATCGCGTGAGACTGAGACACGTCGAGACTGTATATGGAATAGACGGCTGTCTTGCCCGTTTGCCCTCCTTCGCAACATAGCCTCCAAGCTTCGACAAGACAAAACGAACGGCGTCATCCTTGCGAACGCCCATACTGTGCCCTACCGTACTCAAATCAGGGTTGTTTCCTTTCTTGTACACATCCTCCGCGAGAGCTATATGGTCCAGGGCCTCTCCACCGACATTTGCTGCACTCGACTTAGGTGGCCATTACAAGAACAACGACCATACCATACCACACCCTACCATACCATATAATAGGAGCGGATTTACACACATACACATACACAGACACGAACATGTGCATCGCCGGCCTCAATCTCACGACACGGACCTGCGCGCACCGATGGTACGAACTCATTCGACAATGCAATCCTGCCAATAGCCTCCACAACTGTCCGGAAAAGCTACGTCTGGAGGGCTGGGAGCGGCAACGAGCAGACTGCCCGTTTTGCGACGGCACGGGACATGACCACTCCACGCACAGGCTGTTTGGCAGCACATCCTCAGCCAGCTCCGTCACATCATCGCCGACCATGTCCGCAATGGGATCATTTCACGACAGATACAGTCGAAGAAGCAGTGGAGCGACTGCCACGACGGGCATCGCCAGCGCACTCTCGCGGCAGAACAGCAACTACTCCTCCTCCTGCAGTGGCGAACTCGATCGAGCCATTCAAGCAAGACACATGAACCGACGCATCCATGTCTATCTCTCGTCCGATCCTCACGAGATTCTGCCTTCGGCGACCAAGAACTACCCGACATATGCTGCCGCCATCGCGAAAGCGGAGAGTAGTGCTGCTGGCGGGAGATCGGAGGCGAAGAGGCTTCGCCGAAGCAACTCATTCGCTGTGGTTTCTCGCGGGTGGCAGCGCATGTCGAAGCGTCTGAGCATCAACCCTGACCTGTTCAAGGTTGCGTGAGCGGCGTGCGACAATGAAATCACTTGCTGCTGCTGCTGCTGAAGAGTATAGAGGTACAATGTACCGACTCCGACGTGGCGCGCTCTCAGCGTGCTTGCTTTGGGCCTTGGCGCAAATCACTGCTCGGAACGGGCTTTCTTGACGAAGCCGAAGAAAGGATTCTTTTCTCAAGCGATCCAGACACACACTCACACACCACATGAATCATGGCCATTCATACGACAGTACTACACATCGTCATCATCACCATCACCATCATTCATTTGATTGTACCAGGAAAGACGCTGTAGCTGCTCGCTTGTACTGGCTGCCGCTCCAAGCCGGTCTTGTTGCATTCCATGCACCCCCCGCGGAAAGCCGTCGCGGCATGATCGGCATCGGCAGTATTTAGCGGCAGCAGCAGCCAGCAGCAGGCCAGCATCAGCAGCCAGCAGCAGGAGCAGTAAAGTGTCGCGTGGTTCGCTAGCCACGCGACATCTTCCTCACACTACGCCCAGATATCATCCTTTCCAAGCCTGGGTTTCTCTTGGCCCGCCGTCTTGGTCCGTCTTGGAAAGTCTGGGATTCCGAACCTTTTGCCTGGCTGGAAAAAAGAGTTCCTCCCTGTGTGTGTGTGAATGCGGGGCTCGTGTGGTTGGGCTGATGCTGATGCTGATGCTGACAGGTTTAATTGATCCTGATTATTTTCGTGCAAGTTACTTGGGTTAGTAGTTACAAGGTGTCATCATGAGAGAAGATGTGATGGAACCACGGCCACGAATAATGATTGATGATTGATGATGATGGACAGCAGCAGCAGCAGCAGCAGCATGATGATGGGTCGTATTTCGGCTAACCTGATACATTTCAATAGAGCGTGTTGGGTGTTGTACGTACGGTATTCTTGCACTTTTTGGGATACGGAGAGGGACAGCGGTGTGTTGTTGTTGCTATTGTTTTTTGCTTTTTGGATCTGGTTTGTTTTTCCAAAGATACCCCCCACACCACACCACAAGATCTGAATGTGGCATAGTACCTATGTATGTATACCGATAGATAGCTCAGGTACCTACTTGTACCTGAAGTATGCTGTCTCTGCCTATCCGAGTGAGTAACTTGAAGTCTTTGCCCGGACGAACCCGATATTGACTACAGTACCTATGTACCAAGGTAGGTATTCAGCGATACCTTAGAACTACACTTACCTTGTCAGTTTAACACTACCTACTTCGATGCACTACTCCGCAGCTTTACCCCGCAAAGTCAAGTTACCTTATACTATCGAAATCGAAATAGTTAGATACCTAGTAGTTACATGTACGTATACATACATGCCCGTATAAGGTATACATCTCTCTAAGCTAAGAGGTACCTACCTACCTAGTTCTAACCTTCTAGATAGCCCTAGTTAGCTACTATCTTGTCGAAGAGCAGTCTTGTCGAAGAGGTACTAGATAAGGTATATAGGTAGATCAAAAGTAGGTACCTATATTAATTAGTATCTCTCTTCGATTATCAAGAATAAACGATACTACTAGGTATAGTACCTAGACAAACTACCTATAGGTACTCTATATAGGAACAATATTACCTACCTTATAATTTATTCAATAGTATAGTTGTATACCTTACGAGAAGAAGCTCTAGATAGATATAACGCGGTAGAACTACCTACTTACCAATAGGGTAGTCTCTTTTGCCTTTCTTTTTCCTTTTCCTTTCTCCCTTTTTTCGTTTTTCTTTTAGATACTATAGGTACTAGGGTTTTCGAAAAACGAGTACTTCCCCCTTATACCAATATGTACTTTGGACTACATATCCCACAAGACTTCGTTTAGAAAAGCACTTGTATACGAGTACGTACCTCCTGCTAGAAAGTATATAGTTTGTACTCTGCAGGAGAGTAAGTGAGGAGGGTCTCGGAAAGTCACGGACGGTTGATAGAGCCGGGAGCTATTATTGGCGAGAGCGGTATGTAGAAGTTGAACTACACCTATGTACCCTACACCTAGTCGCCTTAGGCAGGGTCAACATTGCCGAGATGATTACATCATTTACATGTATATCTCTCTCTCCCTCTCCCTTTGATACATACTTCACTCCAACTGCGAGAGATGACACGTCATCAGAAGCCATCTTGGCAGGTGTGATATGAAGGTGGTTGATCGTTCCAGGCTGCTCGTGATAATTTGCTTGGAAGCCAAGAAAATTTGTCGTATTCATTGGAAGAAAAGCTCGCGTGGACATTCCGGAGCCGATGATTTGTTCTGGGCGTTCTCTGACTCTCAGATGAATAAGGTACATGAAGGTGTGCATGTATGGATTGTACCTGTATGCGGAGTTGGGCAAGGCATGCCCCGGCCAACAACAACTCGATTTCATCATGCACTGCCCCGTGTGCCCGTATGCCCGTGATACATGTGCCTACCTCCTCAACTGTCCTTGAGCGGTCATCGGAGACACGGAATTTCATACAGTCCGAGTGTGCTCTGAGCCTGAGGTGGCGCCTTTTGCATCGTTCCTGCCCGGTCTTGCAATTTGTTTCCTCATCCTCCCATCTACCGTCTTTCTTTCCATGTCCAACTCCGTCACCATGCAATTTGAAACATCAAAAAAGCGAAATAACCTATGTCTGGGGTATCACTGCATTATCATCCAAAAGCTCATGTGCTGTGTCAATTTGGTTCCCTAATGTGGCTCTGAGCCATGGCCGTCACCACCTCGAAAGATCGCCCGATTCAGCTCGATGTAGTTGTTGCGGTATCACTTTTCTCGGCATCTTCCTCAGCCCGCGCGTGCGTCGACTTGGGTCCAGGACCTTTCTCGGTGTGGTCGATGGAGAAGAAGAGAAGAATACAGCTGCCCAGCACGCTGACGAATCCGAGCCAGGAGAAGACGACCGAAGCAACAGCTCGACTGTTCTTACGATAACACAGGGGTGTGCCACCGTCCTTGCTGAACTGCGACAGCAGCGACTGTCCATATCCATCATTGACTCCCGCTGGACCTCGAAAGTACCCGCAGTGATTTGCGGTGATGACGGTGAGTGCGAGCGCGGAGGCGAGATAGAAGATGGTTGACAGCACGCCACACACTTTCCAGGCAATCAATACGCTCTTCGATTCGTGTCGTTCGGGCCAGAAGAGATCGAAGAAGAAGGCTGCGCCGAAGATGAAGGCGACAAATATGCCGGCGAAGATGTTGAAAGACGCGACTCCGACAAAGTCATTATTGTAGACATAGACTCTGTCGTCGAGGGCTGCCACGTATTTCTGGCTATCGACGTAGTCTGGGGCCTTGGTCAGCACTCAAACCGCTCTCTAACCTCCAGAATCAATGTGAATGACTGCGCAACGCACTTACCAGACAACGCCGATGTCCCTAGCGACTCCGAGACCACGCAAAAGATGAGCGCACACTGGTATACGATGAATTTCGTGCGACGTAGATGATAGGTCGTGTTCCACATGTACGAGCTTTTGAACTTGGCCCATTGTATTTCTTTGAGGTCGAGGCCCCATATAACAGGTGCCATGGTGTCTGTCTAGTCCTGCTCTTTACTGATGTTTATACCTAGTCTTTCTCTTGACTAACGTCCGTATGCGAAGGGCCTGAGCTGCTTTGAATGAATATCGATATCTGGAGAAGAGTAGTGGCAAACGAGCGACAACTTGAAGCTCACGCCCGGCGTGGCATGACAGCGGTGGCCCCTCTACATCAAGGCATCTCCTGTGTTGATTTGCATACACGCGGGAGTGTCGATCGCATCTGGTACCTACGTGATCTTGCCACTGGATTTGTACAAGATATGATGATGATGAGCATACGCCCGACGCATAAGCGGCGACAATACGAAACGTCTGCAGCTTCGATGCGACAGCAAGGCCGGCCGATCCGCACAGAGGCAGAAAAAAAAAGCAATGAGCAATGATGGATTCACATGGACAGTTGGTAGTGACCAATGACCAGTCATGTAATGAGAATGTGGTAATTACAACGTTGCACACAAGCATGGCTGCATGAGCCGCAAAAAAGCATAAAAAACTGAGGTGGGATGTCGCGACTCGCCCGTTGTTCGATTTGCAAGCGCTGCCACCATCACACGACAAACTTGCCCTCTGACATCACGCTGCCAGGAATCGTCGGGGCAACACGACTGGCTTTATGCACACAGCACGCGAATGTTGAGGGGGAGAGTGAGAGAGAGAGAGCCCGTCCGTGGTGGAAAAAGCACAAAAAGCGAAGAATATCTGCCATTCCGATTCGCATGCGGCTCCATCATGCATTCCGCACACACCCTCCTTCTACCAAGCATGTCATATACAGATTCGGCCATTTCCTGCACTCCCTCTCAACACTGCGAACATCTTTTTAGTTCCAGGTCCAGCTTCTCTATTAGGACAACTTGGGTTGGAATGTAGACGAAGGCAGTAATCGCCGGATCTGATGCACAATTCGTAGGTTACCAGAAGTCAAGTACGACCTCAGTTCCTCATTACAATCTGTTTCCTGGGTCTTCATATTGACACATCCTTTCAAACGCCGCATGAACATTCTATTGCCGTCAATACTACGTACTACCTATTACTTCGATCCAGCTCCAACTTGACCACGACAAGGCCCTTTCCACCATGGCACTCTTAAAGTACGCCATCGCCGTCCTGCCAGCTTGGTCCTCAGCAGCTGTTATTGCACCACAAGCCGACAGTGAGTAGTATTCTCACCATCCCACCACCTCCGTCTCCATCACTGCGTAGAACAACATGTAAATGGAAGGCACCTACCTGTCCACAGCTAACGATCATCCCTCCAGACTCATCGGCGTGTTACACCACGACCATTTTCGCGGTGGTGGCGTCTTCGGAGAACACGACCCCGGCAGCAACTAATAGTAGTAGTAGTAGCACAACTCTTCCCATGATGGTAACAGGAGTCAACGCAACAGGGACTGGTGGAGCAGCTCATGCCACCAACATCAACAACGGAACGAGCACATGGGCCCCAACCGTCGTCACGCCGACTATTGCTCCTGCTCCGAGTGATGGTGCCGCTGCCGACGAATTGAGCACGAGTCTCATGGCTGCTGTGGTGGCCTTTGGAGGCTTGACTTGGGCCTTTGCTGAACTTTGATGAGTGAGGTTGCTTGGGCGTATGGGAGAATGTCACGCAGCCTGATTCTTGACCGCGACTTGATACAGTCATGCTGTATCCTGCCCATCTACCAAAAAACGCCGTTTCCCAACCCACCTCAGGTCATAACATCATATAATCGTCATGGCGAAGGAGATCTTGGCCACTCTCTCGCCAAAAGTAGTATGTAGAACAGCTACGCTTGGGCCGGTCATTCATCCTTCTTGTCCTCTGCCAGGCTATCCCGGTCGCCATAGTTTCCCCAGATCCAATTGCTCCACCCTGCACTTCCCTTGGCGGGTGGTTCCAGCGGTGTTCGGTCACCTGCGCCATCTGTTCGTGGCCGGAAGTGCTCTGGGTCCGGCATCGTCTCGTAGCCGAGGTCCTCGAATTCAGACTCTGAGCGAGACCGGTGCATTTGGTCCTGTTCATTTGGAGCGAGGTATGGCTTGCGGGCGGCGGGGTTGCGAGGTGTTCCTGATCGTGGTTGCGAGCTCGATTGCCAGGCGCCCGGGGTGCTTTCGGCTTCAGCGTCAAAAGCTCGAAGCAACGTACTGAGCTTCTCGCGCTGCGCTCGAACGTAGGCGTCACGCTCGGAGCCCGTAAGGTGGGGTGGAATGAGAGTACCCGATGCAGATAGGTCACGGGCTTGTGCGTCTTGCGAGGAAGAGTCTGCGGAGGTGGTCTGCTGCAGGAGATTGCCAATCATGCCGAAGATGTCCGAAGTGCCTGTGGCAGGCAGAGCATCTCGGGCAGCGGGCATGGTAAAGCGATTGAAGAGCTGATTAGTGTAGCTAACATTTCTGCTCGGCGGCGGTGTAGGCCTTCTAGGCTCTTGTCCAAGTAATTGGGTTCTAACATACTCGATGACCATCTTGACCACGTCCAGGCCAGCTGTGCGTGCCTTCTCATGCCCATCGCTGATCATGTGATCGATTTGCCGCTCATGCTCTTCCAAGAATGGGTGAATGTAGGTCTGGTAGAGGAAGACGCAGCCCTGTTGGCCTGGCGAGACGAGGTACAGGTGCACGGCCAAACGGAGCCAACTGTAGAAGGGCACCCATGAGAGGATGAAGTCGAATTGGTTCTCGAGCAGGAGGAAGATGCTCAGCGTCGTCCAGTACATGAGCCATGGCGAGAGCACACCGGGGTCGGAGGTGCGTAGGGCCTTGTAGGAGAAGAAGATGGGGAGGGCGATGGAGAAGACGGAGCTGCGGGTGGGGGGACGTGATTAGCAGCGACACTGGGATGAATGTATCGACACGGAAGCGTACGTCAGGATGTCTGCAATGAAGCCAAACATGGCGACTGTATGGCGGTGGTATGGGGGTGAGAATGGGGTTATCCTCTCAGGAGGAGGAGTGGGCGTGTGGTGGTGGCGGTGGTGGTGGTATACTAAGGTCGAGGGCCGATAGAGTGTGTGTGACGAGTGTGTCACCGATCGCAACGCAAGCGCAACCGCCACCGCAGACGCGCGACGACTGTTTGAAGAACACGAGCAGGTGCCCCTCCCGCCGACCGTGACCTTCTACTACGAACTGTGACCATTGCACGTGCTCCGTTGTAGAACGACCACCTACTAGAATAGTCTATACCGTCCGATCTCGATCTCCCGCACGTGCTGCTGCTCCAGAGGGCGGCTTCGTGGATCACCCGTCCTCCCCGGCCACCTGAGACCTGGGCCAAGATGTGCATCTCCGTCCTGTCAACCGCCCACCCACACTATCCCTTCGTCCTCATCAGCAACCGAGACGAGTTCATCAACCGGCCCACGCTGAACGCGGACTGGTGGGATTCGCCTCATCGGCACGTTCTCGGTGGCCGCGATGCGCAACGCCAGGAACGGGGCACATGGCTCGGCATCACCAAGCAAGGTCGCATTGCCATACTCACCAACTTTCGCGAGGAGGGCATCGAGGTCAACAAGGACAAAAGTCGAGGCGCCATCACCAACTCCTACCTCTGCGTCGACCCCGACAGCCAGGAAACGGAAGAAGAATTTGTCCGACGACTGATTGACCAGGTCGGTATTCACGATGTCGGGGGCTTCACCCTCATCTTCGGCAAGCTCAGAAAGCCAAAACATACCCAAGAGGAAAACGCAGTACGTACATTGCTCCCTCCTTCGAACGCCGTGTCGAGACTGAACCTGTTGCGTGACCACCAGTCGCCCAATCTAGTTTCGCAGTTACCCAGTGTGCTGAAAGGTAGATCTACCGACGGCTCAGCCGCGGCAGGTCTCGCGGTCATCTCGAATCGCACGGAAACCGCAGATTCCCTGCAACGAGTGGCGGGCTGTATTGGAGAAACTCACGGCCTGAGCAACAGCCACTTCGGCGATGTGACTTGGCCCAAAGTGGTTCATGGCGAGATTCAGCTCGCCCAGACGATCAAAATGGACGTCATCAACGGCGGCAACGAGGAGAATTTCATCAGAGGACTGTTTGGCGTCTTGTGCATCGACCTGCTGCCGAAGCGGAAGGAGAATGAGAGCTGGGACGAATATGTTCGACATATGCGCGGCTCGATCCTGATACCGCCTGCGAAGGGCGAACAGGCGCAACATATGGCTGGCTATATCCCCGCTTCGACATCACTGAACGCATCTGCCGGCACCGACCAAGCCCCTACGCCCAATGGTGGACACCTGGCTGAGACGGCGTATGGCACTTCCAAACAGACTGTCATTTTGGTCAACAATCAAGGCAGAGTCATTTATGTGGAACGGAGCTTATATGATCAACACGGTACGCCCATACCGGAGGACCAGAGGGACCTCCGCTATGAATTCGATATCGAGGGCTGGTCGGACACCCCATAGGTAACTTGGTATGCATCTCGCATACACGACACTGATAGAGATACATTCTTCACTAGGAGCCAGTTATAATATCAGAGCTTGACAAATGAGAAGACAACACGACATTTTGATAAAGTGGCCATGTACACAGCCTCATGGTCAGGCGAGATAAATGGACTAATAAGCATATCGGCGGGAGACTGCTTTTTGTATCCTCGTTCTAGGGATTACGACATACTACTGTCGATCTAAATGTACTACATAGGGTATCGTCATCGTCTTCTTATTGCAACTCTTCAATACATGTAGCCACCGACGCCTAAAGCCTTTGTGATCGCCTTGAAGTCCGGAGTGCCCCAGCCAGTGGCAGCGTCCCACCCCTTCTTCGTGGGAAACCCACTCGTACCACAGCCTGTGACATTGCCGACGGTAATGTCGTTGTAGCCATTTCCCTGCCCCGAGTAGAGCAAAGGATTGAGAAAACCGAGTGGAGGTCGCCCAGCAGCGATGAGTGCGTCGTTGACATTGGTCAAAACCCCTGCAGCGATGGGCGAGGAGACACTTGTGCCATCGACGGCAACACTACGACCTTGATAATAGATCTGGAATCTGTACCCTTGCGCGGAGATGTCGGGATATGCACGACCATTGGGGTTGTAAAGGCCTTTGTTGAGAGAGCCGAGGGAGGCAAGGTAGGGCGGTACTGCGAGGGCCTAATGAGGTGTCAGTCTCAGTATACCTCATATTCAAAGTGCTAGGACGGATGGAAACGTACCTGGTAAGCGGGACGAGGAAAGTATTCAGAAAAACCTCCGCCAGCGACATATCCGTTGCCCTCATCGAACGCTACCCGCTCTGGAGAGAAATCTCTCGTGCCACCAACAGTCGTGACAAAAGGACAGGAAGCGGGGAAAGACGGGAGGAATTTGGTGGTATTCTTGCCATCATTCGACACGCAGAATCCTTCTTCTCCCACGCCTTGATCACCAGATGAGAAAAGCAAGGTGACGCCGCGAGCTCCCAGCTGAGCAAATTCCGAACACACTCGAATGGCATAGTTTCGAGGAACAGTCTGCTCATCATCACCATATGAGGTGGAAATGACGAATGGGACTTCCTTCTGCTTGAGAACATAGTCGAGCCAGGTGAGGTATGGCTCATTAGTGTTGGTGGGAGTAAAAAGATCCGGCGTGAATGGCGGTGAGCCTCCTGTGCTGTAGGATGTGAATCGTGTTGGGTACACGATACCTCCTACTGCCTGGACATCCAGGTTCGCCTCGACGCCTGGATCGAGCTGATTGTCTGCCGGGTTTGCGATGAGTTGTCTGCTGTATTGGTAGGTTGGATCAGAGCCTGGGCGCATGCTTGCCATGTAGAGATGAAAGTCGGCTGGAACGAGTCAGCCATTAGCAAGAGTCTCGGACACGATTCAACTACCACTGGGAAAGAAGTTCTTACCATCCGATGGTGTCTCGTTGAGGTAATTCGTAATGCCGACATAGTTCTTGAGCGGGGCTTTGGGGATGTAATCTACAGTGTTGTACAGTGTGCGCACGCATAAGCTGGAGACAGAGTTGGTCGGGTTGGCGCAAATGGCACTAATGTTTGCACTTGGTGCAGCCGCCGCGGCAACAGTGAGTCTGCTATTTGACACCTTGCTCACTGGCAGATCAAAATCGGCGATGTGGACTCCAGAACCGTGATGCTTTGGGTTTCCAAAATAGTTTGTTGGCTGGATCACGTCGATGTGGCCATGCAGCGAGCGTGGCAAGCTGTATTCTGTCGTTCGAACGACTTCGGCACCGTTCTCGTGGCGGTATTCGTGATACTCAGTGTTGAGAAGACTCTCGACTTTTGAGACCGGAAGGGCGATCGTGATCCAATCCTTTGGCGGGCTGTAGTGGAAATTGTCTGCAGAAATGCCGTGGCCCTAGGACAAAGTCAACAAGATTGCTTGAACGGTATGGTGTGATTTCAGACTCACCTGCAACCACGCCTCAACCGCAACAAGAGCATCCTCAGTCGGCGCAGTGAGTGCGTGAATGTCACTGGTTGACAGGTGCTGACCGTAGCGGGAGTGGCTAGGGTCGCTCACTTCGTACAGCTCTTTCTCAAGCTGATCGAACGAAGCTTGCTTCAATCCAATACGGAGAGTGACAGTGTGGTCCTGCAGTACGTTCAGTGAAAGGAGCAGTTGATCAGTCTCTACAATCTACTTACAGGACTTGGTTTGCCGGTTTGCTCCCATCCCGGGGGAACATAATGGGAGTTGTGTACAGCATAGTCGGATCTATCCTCCAGAGGCAGAGCCAGAACAACTGAGATGCCGCAGAGGGCAGCGACTGAAATGGACTTCATCATTGCTTGCATCGAGGAGTGCTCCAGCTGACACTACGTGGAATCGGGCGTACACAAGGTCGAATGCTCGAGCGAAGCAAGGGATGGGGTCGTCTTTATTATCATTATGGAGGATGCGAACCCGCGTCCGCGAGCTCGCTCGGCGTGTACCACTGCATGTTCGTTAATGATGTGCTTTCTCATTTTCCGATTGGGGCATAGTGGCAGAAGTTCGAGTGTGCGAACTGCCCCAATGAGAGAGCCGTGGTACTCGAATGCACAAAATCTACTGTGCTAGGATTAGACTTGTGCTGGTGTCATGCAGGTACAACGAGAGCTGGATGGACGGACCCAAAAGACCGGTACAAGCACTTGATTGCGAATACCTCTTACAGGCCATCGTGGACCCTTTCGACTGTCGATATTACCTCCTAGGTGTTTAAGGTATTTTGCGCCTCGTTTTCATACTGACACTGTGGTTCATTGGTATTCCTATTCTGAATGCACCATGGTCTTGCTGTAATCCATGGTACCGTAGGAGGTACATGTACCTGCGACGCAAAGATGATCTGGCAGTGTCACCAAGCCACCAAGCGGCAAGACGCCAATAGCCATCACAAGGCGCGCCACTAAACACCTTATCTTGTCCAAGGCCGACGCTCGATTTGCTTCTGCTGCATGTGCATGCTTAAATTTGCTTGCCTTCCTATTCTGGGTTGGACGCCGGTATACCCAGATTTGCACGCCTCTTCAAACTTTGCATCTTCTTGTTGCCAATCGTGTCCTCGGCCTTCGTTATCGCTCGCAATCTTGAAAACCTTCACAAAGGGCTGGTCCAATTTGAGAAGGTACCTGTCCTTGACATCTTGATGACCATATGTGTCGCCCATTTCCATTTTTCCGCATCAGCTTTCATGGATTACCCGGGTGCATGTATAAGGTACCTTATCAACGAGACGTGTCTGCATTTTTGATGTAGTCGTCTGTATCAATCGAAGTCTTGGTTTCGTTGCCGCTACTACGGTCAGCTAAGGTACCTGTACTTATCCGTGGCAAGCTCAGCAAAACTTCGGGTGAGGCACTGCAAAGAAATTTAAGGTGAAGAAGACATCTATAACTCACAGATGCCCTCATATTCTATACAACCAGTCGGGAATCCCATCCTGCAGCATCGATCCTCTATGAACAGCTTAATCCGTCTCCACACTCAGCTGTACACTCACGTCCCACCTCAGTCCACTCAGCCTCTTCTGCACCAGCTTTGTGACATTCTGTCGTATCCTCGTCAGGTCATCAGTCATTCCATATCCGCCCCTGCTCTTCCTGTACCTCAGCTTCAGATTCGCCATGCCACTGCCGTAGTGCACCTGCCAGAACCTCGCCTCGTCCACATTCGTGATGCTGGGATCGCAGTTGGCGACATCATCCGCAATGTCTCGCAACGCGTGTATGTCATCGGAAGGGCTTCGCGCTGACATGAGGAGCATGGAAGATAGTGATGTCCCCAGGCGGGCGCCCGTGAGTAACATGAATGTTGCCGTGACGACCGAGAGTGCAAAGTCAAACGCTGCGTAGTACTTCGTGGTGAAGAATGGTAGCGCAAGAATCGCGAGCGAGCAGGATAATGTGAGGAAATGCGATGGATTTCCCAGAATCTTGCCCCAGCCTGCTAGGAGTCCGACACGCATAGCTTTACCCATGCGAGCGTGGTTTTTCAATAGAACAGCAGAGACCAGCGTGCTGCCGATGGAGAGCAGACTGGCAAAGTCCACGTTTGCTGTTCCCACTCGTTCGTGCTCATGCGCAGAGTGAGCGACGTGCGTGCCTAGGTTTTCCAGCCAGTGCTGAATTCCATGGCTGATCACGTCCAATCCCATGAAACCAATGAATACCGCCATGCCGAATCCCGCCAACACATCCGCACGTTCCAACCCAAATGGATGCTTGATTGAGCTCCGCTTCCAGACTTCGAAATTTCCCATAACATCCACCACGACACATACTGTAGCGCCAGCAGCATCAAACAGGAGTAGCCTACTCAAAGCCGTCATGGCGAGTGATCCGGCTCCAGAAAATTGTACGTAGCCAGCAATCAGGAAATGACACATACACCAGATCAACCTCGTTGTCTGCTGTTTCGTCATGCTCCACCACGCTTCTTTCCTCGTCGGCATAGGCAGACTCGCGGGCACGGCAAGCGGCGTCCTACTCGCTTGTGGGGGCTTGAAAATACCTTCCATATGACTGGCATGAATGGAAGAATGCCTGTATTTGTGTCCTCGTCTTCCCACCAGCTTCTCGCTCCTCGTGCCACCGATACTCGTGATCGAGTTGCTTCGTTCATATTGCACCGGCGTGAAGTTGAACGGGTTCGTCACAGTCTGCCCAGTGGTATTGCTGTCGATGCTTCCAAATCCTCCATCGGTCGAGGCAGTCTGCGGCGTATTAGGACTGTACATCGTTCCAGACGGGCTCAAGCCCCCATTGATGCTAAACGTCGCGCTCTCTGGTGACAGCATAGAGGCAGTGGAATCGGTCTTGCCAGTCTCGGGTCCCAATCCCACATACTGCGCGTCCGCCGCCCTGCGCGCCGGACTGTCATTGATACCAGTCCTGAAATCGTAGTCGGGGTGTTCTTGTATGCTGGGCGCAAGACTGCTGGCGCTGTCGTTGTGCTGGTGGAGTCCAAGCCCTATTGTACCCGGACGAGGCTTCCAAGAAGATGTCGTCGGCGAGGGAGGCTCTTCTGGCAGAGGCGTAGGCGGCGTAGGCGTTCGTGGAGGGAGCGGGATGGGGAGATTGGAACTAGACATTGTGCTTGTCGATCAGGAGATCAAAAGGAACGTAGGGCTACCTCTAGAGCTAGAGATGGCATGCATATACATAGAGTCGCCGCTCAACACCGCTTTGACGATTCGTGTGGTTGAACGTTGCAAGGTGCGATACCGCACGTTTGTTTGTTTGTATGTGTGACCTTCACAGTCAGGGGAAGTGGTCGTTGGTCGAACGAACCAGAAATAATCGGTTCGGCTCGCGGACCGACGACGCTTGATGCCTGTCCATCCCACCTACCACTCCACTGGCACTCCAAGCCAACAGCTTCGACAGTCGAGGCTCAGCTCAGGACAAGACGAGGCAGCTCGACTATTCTTGTCGTCGTTTCCACTTACCTCTCAGATCGCGCGATAAGCACTTCGATCCGCGGTCGATCCTGTTGCGTCAGGTCAGGTCAGCCCAATGCTCCTGTGCTTAATAGGACAACATGCCCGAACCAAGAAGAGGCAGCGGCGACCGCCGTAGAATCACTGTCTCTGGACCTCTGCCCAATCTCGACGACGGCGGCGACGACGACGGTGACAATGTGCAGAAACCTTCCAGGGACAGTATGAAGTTCTCGAGGAGCTCACCTTCTACTCCCTCTTTGCCCGTGGAGCAGACGACAGCAGCAGCTTCGCCCGCCAAGCGCACCGAGCATAGACGAAGCGTGAGCACCCATCTTTTGGCCAAGCTCAACTTTCTGAATCGGCTGTCAGAGGACGACAGGCCACCTTCGAGGGAGAAAGAAAGCGAGGTCAAACCGCCAAAGAGTCCGCGCAGCAGCAAGAGCAGGAAGAGCATCGATGATGACGAGCCTGTCACGTCTCCTGTGTCGCCAGCGAAAGGCGATGGCGCTATGGCTGCTGTGCTGAAGGCCACAAAGTCGCGTAAGCGCAAAGGCTCGTTGAGAAAGACGGCGCTGCTCGGGACGAGAAGGCTGGTCACGGAGACGAGGGAGAGGCGGAATAGTGTTCTGCAACGCACCCCATCGCTGAAACTTGCACAGCAAGTACAGGCAGCACGCACGGACGACTATGGCGGCGAGCCCAAGCGGCCTCCTCTCCCGTCTCGAGATAGTAGCAGCACTACTTTGAGGAAGAACTTCAGTTACGAGAATGTCAACGCGGCGAGCAGCAATGATCGCGTGTGGCCTGAGCCTGCTGCAGTAACAACAGCACGGCTTTCGCTCCTGACAGATCACCGGTCTCAGCTCGAACAGCGCAAGGATGTAACAGAGCTCAAGAGCCCACTCGACTTGAAGAGCTCTATTAGCAATGCCAGTTATGCTAGCACCACCGACGATGATGATATGCTTACATTTGGTCGATCAGCTAACAGCTACATCGCCCAACAAAAGCCTCTATCGTCAACTACCTCGAGCTACTTTCCTGAGGCGTCCATCTCCCGCCGACCCAGTCACCAGAGCAGGAAGCACTCCCGCTCGCCGCTATCACAAAATCTGACCTCTGCGCTGTCCACTTTCCCTGCATCACCCTTAGCACTGGAACCCCACGATTACACGGAGACAGAATACTGGGGCTGGGTGATCTTGGTTGTCACGTGGTTGATTTTTACTGTTGGCATGGGAAGCTGTTTGGAGATCTGGAGCTGGGCATGGGATGTGGGAGAAACACCGTATGCTCCGCCTGAGCTAGAAGATGATCCTACCTTGCCGATTGTAGGCTACTATCCGGCGCTGATCGTGTTAACGGGAGTGGTGGCGTGGGCCTGGATTACGGTTGCTTGGGTTGGCATGAAGTACTTTAGGCATGCAAAGATTGAAGTGTGACAGTTGGCGCATGATGTGGGCTGTGAGATGACCAGGATGTATCGGGACTACCATGCTCCCTCCATAACGTTGGCTCATCGTTGGTACACATCGTCGAGCATGGCGGGATTCTACGAGAGCGTGATACCAAGAGTACTAATGAGTGGAGAACTTTGGAAGGGCTAGAGTCGTACAGTCCTCGCTGCCGATGGGACTTGGAGGAGACATCGTCTGCCAACTCGGGTCTGTAAATGTCGAACTGCCTGGAGGCGGGCCTTGTCTTGACTGAATTTGATACGAGTCTCCCGATACTCTCATATCCGTCATATACAAGATCTCTTCACATTTCCCGCAATCCCATACCACTCAGTAAACCTAAACTGGCGCTTCGTCGCATGGCTCTTGCATAAGGTCTGTGGCTCCGGGTTGTATGTCGTCGCGAACGCAGTCCAGACACGAATCATCTCTTCCTATAACAAGCCTCTCAGACATGGATGGTCACTGCCGCCAGGATGAGCACGCATTGCCTACAACTCCCGTCCAGTGCAGCCATTCTTTGGTATTCTTTTCTTCGTGAGATGGGATGGTACCTAGGTAAGCTTACGGTTGTCTCTTGTGAAATTGCAATGAGACGCGCGACGATGGGGATGTATAGTGAGATCTGGGGCGATGTTCATAGTCAGTGCCAGCCATCTCTCAAGGCAACTGGAGGTGCGTGGTTACAAATCTTACGCATCGTGTCTGGACTGAAGAGAATGGAACTGGGGGCTGTTTTGCTTGGTATCTGCTGCAGCTGCTGTATAGGCTCAAACAAGAAAATGCTACCATAACATCTCCACATGCGCGATGGGCGGCAAATCTCCCTCCACATCAGGCACTGTGGCTGTTGCAGAATTGTGGAGGGGCCGTTTGTGCCAGTAAGCCACAAAGCTTTGCGCGGCGTCCTCGGTGTGGAAGCCGACAATGAAGACGTTCCCGGGCGTGCGCCGCAATTGTTGCTTCTCGCCCATGGTTTCAGAGCTCTCTCGCCGTCTACTACGGGATGATTCATGCGCGCTGTCATCGACAGCCCCATCGGCGTTCCTCCGTGCCCATGCAGAATCACTCAAGGCTCCAGGTGACGCACGTGGACCCCACGACGTAATTTGAACATGGTACTTGTCACCGCCCGACCAGGTGAGATTGCGTAGCTTCCCAGTCTGGAGCATGAGATGCCTGAGGGCATTTACCTGCAGTTGCGGTCCCTCCATCGTCAAGCGAGCTTCGAAAGGCATCTTGTCCTTGCGAGAAACAAGGCTTTTGTAGCCCCCGTGGTCTATAATTGATTGCACAACGGGCGTGAAAGGAGGCCGGAGTAGACGCAGTTCCAGCTTCTGGCGTGGCGGTACAAGGGCATAGGCCTCGATTGCGGCGTGAGCGTCGAGTCCTTCAATCATGTAGCCAGGTGGGGGCGGTATTGGAGAAGTATTTGATGTGGGAGTATGGATAGCAGCCAGCTTATGGATACGGGTAGCGTGAGTGCGGTACGTGTCAGCGCCCAAGCCAGTCGAGAACAGAATGAAGTAGTAATTGAGGTGCTCCAGCGTGCTCAAGTCTCGTCCAGGAACAACCTGGAGGATATCACCCTCCTGCAAAGTCCATCCTTCGATATGCCGGCCTTGTGGGATCAAGCGCCTGAAGTCTTCCACAGTCAGGTTCTTGCTTGCATTGCGAAGCACGAGCACAGCAGTCCCTGGTTGGTCCACTTCGATTTGTGATCGCCTCGCCCTCTCCGACGCGTGTAGTCTGGCTTCACCGTCCGCTCTGTTCGGCCGCAATGAAAGTTGTTCCGTCTCTTTCACACTCTTCGGCGGGAGTGGTCCGAGAGGGAGTCGCGGGATCTCGCGAGTTGCCTTTTGTTGTTCCTCGTACCGCTTCGTCTCCTCGGGGAACAGCTGCTCGATCAGCGACACCTTTCTGCCATCATCGCTGAGGAGCCGCCGGGCGCGTGTTGCTTTGGCGCAGCAGGGCGGGAACGCAATGCGCAGAGACACTCGGCGCGCGCTGAGCATCAATCAGTGGCATTGAGTGAGGAATGTGGTAAAGCGAGCATAGGGTAGGTAATGGAACCCGTCCTCAAACCTCGAAACCTTCCATTCAGTGAGCCTGAGTAAGGTACCCGCTTCTGTCCACGGCGGCGCGGGGGTCCCGTCGTTTAGCTTGGCCCGGGCCCGATCCAACGGCCAAAAGTCGTGGCATGCTAGTAAATGACAACGAAAAGTGAATTAATATTGCGCGACGGATGCAGTAAAAGCGCGCTGTCCTCGCAACGGAGCGGCTTCTCGGGAGGAGACGGGAGCAGAAAAGATGTCGACAGCGACAGCGACGTCCTCGAGACCCAGTCGGGACACCAACCCACCCCCCGGCAGGATGGACGCCTCACATGTTGTCGTGCGACTGCAACAGTCCAAGGGCCTCCAGGATGCCTTTCGTGTTCATCTGCTCCCCGAGAGTCTGACCGATGCTGGACTCAAGCTCAACGATCTGTGCCACATCATCAGCGAGGACGGAAATACCACCGGCTATGGCATTGCCTGGAGAGCAGAAGACAAAATGGGCAGCAGACCCAAACTGCGACCGGCCAAGATGTCGGAGACGTTTCGAGACCTCTACGACTTCAAAGATGGCTCCAAAGTGCGAGTCACACGCACTGAAACGAAGCTGTATCCCGCCGACAAGATCGTCCTTTACGACGTCACGCCTGAAGGGCATAACAAGCCCGATGCGGTGGACGAGACCAATTGGGAGTGGAGAATCGGCTCCTTGTTTGGTAAGTAAAGTTGTTCTGCAGAGCACACTGGCCAGGCTGACGTGTGGTAGAGGAGTCTGACGCATTGGCTCCTGGTGTTTCTTTTGAAGTTGTGGGCGCCAAAAAGTTTCGACGACGTTTTCACGTGGAATCTATCGAATCTGCCATTGCTCCGACCATAGATGCCAACTGCTTATATCGTGTTAGAAGAGGAACCGTGATTACTTTGCCTGGCGGCACCAGCACCAGACCCAATACGGCGAGCAGTGTTGGCCAGTTTTCCACCAGCGGCATCAATCACGCCGTCCAGCTCCCTGGCCGCAATGGAGACACGGCCCCTTTCCACGGACACACTCGCCATGGAATTGATACACATCGAATTGGTGGCCTGCTTGAACAGATCCAACGACTGAATAGGCAGATCAGACGTCTTCTCGATACTGCTTTTGATATCAACTACTTTGGTTCTGGAATTGCCAATCCTGCCGTGTTGCTCCACGGCTATCAAGGCTGTGGCAAAACCACATTGCTCGATGCTATTGCCGAAAGTGGCTTCCGCAAAGTCTTTCGTCTCAAGCGTCAAGTCTTGGTCAGCGGCACCCTCAGCAAAGGACGAACAGAAATACAAGACACGTTCCAAGAAGCCGTTCTACCTGCCAATCAACCATCCCTCATTGTGATTGACGACCTGGACAAGCTCGCATCCGCCGATGACGACAAGTTCTCCGACACGCTCCTCGAACAGATCAAACAGGCGAGAAGCAGCCGAGTGATGATTGTCGCTGCATGCAGGTCTCTTGCGAGTCTTCCCGACACGCTCGTCCGAGCCGACGGCTTCTCCAAGCATATCGAGATCCCCATTCCGGATGTCACTGCTCGTCAACAGATCTCAGACGTGCTGTGTCAGAAGCTGGATCTCGTCAAGAGCAACATACCGCAGCAGATCGCGTCGCGGACACATGGTTTCACGGGCGATGATCTGAAACAGCTGTACATCCAAGCTGTAGAATGTGCTCTCGATCGTGCGGAGCGACACTCTGCAGACCGAGACTCAGACATTCTGCCCGGACTTCCCACCTACAGTGAAGCCAATGGTCTTTCCGAAAGTGCTTTCCATCCCAGCAGTACCACCGCTGTATATGACATCAAACTAGAAGATTTCGACCGAGCCCTAACGAGTATCGTCCCTACAGCTCTGCGCGAAGTCTTCACCGACAAGCCCAAAGTCAAATGGAGCGACATAGGCGGCTCAGACAAAGTCCGAGATTCCTTCGACCACATCATCGGCCAACAACAACAACACAAAGCGCTCTTTGCCGAATTCCGCCGCAAACCCGAAAAAGGTGTCCTCCTCTACGGACCACCAGGATGTTCCAAAACCTTGACCGCCCAAGCCGTAGCGACGAGTTACAAATTCAATTTCATCTCCATCAAAGGCGCCGAACTCATCAGTAAATACGTCGGCGACTCGGAAGCTCGCGTGCGCGAAGTCTTTCAAAAAGCCAAAACTGCCGCTCCTTGCGTCATCTTCTTCGACGAAATCGATGCTATTGCCGCCTCTCGCGACGAGGGCAGCCAGAGTGGTTTGAATGTGTTGACTACACTCTTGACGGAAATGGATGGGTTCGAGGCATTGAAGGATGTGTTTATCCTCGCGGCCACGAATAAACCCGAAGCGCTCGATCCTGCTTTGATGAGACCGGGTCGCTTCGACTCGCATGTATACCTGGGCCCTCCCAACATTGCGGCGCGACAGGACATTTTCCGCATTGCTTGCGATGGCGTCCCGCTGGCCGAGTCGGTGAAATTCGCCAGTTTGGCGGGACTGACAGATGGATATTCGGGTGCAGAAATTGTCAGAATTTGTGATGTGGCCAAGGACCTGACCATGAGGAGAATCGGCTTGGCAGAGCCGGGCTCACGTCACATTACCATGGACGAGTTCAAGGCCGCCATTCGTGAGGTGAAAAAGGGCATTACCAAGGAGATGCTGGATGCGTATGCAAAGTTTGCTACTCGTGGCGACGCTGTATAATCTCTAGGTGGTGCTCTCTGCGTCTTCGCAGGCCACGCCGCTACACTCGTAGGTTGCGCAGAGGTCTTTCATCCTATGCGAAAACTTCGTCTTCCAATCCCACCCTGTCGATATTCTTACAACCAAAGTACCCGCTTGAACGCTGCAAATCTTGAAATCTAATCCATAAACAATCACAGCCATGTGATCTATTGCATAACCGCCTTGCATGCTACAGCCTCTGCTGTCATTGGCCATGACTCAGCGGTCGCAAAGGAGCGCAGCCATATGCGGGACTACTGGACGACCGATAGCTCAGCTGCAAGTCTTCGAGTCCGAGCCACTAATTTAGTTGCGTGCTGCTTTCTCAACAATCCCTCAACTTCTTTCGACAACTCGCGTTGCGAAAGGTGTTCTCTCGTCCATGGTAGAGTATCCAGAATCGTCCCCCTCCTGCACTCGGATTCGAACAATCGAGAGTCTTGACTCTCGGTGTCGTGGGTTTTCGGGTAGAAACGGCACGACGCCATCAACATGGTGGTGCTCGCCACTCTTTTTCCTGTTAATGAAGAACGCCTGCAATGTACCAATCAGAGCAACAAGTGCTGATGCCCACCAGGCAATTGCCGTGAGCTCCATTTTCATGCCGGTACTGTAAAGGAGTCCTGCGATTGGCGATGCCACACATCTGGCCCCAGCGCCAACAGATGCTGCTAGTCCGTTGATCTTCCCGAAGCAACGAGGGCTTGGCGAAGCTTCCTTGATCAAGATAAGCAGCACCGGGAATGCGATAATGGAAAAGAAGTTCCGCACGGCCAGAGCACCATAAATGCCGGGGTAAAGCCAGTTCTCTGGGAGTAGGGCCAGGTATGGAACGATAAAGTATGCGATGGGATGTCCGATTGCAGTCATCAGGAATGCTCGCCAAGCTCCAAGCCAGCTGACTACCAAAGGAAAGATCAGAGCCTGAACAACAAGCGCTATGATGCCATTGAAGCTCATGATGACACCGGTATCTCGCACACTCAGGCCAAGACCACCAGCAAGAGCATTGTGTCGTGAGGCGACTGGAGCGATAATCGCTCTCATGATTCGACCACCAGAGGGCACGCGCTCATCTTGGAAGAAGATCGGCATCAGATGATCGTATGTCATGGAGTGATATGTGAATATGCCCAGAGCCACAGTCAGCAATATGACGCGCTTAGTGAAGACCTTCGAATCGTCTGTCCGACTGTGCTGACTTGGCGTTCGACTCGTCCCGTCTGGTTTCAGGTCCCACTCTTCTTCTACTGCTTCCTCATCAACGGCATTGAAAGTGCCGTAGCTTTCGTGGGTGAGAGTAGCACCCGACGTGGTCAAACCTGCCTGAGCGGGCAACATTGGTGTCTCGGCACTTGATTCCTGTAGCTGCTGGGGCGTACTCCATGGTTGCATGTCCGGATGAGTCTCGACCAGCAGAAAGTAACCAGCGATGACTGACACCAGCATCAGTGCAGAGCAGATCAGGTTTGGCAGTAGGTACGGGAACTTGTCGAATATGCCGCCTTTGTGGAAGAACTGTGGGTAGGTTTCGACAGGCTCTGCAAAGACACCTCCGATCGATGGTCCTAATATCGTTCCGACACTCCAAACAAACGGCATTACGGCGTAAGCTTTCGCTGATGACTGTCAACACTCGCATCCAAATGTTTCGCGCTCTGCTCTCAATCACTTACGTTCGTGCTTTGGATTGACCACAATCTCTCCCACCATGGTTTGTATGACACCAACGTTACCATTCAATGCACCTGCGAGGCAGCGGCCAAGCAAAGCAATCCAGAAGTTGGGTGCAAAGCCTACCACGAGCAGAGAAGCGATGGTACCGATGCATCCCATAAGGACAACTGGTTTGCGGCCATACCTATCACTCACACCACCCCAGAAGCTACAAACTCAGCACAACTACCTCTTTTATGATGCGGATCGCAACACTTACTAGCAGAAGAGAGTTTCGGTGAGAGACATTGCCGAGATGAGGATCCCGGCGTAAAAGGACGCATTGCTCTTGTCTCCAACATTGAAGTGGAGAACGAGTTTCCATGCCCAAGGGAATATCGATGTGATGGCGATTGGCTCTGAGAGTCGTACCAATGCTGTTTAGGTACAGGTATCAGTGCATTATGATCGGAGCGCTGAGAAGATGTGATGCAACACCTACCCAGGAGAAACAGTTGTGTAGTGGGAAACTTGTTGGGGTCTCGAAGAGAGGCGGTTCTTGTTTGTGTTAACACCATACTGCAAGGAATGACTCCGATCTTACGTCGACCCTCGCACACTGCCGACACCAGCCGACACCAACAGCGCGTTGGTGCAGAAGTGTTGTGTATTTGGATTCCGTGACAACACGATCGCCGGGTATGCTCTTCGTCGCTGATGATGATCGAGGGCGGAAGGCAATCACCCAGATGGCTGGTGTGAGAGATGTGGAGATGTCTTGGATCGAGTGGAGGTGGCTGTGGAAGCGGAGGTGGTAGTGGGAGTGGTAGTGAGATTGGAGTTGGAAGTGAAGGTGGAGGTGGAAGTAAGAAGAAGGCGGCGGTCACTGCGGAAACCGAAGAGAAAGCGAGTGGAAGAGAGAGAGAGAGAGATAAAACTGCCTCAGCCCGCGTTCGTGAGAGCTCTAGAATAGTCCTAGCGCATGTGGGGGGTCTTGCTCTGTCTTGGCTCCATTCATTCGTTCGGACTTGCCACTCACTCTTCACGAGACGGGAAGGTACGATGCAGCACTAAGGTACCTCCTACCTCCTTCCCACATATGTACTTTTGAAACAATGACACAAATGAGAACCATGGAAAGTAAAGATCTCTGCGACTGCTGCTGCTGCTCAACGTCTCACACTGCCGTACAGCACAACACCTGTAACCGCAACTCCCACATGGAGGTCGTGCATCTCAGGCATTTTTAAGGTTCCGCCCACGTCACCGACAGGTCCTTCGTATTCAAAGTTGCGTGGAGAGTCGCGTCGCGTGTCCAGCGAAAAAGAAGCAAGTGCAGTCGGCAGTAAGATCGACGCTACTCGCTAGCGTCATCTTCACATGAACGCCTTACCGCTTAGGGACACCTGATCCTGGTCGTTTCGGTTCCAGAGTTTCGGAATGCTCTGGGGACAGACTCTTCTTCTAGAGAACACAGACTTCATTGCTACCTTAAGGTACCTTACCTACATACATGAGACTGGGCAGCAATCTACTGACCGAAACTATTAATCACACTCAAGTAAAACGCCTTGGACCGGATCGCATTGGTCATTTCCGCTTTGTACTGATAGCAGCCATCTGTCGACGGTGCTGTAAAGACAATCACACCATTAGCATCCGCAACGGAACCAGTACCAAGCGTCGCACCTCCAGCAGGAAAGGAATTGCCACTGTTGGGATCGACAGCAAGAACTGTGACAGCAACACTTTCTCCCGGTCGCACAACAGCATAGTCGCGATCAAGGTCCAGAAAAGTCCGAGAGGGCGCAAATGCATCGTATGCCCATAATCCCTCATCATTGGGCGAAACCTGCTCCTGACAACCGCCACGAGCAGTGAATACGCGGTTTCTCAAGACACCCCAAAATTGATTCCCGCTCTGCGCTGTGGACGAGATACGCGATATGAAAAAGTCTTGGAATTGGTTGGAGTAGGTGCCATCAAAATCGAAGCCTTCCAGTCGGCCCGCGGAGTCGATATCGGTGGTGAAAGTTCCTCCTGGACTGGAGTTTGCATTGTTATTGGTTCCATCACAAAGACGTGTGCCACCGCTGGGTGTGGTGATGTTTCGCGGTCCGCTCACAATGCATCCGTCGTAGATGTTGCCCTCGCTGCCGCCCTCGATGCGGAATCGATTGTTAGTCTCGCCAGGTGCGAGGCCACTCTGAGTGCACGTGTATGTGCCAGCTGTGGTGTATGATGCTGCCGTCACCGCTGGTCCTCCGCAGAGCCCACCGTATGTCGTCACAGTCGAGGTAGAGCAGCTGGTCAAAGTAGAGGTAATTGTCGTAGTCGTAGAGACAGTAGCGTCGATTGGTTGGCTTGCTGTTAGCGTCTGAGTGATGGTACTCGTGGCAATGATGGCGGCGACTGTGGTATCGATAGGGGCGCTGGCAGTGACCTGGGTCGAACAAAAGTCAGCCAGTGCCGACGCCAAGTCTAAGGTATGCAGCCACGGTGCACTCATCAAGAGTATGCATCCGAGCAGGAGAAAAACACTCACCGTTCTGGTCACCGTAGCCGAAGTGATAGTAGTAGTCACAGTAGAAGCACCACTACCGTTGCCATACTATCCAATCATTAGCAAAAACTGCCTCGGCACAGCGATGAAAGGCAAACATACACCAGATGCAGTGACTGTTGTCTTCGCCGTCAAAGTTTTCGTAGTCGTCGCTACGCAGGTTTTTGGCAGGATGCAAGAGCACGCGCTGCTGATTTTAGCCTTCAGACCTTGCCCGCTACCGCAATTCGAAGATAGTTGTTTCGGAATGAGTGGAGATTTTCTCTCTTTGAGTGACCTCTTTCGAGGATCCTGCCCTCGGACGCGATAAGCAAGGCTAGTGGGCAAGGCCGATGTTACGGTCGATGTCTCGCAGACGGAAGAGACAGTCTCCTGCGTGGTCACGGAAAAGGTGGTCGTGATGGTGCTTCGATCCGGGGTAGGGTTGCTGTAGACGTTGCGGTCACGGACTGCGAGACAGTGTTCTGAGCTGGTATTGCTGTGACCTGGGAATGCTTAGCAGGTATTGCGAATACAGCACAGGCAAATTCGTACTGTAGAGGTTTGTGTCGCAATAATAGTCTGGGTGGGAGTATGCCTGTTTCTAGGCGTAGTTGTGAAAGTCTGCGTGGTCGTTTTCGTGACAGTACTCGTCAAAGTTGGCCTTGTGATGTAGCGGCTGCAGAACGATGAGGCTATGGATGACAGTTGCGGCGCGTGGCGAAGTCCAGAGAAGCACTTGTCTGTTGCACTTAGCAAATAGCATGTCAGGGTATGTAGAGTCCGACGTACCCGCTGGGCAAGCCGCCTGCTTTCCATATTGTGGAGGTGGTGATGCTAAGCTCCTGGGAGCAAATGCTCCAGCAAGAAGAATTGAGAAGATGAGCTTCATAGTAAGGTAATGAGTGGTAACTACCTATACCTTAGTGTGGGCTGTCGGCGTCCTACTATAGTCCTTGAAGCATAGAGTCTCTAAGAGCATTCATATGAATTCAGCACACCCCTCATAGGAGGAATTAAGCTTGTTCTGCTATACAGATTAGGTCGGAACAAGCGAAGGGGCTGAACTCACCATCGTTAATACTCATCTCCATAACTACTGCTGGCCACTGACATGCAGTCTTGCAGCCGCTATGGCTTCTACAACATAGCTTAGTGGGCATGATCGTGTGCCAGCTTGCGACGTGGCTAGGGTGTGTATACGCCTAGAAATGCCTAGTGTAGGTGTCCATGACTTGAAGACTTCGGGATGGTCTGATGGTCCGGTATGGACGCATCCTCGGAGTGTTGACCGAATCACTGCTTGCGATACAGACAACATTGATCCAGGACTGTGGCTGCAGGTGGCTGTAAGGCATAGCCACGTGCTCAAACAAGGAAGGTCGAGTTTTGGCTGCACGCCTCTCCTGTTCGGGGCGAGAGCTTTGCTACCACGTCTGACACGAAATTGCGATGCTTTCTTGAACTCATCGAAGAACATTGTATGCATTATCTTCTCGGATCATAGTAGTCTACTTACTTCCTTGTGGTAGTTATTGGCTGTGTTGGTGGTGTTCTTGTCTCCCGGCTTTGTTTGTCGCTGATGGTGTTGGTGGTCTGTCAAGCTGCTTTAGCCGTAGGAGGTACCTATAGTGGAAAGAGGTGGCCGTCAGTAGCGCGCCCTCGGTACGTTTTCGTGGAGACACGTTGCGCTTGTCATGAATATAGGTAACTAGTAGGTCGAGCTAGCCACTATTGTCGTGTGCATAAAATTCGAGGGTACAAGCTGGAAGAATAGCCAAACAGAGGCATTCTGTAATATTCGCAGTCACGGGTTTGTGGGAATTCACTGCGACACATGTTTGTGAAATTTCGTTCCATCATACACATGCCGCTGGTGCCTCAAGTTCCCTACCTGGTACTTTTCATGCGCCGACACTCCGTATGGTGATAGTATACTTCAGCCTCGTCCAGGTCGAAAATCCTTGCTCTCGCTCTGTCGCGTTCGAGACCGGCCACGGCTCATCTGCCACCCCGCACTGCACGTCCACATCGACGCCCAATTTCGTTGCGACTTCCTTTACGAGCCGAACAAAAGACGCCTCGCTGTGCCTATAAGCGCCTCCATTTGACGTTCCATCGAGCTCTTCCGGCGTTTTCGTTCCCGTTTGTCTCCCGAAAATGGTGGACCCTGGTTTCTGCTTGAGCATAGCAACGCACTTGGAAATGGCTTCGATCTGCTTTTCACGCGGAAAGAGATGAAAGAACGATGCGGCGTGGATATAGTCATAAGCTCCATGTTCTAAACCAGCAGTCTCTGGTGCGAAGAAGTCACCAGTCTTAAAGGTTGCCTTGAGTTTCTCCTTGTCGCGAAAAAGGTCGTAACCTAAAGCAATGAAGTCGGCATCAAGCTCGCTGCCTGTCAGATTCATTGCGGGCACTCCGTCGTGTACCAATTTGCGGAGGTCCTGTCCAAAGCAGCAGGCAAGGTCGAGAAGCGTCGCCCCATGCTTGAGATTTTCCAGGACCTTTGGATAGATTTCGTGATCGCCAATGCTGAATTCAAGGAAGCTATAGCGGCCGATGCATGGATAATTGAACGTCTTCCACGCTCGGTCACGCTAGAGGACGTCAGTTGTCTATCCTGGTGACTCTGCCTGGCCGAAGCTAACGAGACTTGTGAAATTGAAAGCACGAGCGCCGCCGGTCATGAGAGAGGCTTACAAGTTGGCGAATGTGAGGCACGAGCTCAGTCTCTGGTATGCCACTGTAGGCAGTGAAGATGGCCTTGCACTCATCGGAGATGAAAGGATCTTCCTCGACGAAGAAGTTTGGCATCCTCTCATCCGTGACGGTACTGCTCTCCGGATTTGCTGACATGATGACTGCTCAGTGAGGAGGAGGCGAAGTGATGTGGAACAAGAAGACGCTGAAGCCTCGAGGCGCCTCAAAGATGTGTACTTCAGCCGCGTTACAGTAGTTCTATTCTGTGAAATCGCGCCTCTTTCGTGCGGGTCTCACGGGAAGTCCAGCCGACTGCAATCGCAGTGTCACAGCGGGTGCTGCTAACGCAATGTGCGGTGCATGCAAGATTCATCGTTCCTGATTGCCGTCCCTGTGGCCGTGGAGGAAGATACCTTACATAGCCCGCTTCCTGCCGGTGGTTGCAATGGCAGAGTGGTGTGGTGATGAAGTATGGTGTTGGCGAAGGGGGATCATTATATACCTTACATGTAGGTACCTGAATTACGGTAGACGTACACATGTGACATGTGACATGGATGGCAGCGATGGCACGGACACGGTGTAACATACATGTAATGTACCCCGACCAACATAATGTAGATAATAGCCGGCCGTCGCCTCGCTTCAATCTGATCCTTGTCAGATTGTTCGTCATGATCGTACACAAACCGGACATGTCTGGGACATTATCAACTCCCGTGCCTCCTCCTCTGTCGCCCGCCCGGGAGTCCATACCGCTCGAATCGAACTCTTCTCGCACCGGGCCACGATTTGCGTGGGAAGCGGCTCCTTGAAACACGTCAACACAACTCAGGTCGTCCTTCATCGACTGCCAACCCTAGTCTGTGGCATGGCGTAGCAAGCAACATTGCACTGGAAGCATTCCGTCTGTTCCAGTCTGTGTATATCAATACCTTAAGGCGGCGCCACTATGAGTTCCTTCCGAGGTCATCGACGACTGCCGTCCTCGTCTGGCGACATCGAAATGGACATGCACGACGCCCCAGCGAGTCCCACGGTGGACAGGCGGAGGTCTTTTCTGCCGAATCTTCTTCCTCACTCGTACAAGGACTCGCGCGACAGAACAAAGTACATTGCTGTCAACAACCGGCCGCGATGGGTGCTGCACCTGCAGGCCACTTTCTGGCGTGTCCTCATGCAGCTGGGCATGTTCTTCCACCGCTTTGCGCCGCCTCGCCCACCCAACCCATCCTTCTACCGCATGATCGACAGCACCGTGTCCGGCCGTCCGGGTCAGATCTGCCTTTACTTCTACACGCCCCTCGACTACGACACACAGAAGAAGCTATGGACAGGTCGGCCGGAAGACGTCGAGGAAGAAGCCGGAGAGGCGCAGTCTAGTTCTCCGCGAGATCGTCAGAAGATGAGGATGAGCATTGGCTCCATTGGCGAAGGCCTCCAGAGGAGGAGCAAGAGCGTGCGGAGGTGGGGAGGTTACCCGGTGATTATCAACTTCCATGGCGGCGGCTTCACCTTGGGATCGCCACACGACGATGCACGCTGGTGCGGTACGGTTGTGACAGAATTGAACGCTGTGGTCGTCTCCGTCGACTATCGTAGAGCTCCAGAATACCCCTTTCCTACAGCAGTGGAGGATGGTGTAGATGCAGTGCTATGGATCCACCAGCATGCAGCCGAACTGGGTCTGGATCGGAACAAAATTCTGCTTTCTGGGTTCTCCTCCGGTGGGAACATGGCCTTCACAGTACCCTTACGGCTATACGACCAGTTGACGGGCTTCAGCCGTGTGAAAACCGCAGACCCACAAGCTCAAGATGGTAGCGAAGCTGGCAAAGGATTTGTGTATCGCCCACCGTCTCCCGAGGACTCCACATCAAGCAGTTCCACGAGAGTGCCCAATGATCCGAACGATCATGTCTTGGATCCCACTGGACCTCCGCCACCATTGCCCAGAGGCATTATGAAGAACTCAAACGTATACGGAGAGCAACAGGTGGAAGTACCCGAGATACAGATTCGCGGCATCGTACCCTGGTATCCGTCATTGGACTACACGAGAACACGCGAAGAACGCCGAGCTACTGGGCTGCGGGCCGACCAAGAATTGCCAGCCTTCTTCACCAATCTGTTCGACGATTCATATCTGCATCCTCCCAAAGACGTCACTCTCGACTCTCCGTACCTATCACCTGCCGTGGCGCCGACAGACCTGCTTCGCAATGCTTTACCGGACGATATCATCATGCACACTTGCGAGTACGACATGTTGCTTGATGAAGGAAAGACATTCTACCAGCGGTTGATCTCAGACGACATTGGCAAGAACGTGACATACACCATGGTGCCGGGCGTTCCTCACGGCTGGGACAAAGCACCTAATCCGCTGAAGCCAACGCCAGGGGTCAAGGAGTACTACCTCAAAGCCTGCAAGGAGATGCGACGTATTTTGGGTGAGCGTCGTGTCGACAGCATGGCGAATCAACGACAGAGTATAGTCAACTAATCTATTTGAGCTTTGAGCGTTCTTGAATGTATTTCAGCGGGTGAGTGTTAACCAGGAGATACAGCGACTAAGAGCAGTGCCCATGGGCAGCACCAGCAGAAGACCGTTCAGTGTGGTTCAATCCTGTTGCGGCCTTGGTACAACCTTACCTTGGTCCCTTTATTATACTATTCCACAAAAGCTTCCGTGTCAAATCGAGTTGAGACTTCTGCCCACATATCGCGCCTGAGCACGAAAGGAAGCTGTCCGAGATCTCAGATGTCTCTGCTTTGTCTTTGCTCTAGGGATTCCATAGCACTTTTTCGACATAACGGGACACGATGTAGTCTCTGCGTATCTGAAACATGCACTCCTACCTAGGAGTGGATATATAAGGCATCAGATGGCCTCTCGTATGTGCTAAACACGTCGACATCTCACGAGCAAGGTGTGGTACATGCTCAAGGTAACTCGCAAATTGTTGCGTGCATGGCAAACAATCCCGGGCGAAGGAAACGATATCGCCTTTGCTGGCGCACTTCTCAGCAATCCAAAAACAACCAGAGCGTGCCAGTCCCGGCTCAGACTCAGGCCATGCCATTTCTGCAACGTCGAAAACGAAAATGTTCAGATGGGAAGGATTCCTCTCCACCTTCTGGACTTGCACCATTCCGCCGATAATCACCAAGTATCCCCTCACGACCTCACTCTCACATATCATTCTGGACAGGTTGAACACTTTGCGTTTGGCAAACGCGTCCAGAAGCGTTCACATCGCTACGCTCGCACCCTCGATCCCATGGAAGATGTCATCACGACCATCGAAGTGCTCTGCATCCAAAACGGCTCCCACACGACATCCGAGCTCGAAGTCATGCGAACCATCTTACGTACAGCATACACCCATCGCCACCAACTGTCTGCCGCAAACCTTCCCACACTACAAAATCTTGTCAATACCATCTACAGGCACCCCAGACACCTCTCCCTCCAACGACTCCCTCTGAGCCCTGCTCTGGTCGAACATTTCTTCGATCAACTCCACGATCGATGTATCGCGGACATTGCACCACTATTAGAACGCACCGGCGACCAAAGCCCCGAAAATACCTACGGAGAACTCACTCCCCACTTCATCAGCACCCTCTGCCTCCAAACCTCCCTCTCCCCATCTTCCACATTCCTCGATCTCGGCAGCGGCGTCGGCCAAGTCTGCATGCAAACCTCGCTCGAAACGGGCTGTACCTCCTTCGGCATCGAACGCGACGGCCGCTGCCACGCCGTGGCCATGACGCATTTCGCACAATTCGCCCTCCGAGCACAATTATGGGGCGCGGCGCACGGGAGTGTGCATTTGCGACACGGAGATTTTCTGGCTTGTCCGGCGTTTGTCGAAGAGGAATTGCTGACTGTGGCGGATGTTGTGCTGGTGAATAATTTGAAATTGGAACCGGAGTCGGATTGGGAGTTGCAGAGGAAATTGACGCAGAGGTTGAAGAGTGGTGCTGTGGTGGTTAGTACGAGGCCTTTGGCGCCGATTGGGAGGGCGGCGGGGAGGAAGAGGAAGAGGAAAGGGAAGGAGGGGGAGAGATTGGCGACTTCGATGGGGAAGAAAATGAAAATGAACAAGACGGTGGAACGAGGGGGGAGGGAAAAGGTCCTTGCAACCCCCCCTCCTTCTCCTTCCTCTCCTCCTCCTTCTCCGGGGCTAGTGCTCGAGCGCGATGATGAGGTGTTAGTGGAGAGGCGTGGCGAAGATGAAGTATGGACATGGACTCAATACGTGTATCCTCCCGGGAGCGTGAGTTGGAGCGACAAAAGAGGCGTGTACTATATTTCAGTAAAGAAATAGTACGGTAACCAAGATAAAGAGAGGTGGGGGAGGGAAGCCAGTTGGTAGGTTTGAAGCCGTTTTCACACCGGCCATGACTCTGCCCATGAATTCTTTTCAAACTATGGGCAGTTCTCGCGGAGTTACGTTACTGTACAAGGTCAGCGAAGCTATAGCTGCGACCACAACAACCACAAAAAAAAACAGGTTCAACGCTACAGCAGCAGATGCATATATGTCATGTTCGTATCGTGCCATGATCATGAATGTTTCCGTCCCCAACAACAACAACTCTTTTGACGCCAGAACTCCTACGCTGAAATGCCATTTTCTAGCACATCTTGTACTCGCAGTGACCGTCTGCAATGCGCTTGGGATCGTCCGTCTCCAGCTTGTAATCAATTGCAATGTCCAAATCACGGTGCTTGATGTTGTTGGGTCTGCATTCGAGCTGACCCTTGATGTGCTCGCCGGCTTCGACGGTCAGAACGTCTGCGAGGTAGAAGACGGTTTGCTTCCAGTGCGTGTACTTGGTGTGTGGGCCAGTGCTGAAGCGCACGGGTTTGTGGCAGGCGGAAAACTCGATGTCAAACCACGCGATCAGGGCGTGCACGTAGTCGGTTCGGCGGACAGAGATGTCGTATGGAAGCTTGAATGACAAGTCGTCCACTGTGCAGGTGTAGAGGTCGAGGGTGAGGACTGCGGATGGGTCAGTAACGACCGCTTTGAGGTCGACAGTGTCCACAAGAGGCTCGGTGAGAGCGGTGTGCTTGAGAGGCGAGTAATCGAAGCCGTAGACATTATCCCAGACTGTCACATATTAGCGTCGTCGCAACAAGGTATGAGGAAGGATGCATACAGCCGATCTTCTCGTCCTTGTAGTCTCCATCCTCAATTCCGGCCATGAAAATGGTGGCCTTGTCGGGGAAGATCAGACCCTTGCCGTCCTTGCGGAGGTATCTGTCCCGAGCCCAGAGCACGGTGTCCAACATGCTCTCGTACAGGAGGAAGTATCCCATCCACTCGGAAATGATAATGTCGACCTCTGGGAATGGAAGCTCAACCTCCTCCATCTTGCCCTGGAGGAGAGTAATCTTATCAGACATGCCGTTGGCCTCGACAATCTCCCGGGCTTTGTAAATTATCGTGGACATGTCCACACCAATCACGTGCTTTGCGCCAGCCTTGACAGCGAACCTATTCAAACACCACGATCAGTTTTGTGCGCCCTCTCTCATGTCTGGCCGAGTTGTGCTCTTTGTGGAAGCGAGTGAAGGCGGTGTGGATGGAGGAATGTGTACATGCTGAGGATGGATGTACCGCATCCGACATCGAGGACCACCTTGTCCTTGAACAGGTGCTTGTTGTTGTAGATGGAGTCGCGATAGCTCTTGGTTCGCACTTCGTCCTTGAGCATTTCCTCGTGGATGCCGTGGTGGTTGTAGCTGTTGAAGTAATGCGCTTCGCTGTGTGCCATGCCCGCCATGGGGTCACTGGTCGGTTGCTTGTTCTCTGCCATGTTCGCGGCGAGGTGGGAGGAATGGGCGCGTGGGCGCGAACGAGTGGGAAGGAAGAGGGGGAGGAGGAGGAGGTGGTAGTAGTGGTGGTGTTGTGAGTGAGCCGTAGGAGGGTTGACTTAAGGTTGTTTCTCAGCACGAGAAAAATATCATTCCGTTAGTTCCAATTGCCGGACCCACATTTACCCGTTCGTTGGACCCTGGAAATCTTGTTGGACCCCTTTGCAAGACCCCTTGGCATTCGGGGTCGGGATCTCAGATCCACTGGAGGCTTAAGTCATCCGCCGGCCGTACCGTCATCCACAGCGGTTATACCTACAGGTACCGAGCATACCACCGAGACGAAGGCGAAGTAGCCAAGAATCGTTGCAAAGTCTGTCACTATTTCAGACGGCAAACCCGGAACTCGAAGAGCATGGCAAGTAGGAACCTCATACAGAGTGCGTGGTGCATTATTGATTATTATATGGGCTTTCGATCAGCTCTGCAGGGTATCTCAGTGTATATCAGTCTGATCCTTTATAAACTGCAATTCTCTACTATCAATTCATATCAGCACTCCCACCTCTTTTATCCGTAGTTGTCCCGCTCTGTCCATGTCCACTCACAACCTCCCTTGATGTGGTTGAAGAGCTGGCCGGCTCTTCCACATTGTTGCTCCACTTCATGCTCGAAGCTGTAGGACTGATTGGCGTGGGCTCTTCTACGATCACGCCAGGTAGTACCGTGGGCGGTTCAAGGTCAGCAGTGTTGAACGTGGGTTTTGCAGCTGCTTGCTTGGGACTAGCCTCCTTCACCTCCGACGAAGTCCTGAACTTTGGACTGGTGGGTGCTCGAGCCTGCGGCGAATGAGGTGATGTCGGACTGTACGGTGCAAGACCACGATGTCCATCTGTATAAGTCTCTATGGGCTGTGGCGGCGACCGAAGTGAACTCGACTGCGACGATGAACTTTGCTGACCATGATGATGTGCAGATTCTGGCTTTTTCGGTGTATGGTTCGGGTTGAGAATCTTTGCGACGAGATGTCTTTCGTCAACGGCATCACTATCCTCACCATCCGAGCCTTCGAAGAATGCGTCATCCCACACTGCACTCCCTGCCTGAGAAAGCGAGCTGCTGCTGCTGACCGAAGAGTAGGAGGAGGAAGTATTGGCGCGCCTGGCAGAGCTGATCTTGTCGATGCCGTGCTGGGGTACAGCCAAATCGGCGAGTTCGTCTCGTGCTTCTCGCGTCTCGCTTTGCGTTCGTGGTTTCACTTCACCTTGCTTGCTCGTCTGTTCGGTGACTTGCTCTCCGTATTCACCACTGATGGGAGCGTCCATAGGTTTGGCACGCTCACGAGCGGGCTCATCTTCATCTCTGGTACGGGCAGCATGGGTATCCGCAAAATGAGTGTCACACAGGTGCTTGACGACAGGCCACCCGTAGGCGTTTGCAAACATCCTTCGCACAATGATGTTGTTGTGCGCGTCGGGTTCAAGACGGACAAGCACTTTTCGCCATGACAGATCTCGGTGGTAGGCACGTGCAATCTTCTCTTCAACCTTCATGCCAGACGGATCATTAGTATTGTTCGTCAGAGTGGCATCAGAGGCATTCGACTGTGCTGTAATGGTGCTCTCGCTTGATCTGATGGTCGTGTTGGAGGCATTGTTTGGCACATGGTCCCGGGATGACAAGCTCGGCTGCCGACTCTGCTGTCCCTTCTTCGTGGGTGGAGGGGGGATGTCTTCCGGGTGATAGACGCGATCATGAAAAATCGTCCGAGCTCGTGTGCTAGGATCACAAATCCATTGCCTACTAGGCAATGGAGGATGTAATATGTCGCCGGCGGATTCGAAGATGGAAGTTTTGGGAGGTGCCAACACTTCACCAGTCTCAGCATTCAAACTATCTCCTCTCGTAGCACCGGGACGTTTGTGATGTGGTCGCATAGTTGGATTGTCCGTTGTGGACTCTTGGCCCGATGTAACATCCTCGGAGCTTGTTTCCGCAGAGAAATTCATGGTCTGGCCTCGACGGAGGATCTTCGTTGTCTTCTTCTTCTGTGGTGGCGGCGGTTTCGCAGCGGTAGTGGCACCAAACCAACTCATGACAGTCGACATCATTCCCTTGTTGTCTTGCGCGACTTCCGATCCCACCGAAGAGCCTCTGCTAGTCACCCGTTTCCCATCGCTCTCCTCGTTGAAGCTCATGCGGCTCGACAATCGCTTACTGTCCTCCGTGGTCTCATTTTCTGACGGCTGTGGAACCGAATCGTCCTGTCCTGCTCTTGTCGACGAGCCTTCGTCCTCGGACTCCCAGGGTCTCTCGGATTGCATGTTGGGTGCCAGTGCTGATGAGTTGGCACCTGTGAGCTCTGCCCAGCCCCATTCTGCCACTGTGCCGATCAGGCCGTTCTCACGCCGTGCTTTTTCAACCTTGCCGAGCCCTCGCCAATCTAGGAAAAGTAAACAGCTCGTCCGTAGGGGCACGATGCCATCGTTGACTACGTTCGAGTAGACTGTGCGGTTGCGAAACATTCTCAGCACCTGGTGCGCGGGACCAGTGGGCAAGATCCGCAGAAGTGGCTTAGCAGCTGCATTGGCCTGATCATGCTCCTTCTCTTTCTGAGCGCTGTTTGTGAAGATGTTACCCATCGCATTCCAGCCTTTGTTTGCGAGAGTCGGAGCGCGCCACGTAAGCCCCAGATCCTGTCCAGTTCTCCCCACCAGTCCAAAATCGAGCGCAAACTTGACATACATTGGGTTTTCATTACTCAAGCCGAGCATAGGAGAGGCTAGACACACAAAGTTAACAGGCTGTATCTGCTTGAAAAACGTCGGACTGTGCTTCTGTATATACGCGACAGCATAGGTCTGGATCAGTCCGCCAAGACTGTGTCCAATAAAAGATATGCTGGTGAATTTATAAGGGAGGTCTTCTGCTAACTTGGCCTCCCTAGGTGCGGCGACACTGCTGCCCTGATGTGCGGGCTTGCCATCACGCTTCGCTTTATCAGCTTCGCTGGTGAATGTGTCTGTGAACTTGCGACTGAGGTTCCTGTGGATGGGCAAGAACGGCTGATCAGGGTAAGTGAAGCGCAGAATGTACTTGGCCAGCCGTTTTCCTAGGTACTGGATGCCGTTTTCTGTGCGGACTGCATTCCCGTGGAAGCCTCTCACTATCGTCTCTTCCTCGTCGTCGTCTTCTTCCGGTGCGTTATTGAGATCGTCCTGACCTCCTGTAAGATTTGCCGGGGCTGTCTCTTCTCCGTCCTGTTGCGATTTGACATGATCTGCTCCTGAAGTGTCGGTCTCCTTGCCCTGCGATGCCCGATACTGCTCTTTGCGCTTCTTCGCGTCTGCTCTTGCTTGTGCTACTGTCGAATCGATACTCTCCTTCAAGAACAGCATGTCTGCGCCCAAGTTACTATGCAGACCATGTGTGACAATGACCAGATGCACGTTTCGTCTCTTCTTCCGCTTTTCCTCCTTTGGCTTCTCGACCTTCGCATTCATATCCTCACTTTTGCGTCTCATGTTTAATGACTTTCGGCGCTTTTGCTCCTTGTCATCTTCGTTGTCCCATGAAGGCAGTGGTGGCTTATCCCACAGAGTTTCTGTATCTTCCACCACTAGCCGTACAGCCTTCGAGTACACACCTTCATTCTGCACATGACCACGTCTTCGTGCTTCCTTTCTTTCTTTCTCGCCTTGTAACGCCTTGACGTTAGCCGGCGCTCCGTGACCTGCTGCTGCCACTGCAGCAAACCCCAATTCCAGACTCCGCTCGTCCCTCCCTATGAGAACCTCGAAGCCAACGGCAGCAGAGTTGGAGAATAGAATCTGCGAAGCAATCTCGACAATCCATGTTACTTTGCCCTTTTCCTTATCACCACTTTCCGCCTCTTGCTGATAGCTCCTCCGCCTCTTTCCCAAATCGGCGCCAGTCTCGCGTATATCATCCGGCACCAGTAGCTTCGTCGACCAACTTCCTCCTGCTTTCACCATGGGCTCATACTCGGGCGCTCCATCCCTATCGGGATTTTCGACCTTGTGGTGAGGATTGAAGGTTGCAGGATAGGCGGAAACATGCAAAGCATATGGACCATGTACCCACGCAGCGCGCAGGGGAATAGCGGAGGTGTTCTTGACCCTCAGATGGAGATGCTTCGGCGTGGGCAGTATGCGATCGTTGCTGGGCGTGTAAGTGAGGGTATATCGGACGACCTCGCCAATCTTGACGCTGCCGGCCTGATGGACAAGCAACATCCTCGCGGAATTGTACAGTACCCTGGCTATCAGAGGGGACTAGGTAGTGAGTAGATGGATGCTAAGGTAGGTATCATGAGAAGGCCGTTTTGACGCTGCTAGTCTCCGGCCGAGCCATCTCGCAGCACTAGTTCTCGAAGCGAGCAGGCGTATATGTATGAAATGACTGCTGGTGGTCGTCAGCAGTCTGCGCTGCGGAACTGCGACGGGACTGGGTGTGTCTTGGACGAGCGAGTGAGGTCCAGATGGATTGATCACAAGATCAGTTCCGGCGGTCTGGGCTGGGCATGACGATGGAATCATGATGGAAAGCTTCCTCTTCGCATCCCCGATCCTCGTCAGCCACTGGGTATAGCCGCACCAGAGCATACTAACTTCTGCATAAATCATGTATCCCGATATCTCCGTCTTCCTTTAACATATGTCATGAACACGAATTACTTTCGGATGTCTGCAGCGGAATGCAGCGTGTCCTGCGCCATCCGTCCTCTCCTCGGAAAGCTCACAATGCCTCGCTGTCTATATTGATGCTCGATCCGATTAGCAATTATACAAGAGACTCTCTAAGTAGTCTGGCATCTTGCCACGAGTGAAAGCATTTGATACCTGGTACATCATGGCAATCCGCATGCTCCAGCTCAATGGAAATGATGCGAACGATGTGCTGCTGTGCACCATCTAGGGAGTTAGGATCTGGTAATACGGACACGCAGCCTAGCCTGCCTGTACTTACTTACCTACCTGTACCTAGGTATTATCTGACGAGGTAGCCAAAATCCTGAGCTCGGTGTGCCAGATGAGCATCAAAAACAAACTTGCTTCGGGATTCGAGCTCAAGATACCTGCCTTCTGTATAGACACCCAGATGCATCAACCAAGACCACTTTCTCGAAGGGGACAAACAGACTTGGCTCTTTTCGAACATATAGGAGTTTGTTCTCGCTGTGGGCTCTCCATCTAATGCCATAGAGGCTGTAATCCACCTCACCAGATGCAAGCCGTAATGAGGGAGAGGGCACGCTAATCCAGATATGTCATCGTTGATCAATCTCTACTAACAGACTCATAATGATATAGAGACTCCACGGAATCAAGTACACACGCCATCTCGCTCGCTCTACTGTGCGTCCTTATCGCTCATTCACCACGAAGCAACGCCAAGAGGGGGCTCAACGCTACAGTAGGCGAGTAGAACGGCGTGTAGAATGCCAAGCAGTCACTACCACTAAGAGCCCCATCCTCGGCGAGTCGGTTCCAGTAGGAACTTTGCGGTCGAAGCATTGGCATGAAACCAACATTGTGCTATGGTGCCACTATGCCAGATGAAGTCCGGGGAAAACCCGCCTTCTATCTGGAAGTAGAGTCGAAAGTCTGATGATACGAGACCTGGCTGGGAATGTGCGAACATATGTTCTCACAAGTTCAGTACACCCTGCTGGTTCTGGGCAACGACCACTCCTATAAAAGAGTCCCTCGTAAGCCCCAAGGTACCATTCATCGAATATCTCAGAAACTCCAAGTTACACTCCCAAAATGTTTGCATCCTCCCTTCTCGCCATTCTCCTCGCCCTCACAAGTACGGCTCATGCGGCCTGCAGCGATCACGAGGTCAGGCTCGACTGCAAGTCTGGCGGATGTCCTAAAGAAGAAGCGACTTGCCCCGAGGGCATTGAGGGCGTGGTCGCCCAGAGCAGAATGGTAACAAGGTACAGCTGTGACACGACACTCCCAGTTTGCCTCGTGAAGGTAAGTCCCCATTTCTCTCACGACACCACGTTGACTCGGCTGATATCTTACGCTACATGATTAGGTATCTTGCTGTCCCGTGTAGTGGACACCGGTCGACAGAACAGTTCTTGGGGTTGTGCACGGATGATCCTGCACGACTGTGGAGTGGAATGGAGTTGTTAAGGTCAGGTATGAGTCGATGGTCATGGTTCGCAGAGCCTTGGTTGGGGGTTTAAACATATTGTGCAAGCACGCGTTTTTAGCTGGGCCATGCGCAGGCTTCGGTGGCATTAGAGGTGCGTTGGAAAAGCAGGTAAAGTCCAAAGAACGTTAGCGATGGGAGAGATTCCGTGTAAATACCTCCTCGGTTGGAAATTCAATGCTTCAAGTGTTGATTGGAAGAGACGTTGTTTTCTCACACGTGAGTGACGCGACTGAAGCGCTCCAGGTCTCATCCCGCAACCGCAACCAATCATACCTGATGGGGTGGGGTGTTGCTAAAAATACTTCACTTCCACCCAGACGACGACCTGTGAAGCGCTTCTACCTCCTACACCTACAGTCTACACGGTACTACACCTGACACAACAGCAAAAGCTTGATAGATCAAGACCATGCATAATGAATGCATTCAGACCTCTCTCGACTCGCGTTGGCGCCAGTCAACATTATTCGTTACCACTCGTGCTCGCCGGCCAATTTGAGGATAGATGAACAGCGAGACGCAGCGTCCATGTGAGCACGCATACCATGAACATACCAGACTGGCGGACTCCAAATGAAAAACGATGGTGAGCATGTCCCATTATGCGCTGTAGACTAGGGCGATTTGCCCTTGTTTGATGATTGAAACAGGAGGTGCTGGACTGCACATATCGGTCATTGGTACCTGCAGTAGCGCCTAGAGAGGAGCATACTCGATCTGGATATATGCCCAGCGCCACACAGGACACAGCATACAGGACACTTCTCCATCTTCGAAAATCGGCTAGCGACTCTGCAACCGCTCGTGCGAGCATGAGACTGAAGCACTATCATTGCGGCTGCAGCAATGCGGGCGTCAAACACTGGTGGTGAGAGCATGTCGAGTGACAGCACTGCCGGCCAATAGATGTTCACCTTGCCGCTTGCCTGAGTAGTGGTATGCGCGTGCCCCGAGTTGTGTTGTGCACAGGGAACGGTATCATGGTATAACAAACACTCAAGTCCCAGCTGTTGCAACGCCTCTTCAGTTGTCTACGCTGTTTCTTGTTGTCTCTTTTTCTTTTCCCCTCTCTGGCTCACTCGTTACGCCAGCCTAGCAGTCCTTCACAAGCACTGTATTCAAGCATTGTTCATATCACAAATCTCTCGCTACTCTCTGCATTGCATCATGCACTTCACTTCTGCTGCGCTCGTCGTAGCCAGCGTTGCGATTAATCAAGCCTCTGCCACTGGTGGCAACTTTGGCTTCGGCGGCTGGGGCAGCCCTTTCTCCTTCTCGACGCCTGCGAATACCGACAACAAGTGCTCCACAAATCAGACGAACGGATATGACTGGTCGGGCCTGTCCCCGGGATCATTCGACAGCTATGGTAGCAACAGATTTTCCGGGTGGTCCTGCTCGAACTCCTTTGGCAAACGTGATCTCCTGACGAAGCGTACCTTCCAAAGCAAATGCATTACTTCGAACCTAGACGACGAGCCTGCGGTGGACTGTAACGGAGATGATACCATGTCCATCAAGACCTATCAAATCTCTTCAGATCAAGACGAGGACATGGATATCGAGTGCCACTACACGATGCCGGATGATTCGGTGTGCAAAGAAGTGCATACGTGTGCTTCCACTGGCTCTACCATCCAGAACACACAATGCGGTGGCGCCAAGAAGGTCACCTTCAAGCCTGTGGGTAGCTTCATAGGCAAGGGCTGCAACATTGGCGTTCACAGCATCGCGTTCGATTGCGAGACGGCATCTGCACCTCCAAGCTACTCCGCGACCTCGGCACCTCTCGAAAGCTCTACCCAGGCGACACCATACAGCCTTAGCACCTCTGTGTCCTCGGCCGCCAGCATTTCGACTCCGGCCTATGGTACAGCCAGCTCCGAGGCATTATCTCCGACGTACTCGTCTGCGTCGGCGAGCGCTCCTTCGTACGCTAGCTCTAGCTCCATTTCCGCAAGCGCCCCTGTATATTCACCGACCAGCAGTGTCGAAAATTCGCCAGTCACAGCTTCAGCTTCAAATCACTCGAGTCCCGGCTCCAGTTTGACCCCGACGAGCAGTGTCCCAGTGACGACGCCTAATTCGCCACAGCCTAATTCGCCGGATGTACTTCCTAAATGCATCAACAGCTGGCTTCACTTGACCACGTGTAAAGATAACACCGACTACGAGTGCTTCTGCAAGAGCGGCGACTTTGTGAGCAAAGTCTACAGCTGTGTCAGCGCATGGTCCAACGACAAAGATACTACCAACTCCGGTGCTGGCTATTTCATGGGTCTCTGCGCCGAGTACATTCCTCACAACCCAGCCATCGTCACGGGTTGTCCATCGAGCATTACGCCAGCTGCTGGCTACACCCCTGCAAGCTCAACGCCGAATTCACCTGTTTCTGGATCGCCATCGGCATCTACGGGCAAGACTGTCACAAGCACCATTGTTGCCACCATCACCAGCTGTGGTGCCGATGTCGCAAACTGCCCTGCTACCTCAGCACATGTGCAGCCTTCGTCGTCGGCCGTTCCTTCTGGCACTCACTCACAGCCAGTGCAGTATTCCTCGTCGGCTATCTCCACTGGCACTCACTCAAAGCCAGTGCAGTCTTCCTCGTCATCTATTGTCGACGCCGTTGGATCGACTTCAGCGCAGTCTTCCTCGCCCGCTGTCCCCACTGGCAGTGCATCACAGCCAGCGCAGTATTCATCGTCCGCTATTCCTACCGGCACTGGACCACACCCAGTTCAGTACCCCTCCTCATCTCTCGCCGACGCCATCGGATCGATACCAATGCCTTATTCCTCATCCGCCGTCCCCACCGGCGCTGGACCACACCCAGTTCAGTACCCCTCGTCTTCATCCCTCGCCGACGCCATTGGATCGACACCAATGCAATATTCCTCGTCCGCTGTCCCTACCGGCGCTGGACCACACCCAGTACAGTATTCGTCATCATCTGCCCCTACTGGCACCGGACCACAGCCAATGCCATATTCCTCGTCCGCCGTCCCTACCGGCGCTGGACCACACCCAGTCCCATACCCCTCTTCATCTCTCGCCGACGCCATCGGATCAACACCAAGCCAATATTCCTCATCCGCCGTCCCCACCGGCGCTGGACCACACCCAGTCCAGTACCCCTCATCATCATCCCTCGCCGACGCCATCGGTTCCACCCCACCAGCGCAATATCCCTCCTCCGCCACTCCCGCTCCCTCGGCAGGAATCACCTCCCCCCCTTCAATCCCCTACACAACGATCACCTTCTCGTCCACCTGGATGGTTCCCGCAACCTACTCCACCGGCACAAACGCAGGCTCTCCCATCCCCTCCAGCAGCTCCACCACAACATATATCACAACCCTCACCGTCCCTCGAGTCCACATGACGACATATACTGTCACCGAAAGCGGCGGCAGCACGCATAATGTTCCTGGTCTGGGATACCAAGTCCCAGCTTCCGCTACGGACGTTTCTCCTGTCGAAGCTTCTGCATCTTCTTCTTCTTCTTCTACTGCTGCTGGAGCAGCAAACGTGACTCCTCCTGCACCTGCACCATACGCCACTCCCAGCAACGGCAGTCCCGTCGGGGGCAGCAGTATCGGCACGACATATGTGCCTGCAGCAACTCCCACGTCGAGTATTACGCCTTATCTCGGTGCGGGACAAAAAGTGCAGACTGGAGGTCTCTGTGGCGTTGTCATGGTCGTTGCAGCGATGATGGCAGCTGGGGGATTGATTTTCTAAGTTTCCATTTTTGGGAATTTGTATGGGTTAATGAAAAATGAAAAAAACAAAAGATGCAAATGGAAAAAATGTAAAATGTCAAATGTAGATACAAGAAACCAAATATATGTGTGGATGGATGATTTTGTTTGAATCTGAAAAAGACGAGAGACGGTTGAGTACCTACCCGACCTAGGTATGCACATATATACAGCGCCAAAGTTGGTATTGATCGAATAGGTACCTAACTGAGGTACATGTACATTACGGAATTTTTCTGTAGAGTAGAGGGAAAAAATTGAAAAAGGAAAAAAAGAAAAAGAAAAAACCGCCGTGTGTACAATATGGAAATTGAATGACCTACATTACCTACCGTACCTACATACTTGGTAGTTCCATTTTCCATTTTTCGTTTTTGGCTGCGCGTATATACATACCTCTTTTCACACTGCAAAAGACCGACCTGATTTGATGAAAGTATAAAAAGGGGGTAGGTGGAGGCGGGTAAAGTAGGTGTGCTTCATTCAACTTCTGATGAACCCACGTGTGAAGCAATGTGGTCAATACCTTGCGGCGGCGGCTTTACTCGAACCTTCATGTTCTTTCGATCCGTTCTGATGATGATGATGATGATGATGCTGCTGCAGCTGCAGCAATGCTGTCTATCTCCTGATACCCCACAATAATGCACGCAAATGCCCATGCCCATGCCCAAACCATCGCTATGATTACTACACCCCTGCAAAGGCGATTCGATCCCTGAAAACGCCCGCCCCTTCTCACATGCATTCGTACAGTCCTTTCTCCATGTTTGCACTCCCCTCCGTCTATCGGTTGCCTGTCCTCCCGCGTCGGAAATAGTCATAACTCGTATCTTGTTCATAAGGATCATCGCCTGGCGTATCCCCAGGAACATTGCCATATCGTACAGGGCCATACCCACCACCCACATCGCCAGGTGTGCTGTGGCCCATCTGCGCCGAGTGCTGGACCAGATTCTCCCTGCTTTGCTGCCGAGATAGTTGACCAATTGATCGTCCCATGGGCGACTCACCGCGCAGGTTCAATGGTGCTTGATGGTAGCCCGCAGGCATGGTATAGCCCGCATCCGCCACCCGGGTTCGTGATGTCTCTCGCGAGACACTGCCGCTTCGATCATGCCACTCAGAGTTACCAGAGGCTTCTCGTGAATGGCCGTACTCGGAATCCCAGGTGCCGGCCCTCGTCAGACCAGTGGCGATCGAGCTTGGCGTACCCGGCCGAATCACGTCACCTGCACGACCATACAGCTCGCCATCTCCACCGGCCTCATCTCGGAACTCTGGACGGTTCTTGAAGTTCTCAAAGTCCATGTTGTGTTCGTCCACCACCTCCCACCCAAGACTGTTCCTGTCTTGTGCCTTCTTGCCTGGGGCACGAGCATTCATGTTCTCCATGTACACATCGCTGTACCCGCCCATGGTCGCACTCTCGTCGACGGACGTACGTCCGGTGTATATCTGTTTTAACAAATGCTGACTCTTCGATGAGACCATCGGAGTGATGAGTGGCTTGTACAGCACGGGATGTCCGAACCGAACACCCACTCGATCACCCTTGCGCTTCTTGCCGTCGATCATCGCCGACGCTTCATTCGATTGTAGGCCCTTGCCAGTCTGGTAGTAGTAAATGTCATCGTCAAAAGTCCTCATGCAATAGACTTTGAAGCCGATCAACAACAGCGGTAGGGGGACCAATGCTGCCAGCATCGGCCATCGAACGTCGAGGAAGCCTTGCGCCGCAAGGATCAGTGCAATGATGAGGTTGCCAAAGAAGGTCGCGAAGAGCAATCGATTGAAGACGGAGCGCCAGAACATGCCTCCCGATTCGTATTTGGTAATAAACACATACAGGATCAGGTACTTCTTCATGTAGGAGTCCATCCAGAAGTACAATGCGGTCACTGCGAGTACGAGCGGCTGGATCGTGGCGAAAGTGAGAGCCACGCTGGTGTAGAACAGGAAATAGTTATAGTAGCCCGCGTAATCAAATGACTGAGGCGCGGACAGCTCGATCGTTCTCCGAGGCGTTGGTGACAGGAAGCGTCTCGAGTATGATCCCCAGACCAGCGTCCATAACTGACTGAGGTCGACCGCAGCACCGAGATTACGTTGCAGCATCCATGAGATCCAGTAAGTGGACACGTTGCACAATCCCACGACGATCTGGTGGAACGGCTGACTGTCTGCAAAGGAAGCTCCACCGATAAGACTTGCGACCCAGGACCAGACGGAAGCAAACAGCGAGAACACGATCAGATTATTGAACATGAAGAAGCTGTACAAATTGCGGAAGACATGTCGTTCTCGGCTGCTTTTGGTGAAGTCTCCAGCCTTGATGCAGAGTTTGCGGAAGATGGCAGGCAGATAGAAGTAGAAGGCTGTCGTCAGCGCAGGGGCGGCCACACCTTGGACGATGGCCCACCAGGTACGATGGGCAAGGTAATTCCTTTGAAACGCCGGCCATACCTTGCCGAGATTCGACAGGTTGGCCAAGAAGACTGCAATCATGATGTTGGGTGCGACCCACGCCAATGTGAGGAGCACAATCCACAAGCCGTTGACAAAGTCGCGTCGCTTCCTTTGACCATGGGACATCTTCAAATTCTTCCAGACGATTGCGTTCGGTTTCGGCGCCAGTTGAATCAAAGATCCTTGAGACCTCTTGTTCCGCGCTGCATATGCCACACAGTGTGCAGAAGTGATTTGCTGGTACGATGCGAAGCCATATGACATGGGATTGCGCTTGTCCACACTCTGTCGCACTTCTCTAATCTCCATTTCCAGCTCCTTGATCCGTCCGGTCAAGTATTCGATCGCATCCACTTTCGTCCCTCTCGCATATGTCCCGTACGATTTATCCTCCTTGTGTGGTTTACACCGGGGTCTGGTTGGAGGCAGCCGGTCTGGATTCTTCAAATACTTGGCCAAATGTTCTTCGAGCTCGCGAACGCATTTCTCGTGCTCTTCTACCAAGTCTGGTAAGTCCTTGACGTTGCGAGCGATGGATGTTTTGGGCATATCTGGCGTGGCCTTCACCTGGTCGGTGATCCTCGCGATGCCCTCGTCTGATCGCATGGCTGTCGGGATATCCGTGAGCAGCAGAGTCCTGGCGTGTAAGCTCCGCTGATAATCCTCGCTCTCAAAGTATTGCCTGCGCATCGTCGTGATGGCCCTGTAATTCCTCCACAAGAAAAAGACAATGACCAGATCGAAGAGCCAGGCCACCACCGGATATGCCCAGAACTTTTCGCTCGCATACATGTACTGTGGCTGCATCTTGTTGAACCACTTCACGTTGTCATTGTAGCATGTGGGTGCACCACCACATGCCGTCGCAGCTCCCCACAGGTTGATCGGAATGACGATGCCACAGCCCAGCACGGCCAGAATGGTGAAGATGTCCCTCAGCATGCGGCATACTCGCATAAAGACAGCGGCATCTAAACCGACGGTGCGCACCAAGTCTGGCTCTTTCGTCTGAATCAGTGGCCTGATCCAGCCAAACAGGCCTTTGTTGATCGGAGGCGGCGCATGTTTCGAATCGGCGTATTTCGCTCGTGTGGCGTAGACGACACTGTTGTAGGGTCGCAGGAAGCAGAAGACGAGGGCCAAGATGGCAGCCAGGACGACGGATGTAACGAGAGAGGCCAAGGCCGCTTCGCCTTGAATCTATAGAGAGAGAGAATACAGCATGGTCAGCTTCGCTTTGCGGTCATCTCTCATCAAGTTTCCCCTGGTGGAACACGCACTGCTGTACTGAACGGATCTGACAGACTGTTGAGAAACTCCTGTGTAGCATCTCTCTTTCTCGTCATCATTGGGCTCGCCATGGCGGCAGGAAGAGGAGCTCTCGAGAGCTTTCCACTCGGGCGGCTCAGCGCGCGCGAGAGAGTGGTTGCCGTTGTACCAGTTGTCGTAGAATCGTATCCCGTTCCTCCTCCACGTAGCGACTGTGTGTGTATATGTGTGTGTGTGTGTACCTATCCTTCCCGATCCAGAAGAGAGAAAAAGAAGAAGAAGAAGAAGAATGTACTCATTGAAGCGCGGCGACGAAGAGCTCCAACAGACAAAGACTGGAAAAAGAATGAAGGTTGTTGTCTAACTCTAGACCAAAAGTCTCGACTAAAAACGGGTCCATGTGATGATGAAAGTTTGAGAAAATGTCCCGCCAAACCTCCAAGTATACACTACCTCCGTATACCTCCTAACGTAGTACTACTTTGCTACCCTTACCTACAATGGGTATCCATCCGAGAGTATACATTTTTCTAGAACAACTGCCTACTTGAAAATAGCCGCTACCGCTAATGATCGCTCACGAAAATATAAATAGTACCTATATATCTCCCTAGTACCTAGGTATATAGGTAGGAGGTAGTTTGAACACCTCTCTCTCTCTCTCTCTCTCTCTCTCTCTCTCTCTCTCTATACACCTATACCTATACCTCTACTACCAATATACCTTTCATTGCCCTCTACTACAGATCTACCGACATCACAAGACCTACCTACCTATACTAACCTACCCTTATGTAGGTACCTACTCTACCCTACCTACCCTACCCTAGTAGTCAAGGCAAGGCACGGCAAGGCAAGGTAAGGTAAGGTATAAAGCGGTCAGTACCTGTACGGCTGTACCTGTGAGATTTCTCTCGTGCCGTGTATACATGTGTACATGTACCTACCTACCTGCAACCATCACCTAGCTAGTAGCTACAGTACCTAAGTACCTTGTTTCTATTTCCGTCACATACACATAGGTACACGCACATCCCTCCCCTCCCCTCTCCAAGCAAAAGAAAAAAAAGCTTGTTATTATTGTTATTGTTATTTTCTTTTTCTTCTTCTCTTCCAAGTTCGGGCCCTTCGGGGTAATTTCACAAATGTTTACCTAGTACCTACCTACATGTATGGATGGATGGATGAGGTAAGGTATGATGACACACTACATATATGTACATAATGTACCGTCCCGCGTGCATGTAGCTGAGCTGCTAGCAGGTGCAGCAACAGCAATAGCAACAGCATCAGCAGCCGCCTTGAGGTACATGTACCTTTTTTTGATTATTGTAGAATAATACTCGGTACATGTAGGACTCGACATTGATGATTACCTAGTTTTATTCACATCATACCTCCTAAGAAGCGAAAGAAGCAAAGAAGACAAGTCGGGTGCTGCCAATCGTTAGAAGAGAGAGAGAGAGAAAGAAAGGTTCTCGGGCTGTCGGCTAGGAGGTACATACCACCACCCGGCAATGGAGAAATGGCGACTGACTTCCGTCATCTTCAATTCTTCTTCCCGTGCCCGAGCCGAGATATCACGCCACCCAACCACCAAAAACATTGGCATTGGCAAAAATGAAAAAAAAGAAAAAAAGAAACAAAAAGAAACAGTCACTGGTAGGTGGTCACTGATAGCACAAATGAAACTGCTCGTCCTCTGTCATCACGTACGCCCCGCCGTATACTACTAGTACATAAGCCTTCGTGTCTGCTGAGAAGCTGGCTCATTGAATTCTCGCCGATTCTCTTGGTATCACATTCCCTTCCCTGTCCGTGGAGCAAGCACAATCGCCCCCCACACACTACTGTCTTCCATTTGACACGCCCAGATAGCGCACCCACGCATACTGATGGCACTGATGCAGTGCAGCAGTCAGACTTTCGTGCGCTAATGTTGCGACGATTCCGAAGTCGAGACCGATTACTCTAGTCCTCGTCCTCGTCTTCTTCCTCGGGTGCCTAGCAAACCAAGTCAGTGACAGCAACAGCATCGGGCACGACAATTGGTACTTACAGCAGTGTAGGCTGCCTTCTCCTCCTCGTAGCGCTTCTTGTCAGCGGCAGCCTTGGCCTCATAGGGAGCCTTCTGCTTCTCGTTCAAGGCCTTCCACCTCTCACCGAGGAGCTTGCCGACCTCGCCTGTACACCACGTCAGTTTTGGCCTGGATGATGACGACGACTGTACATGACAGAAAATGAACGTACCGAACTTGATGCCCGGGTTGTCTTCGCGGACCTTGTCACGCGTGTCGTTGGCAAAGAACATGTAGGCAGACAGACCTCGCTTGGGCATGTTAGGATCTGTGGGCACGCAGTCCGTCAGCATAGGTACAGGTAAATTGGTCGCGTCAATGGAAGGGCAGTGATGCACACAACTTACCCTTCTTTCTCTTGCCGCCATCAGCCTTGCCGGCGGCCTTCTTGGAGCCGCGGGTGGTGGTCTTTTCCTTAGGCATGACTGCGGTGTGATGTGGTGTTTTTTGCTTGAAGGATGTCAGATGCCTGATGGAGGTTTTGGTGGCGATGAGAAGAGAGAGAGCGAGAGGGAGGGATGGAGAAGAGAAAGAGGGTGAGGGAGAGAAAGAGGATGTGTGTGTGTGTGTGTGTGTGTGTGTGTGTGTGTGTGTGTGTGTGTGTGTGATTGCGCAAGTAGTGTTGCGGGAGCTTTGTTGTTGTTATTGTGGTGGTGTGGTTGGTGGTGGTGCTTGTTGTTGTTGTGAGGCACGCGCAGCAAAGTGGGAAGCTGCCCGCCCGGGCGCAACAACTCAGCGAGCCAAACACGCGCAGAGGGCTCAGAAATGAAGCGAATGTGCTGGGGCTAACTTACCTCGACGGTTTTTCGATGCGAGACTGGTCGAAGTGGTGGTGTTGTCGCTGTAGACGCGCCTGATTAGCGGGTGAGAGAGATAAATGGTGGTGGTGGTAGGCGTATTGGACGCGACGGTGCAGTCCATAACAATGCGCAGAAGCGTGCGATGAAGTCGCATTCTGGGGCGATGGAGGCGCAGTAGGGGGCAGGACGCGTAGAAAGTGGGAGAGGATGTTGTTGAAGATGGCATTGCCGTCGCTGGTGTGGGCGCAATGGGCGATACTCACGTTGACGGTGTTTTGTATGGCAGGCGACGGGTGTGCTGAGAGGTACTGTAAGAGCGAAAGAGAGGAAGCGAAAGAGCAGAGAAGTGGGCGAGGTCGCAGTACTGCTCCTGACTGGTCTCACAGCGGCTGGGTCCCGCGCGTACATTTCATCACGGGGCTCGTGTCGCCTTGAGGGGACTAGTAGAGGTAAGGTAATTACAGCCTGCCCAGTGCCCGCCCACTCTCCCACGAACTGCGCTGAGCCTACGCCTGCGCCTGCGCCTGAGCCTGAGCCTGACCCCGACGGGAGAGCTTCCACTTCCCTCGACCGCTTTCCCTTTTTCCTTGTTCTCCTCTGTCTCCTCTCCTCCCTCTCTCTCTCCTCTCTCCCTCCTCTCCTCCTCCACTCCCACCTTTCTCTCCTCATCTCATCTCATCCTCATCCTCATCACCTCATCCTCCTCCTCTCCTCTCTCCTCTCTCCTTTACAATGCATCTCGCCAGTACATACATGTACCTATATAGTCTGTCTGTTGTTCGCCATTTCATAAACACGTATGGATTCCGCATTGACGGAGGGAAATACAGTACCTCCAGCTACAGCCTACAGGTACCTAGTAATGCATTCCCACCACGCGTGAGTAAGCCTCAGGCATCATCATGGTTGTTAAGTGCCAACACAGGTACCTCTGTACCTCTCACCTCTTAGGCCGGGCAGGGCATCACGCGTTGACGCAGTGGTAGTACATCACGTGCCATCTCTCCCGCGCAACCATCGTCCCGCTATCCGTCGGCTTCTCTCTCCCGCCCGTGGCCCGACTGTGCTGAGACTGGAAACAAGCGAGCCCGAGCTCCTCTCTCGGTCTCCTCCCTGTGCAGCTCAGCTCCCCTCTTCACAGTCTTGGCTCTGATTACACGCTGACGGCTGACTGCCAGAGAACCTTTTTTCCAGACACCCACGTAGGAGGTGCCTAACCTCCTATTGCTTAGGTATCATCATCATCATCATCATCATCACTCGGCAAGCATTGCATAAGGATTCGTGGCGAGCTTGGCATCTTCCACCGATCGCTCCTGCTTTACCTGTCCATGCTCATGCTGATGCCTCCTTTTCATCTTCTTCCGAGACCGAGTCCGAGTCTGCCTCTGGTTGTTCTCAAGCTCGTCTTGGCCCTCGTCGCCAAGGATGGACATGGATACAAACATGGCCTCTATACCTTTCCGCCACTTCTTCATCTGCGACTCCTCCTCCTCCTCTCTCTCCTCTCTCTCCTCTCTCTCCCTCTGATCATCGACGCCACCACCAGCTGCTACATTGCTGCTGAAGAATGTGGAGATTCGTGGCAGACTTTGTAAAATGCCCCGTAGATTCGTGAAATCATCATCCCCATCATCCGCATCATCATGATTGACAGCCGTATCAGCAGTAACCATCAGCAGCTGTTGAAGCATGCGAAACGAATAGTATGCAGCCTGGTATTGAGCATCCAGGTGGACCATCTGCCATTTGCGTTCCTTGCCCTCTTCTTTACTACTACCTATACCTTGGAGTACGACCTGCACCGCATCCTCGATACTCGGCAACGTGAGACCTTCGTAGTGAAGATATGTGAGAACATGCTCCATCACAACAAATCGCCACGCATCTGCTTCTTGCTGCAGATTGATACCCTTCGCCGTATCCAGTCCATTTTGCAAACAGGATGCGAGACGAGCCGATGTCGAAATGATGCCTTCCGTGTCGCTGTCGCTGCCGCTGCTGTTCATGAGTTCGAGCAGCACGGCCGAGATCCGAGCGCCCGTGCGCCGATATTCCTGTATGTTGAAGAAGTCATGCTGTTGTTGTTGTACATGTGGTTGTAGTAGTACTAGTACAATCGAATAAGCCAACACACGAGTCTCCCTACCCACATTCCACGCCGTCGACCTCGCAGGATCATCAGAAATGAATGGAAGGTAAACTCTCATCGGACCCGTCATCTCGCCGCGAGCTTGCAACTGCACTTGATGCACCAGTTCAGATACTCTCGAATCTCGAGACGCCAGAGAATTCTTCAAAATGTCGTTGCTGCGAATCTCTGCGAGCTCTTGGACTTCCTTGCTAGTATGGAACTGCTGCGCAAAAGCCTGATAATCTTCGCGATCATCCAGAAGACCACCACCAGGAGAATCTGCTGCAGCTGCTGCAGCTGCTGCAGTGAGTTGCAAAGCTTGTCCCAAATTGCAGAAAAGGTCGAGAGACATGAAAAACGCAGGCTTGATCAAACTCGACAGATGACACTTTTCTCGCCTGAGAATTTCTGCGGGACGATACTCGTATCCCTGAAGAACCGTCGTCGTCTCTCCCATTTCCGTGACTGTGAGATCACGAAATGGGACAATTCTCGTTTGTGCGCCAGCTTCAAAGACGATGAGATCTGAATCATCGGAAAATATCGTAATGGGCGACGCTGCTTCCTGTACGCCAGAAATCATGGCTTGTGCTGCTGCTGCTGCTGCTGCTTCCGCTGCGGCAACAACGCAAAATGGATCTGCCTCTCCCGGAACGACAAATGTGACATTTGCGTATTTGGACCGCACCAGCTCCTCTACCACCGCAAAGACCAAAAACGGAGGTGGCGGTAAACTCTTTCTCGCAGATCCGCCTGCAGTCATCGTCGTCGTCATCATCGAATAAGAAGAAGAAGAAGAAGAAGGTAAGCCCGACGGAGATGTTTTCTTGAATGCCTTTAGTCGTGCAATATAACTCTGCAGTCGATCGATTCGGACGTCTTTTTTGGATGCGGGGAGTGCGCCGTCGAAGAGGATGGAGTCTCTAGAAAACTGGGTGTCAGATATATACAGGTAGGTATCCATACATCCATACATTCTTCCGTCTTCATTTTTTTTCTTGCAGCAGGTAAGGTACATACATCCGAAACCCATAACCCTGAAGCTGATCTAACCACTCGATCGTCGCATGCACACAATCTCCATAAGTAATAACGGTAGATGTCGACGAGGAGGACGAGGAGGAATTTTCACACAGTCCATGGTAAATATGATGCGCCAGACCCGGTCCATCAATAATTGCAACTCCTGGACCATCATCATCATCATCATGCACGAGGTGACTGCTGCTGCTGCTGCTGCTGCTGCTAGGCGATTCCCTCGTCTTCGTCGTCGTCGTGCTGCTGTTTGCGACACCAAGTGTTGTCTTTCTCGCATGATTTCGTATGCGAAGACCGAAGCGTGGGATGCCCATTTTCTCAAGTCTTGGTGTTTCTCTATCTCTCTATCTCTCTTTCTCTCTTTCCACTCTCTCTTGAAAACAAATGTGCAAAGGGAATGAATCGGCCAACGGAGGCTCGATTTGCAATCTGCAGTTTGTGAGATGGCGTGTTTTTTTTTTTCTTGTCTCGGGCATGGAGCATGGAGTACCTACCTGGTACACTGTAGGTGGGTACCTACCTTACTTACCTTTTTGGGAAATCAGGCGGTTTCGGGATTCAAGTGGACGATGCGACCGACAGGCACAAATGTTGGTCGCTGGAGAAATGGGCAAAAATTCATTGAGAGCAAGAAAGAAAGAAAGGTGCAAAATGTGAAAGAATTGTTTGATGAGGTGCACCGGCACGATACCTTAATCGACCGGCCCCACACAAATTTCTACGCTTTCATACTCCCACCCTTGTGTGAGTACATGTAAGGTACCTTGTGTATGGACAGTGCCACTCTGGTAACAGCTAGGTACATACTCCTCCTTCAACCGGGCACCTCACCGAGTAGGTCCAGTGCCATTTCTGTGTGAGCTAGGCATCGTCTTCAGCCTACCCAGTGGCACAGTCTACTCCTCGTATGGAGGCACGTCTCCTCAGTACATGTAGTTAGTCCCTTGCCATTCCGAACATGGCATCCTGCTTGGAACGAGGTTCTTCCTGCGACAACATGTCGAACAACCGCTGCTCCACTCGGAACGGTGGTCGACTTCTCACCAGTGGCGAGGCTGATGCTCGTGGCCTCGGTGGAGGACGTGCTGATGGGCGGAATCGCATGCGCTGGGTGACATGACCCAGGAAACCCTCCTCGTCCTCGTCCTCCTGCTTCTCCTGCTTCTCCTGCTTCTCCTGCTTCTCCTGCTTCTCCTGCTTCTCCTGCTTCTCCTTCTGGTCCTTCTTCTTCTGCTTTCTCTGCTGCTTCTTCTTCTGCTTCCTCTCCTTTCTCTTCTGCTCCTCGTGCTTCAGCTCTGCCACTACAGCCTTCAAATCAGACAGCTCGCGCAGAAGCTTGTCGATCCTGAGGAATTTCTTGGGCTTCACATTTGGTGGCTGCGGCGGGTTCGAGTACATCGGAGCTGCCTGGGGGACCGCGTTGCACTTTGCCTCCGCGCGGACGCTGCAGATGTGACCCATGCGAACCATATGGCGACAAGTCTCACACATACGGTCAGGCAGGATGCGCTTCATCGTATAGCGAATGCAGCTACAGTCGGTTTCCGTGGTCGTGGTCGTGGGTGTGCGGTGTGAGGTGTGAAATGTGCGGTTTGCGGCGCAGAGTTTGGATCCAGCAGTGCGGTGAAGACGTGCAGGTTCGTGAAGAGGCGTGTGTGATCTGGTGGAGTGACGCCGATGTGTCTCAACTGTGAAGAGGTGCCACAGGCTTCGGGCACGAACCTCAGAAACATCAGGGGGTCCATTGATTGAATCTGCATAGAGTCCCTTCATATGAACTCTACAATTTGGACCTCGTCATGCCTTGGACCCCTTTCACCTTGCGTCCTCCCAGCTGTTTATCCTCGACGCCATGCTTGTTGAAGAGCTCTTGCGCTCGCTTCTCCTGGGCTTGTAGTCTCTCAATGCACTCTCGGGCTCTCGCTCGGTTCTCCCTTCTGCCCATTTGGTTCAGATGTACCTCATCAGGCCCATCTGCAATCCTGATGGTTCTGATGTGAGCCCACATGTTGGCCAGTGGAGTATCCTGGCATACACCCATCGCACCATGGGCTTGTACAGCACGATCGATGACAGTACATGCCATGGTGGGTACCAGAATCTTGGCCTGAGCAATTTCGACCAGTGCCGCCTTTGCATCGCCTTGGTCAATCTTGATCGCCGCATTCAGCACAATCAGGCGAGCAGAGTCGATCTCGAGGCGAGACTTGGCTACCCACTCCAAGAGGACGCCATGCTCACGCAGAGGTTTGCCGAAAGGCACTTTACGATCATCATTGAGGCGTGCAATCATCCACTCCAGCGCAACTTCAGCACTGCCGATGGCTCTCATGGCGTGGTGAATGCGTCCAGGTCCGAGCCGGCCCTGCATGATTTCGTTCCCTTTGCCAAACCCGAGCAGCAGGTTCGAGACTGGAACTCGGACGTTATCGAAAGTGATGTGACCATGGCCATGCGGAGCGCTGCAATCGAGGTCAATCATGGTCATTTCGGTCAGTAGATAGGAGCCATTTCACTTACTCATCGTAGCCATACACGCTCAACATGCGATGAACAACCAGACCCTTTGCATCACTTGGTACCAAAACCATGCTTTGGCGACCGTAGCGGTCCTGATTGTCTGGGTCGCTGAGACCCATGACCACGTAGATTTTGCAGCGATCATCGCCAGCACCCGAACTCCACCATTTGGAACCGTTCAGGATTAACTCACTACCCTCCTTCCGGATACTCAGACTGATGTTGGAGCCATCACTACTGGCCTTGTCTGGCTCTGTCATCAGAAATCCAGACCTGATCTCGCCAGCCAGAAGAGGTGCCAACCACGTCTTCTTCTGATCCGCTGTGCCATACCTGGCAATGACCTCCATATTGCCCGTGTCTGGCGCGGCACAGTTGCATGCTTCTGAAGCAATCTTACTCCGTCCCAGCAATTCAGCCATCAAGCCATATTCAACATTGGTAAAACCACCAGCTCCTCCATATCTGTCGTACTCGCTGAGGTTGGCGTAATGGTTCTTGGGTAGAAACATATTCCACAGTCCAAGCTTGCGGGCTTGTTCCTTGAGATCATCCAGAATCGAAGGATGGCCATCCCAGCGAGCGTCCCCCGTCCCAATTTGTGTGGCATATACTTGATCGGCGGGAATACATTCCTCATTGACCCATTTCTCGATTATGTCCAAGTACTTCGCTGCTCTTTCACTCACAAAGGGCTTGGCGATGGGCGGAACGCGTCCAGAGGCCGATGGTCGTGGACCAGCATTTGCAGTGGGGAGAGGTGGTGCGTTCGACATTCTATTTCAATCTCGTGTTCGGCGCGTATGTAGTCGAGAGAGAGAGAGAGAGAGAGAGCGTGTGCTGTAGAGGACTAGATGCAATGATCAGATTGACTCTTCACCTACCTGTATGGCCTCACATCCTCGGGAAACGAGCAGTGCTGCCGGGCTACCCCTCTCTTTCTCTCTCCCAGTGGCACAGAGGTGAGTATCTCGGCGACAGGTTGGCGAGTGCGACACGCCATGAAAGACATATCCTGCAATCAAGTCGATGCCGAGGGACTTGCATCTTGACGCGGCGCTCACCGTCCAGTACAGGAGAAGTACAGGTATTTGGTACGTGGAGTTGCGTTCGTGGACGTCGAAGCATGTCTCTTCTGGTGTTAGACAGCAAGACTTGGCGAGTCGGCGGACTTGGCAGCCTCGTAGACAACATGACACTTGCACATAATGTGATGGCCATGTCTACATGTACATGTACATACAATGAACGGTCAAAACAACGCACACTTCCGTGCTTGGACACGAGATGGAGACTGGCTTCGCCTTGTACCCTATGGCTCGATATCCGCAATGTCAAAGTAGAAGTATGGTCTGCCATCCAAGGCATGTAATAGTACATACAGTACACGAATTCCAGGTCAGTTCAATTCAATTCACTCGCTACAAACAGTTGGTTGGAAGTGCAACTATTGGGGGCCGCAGTAGCTCAGTCTCTCTCTTCCTGTCACTCTGCCCATGAAGCAAAATGCCACCTGCGGCCCTCTGTAGCACATCTCAGTAGTAGTAACTTTTGAAAAAGCAGGTCTGATACTCCCGCCGAGTCTTTCACACCACCAACGCATTCATCGCTGCGCTATCCTCCGTTGTCGTCGTCGTCGGAATCCTCCAACATCATCTCTCCACGTCCCCTCGCTGCCCGTTTTGCATCATGCAGATACACTTGACACCGGATCTTGCACACCACCTAATCCATCATGGTGTCACCATCCGCGTTGTAGTCGTCGGAGTCCTCCAAGATCGTCTCTCCACGCTCACGTGCTGCCTGCTTTGCCTCGTCCAGATACACTTGGTTCTCTCCCTCGTAACCGTTGTAAGTCATCATGAAATGAATGTCCGTGCTGTACATGCCGTGCTGAGTGCGAGCATAGCTGCTCTCGGCATCTTGCTCAGCGAGGCGAGCGAGGAGCTCGTGCTTCCTGCCAACCGCAGACACATGCTCGGACCTGCATACTTTCCTCAGCTCACTGACATGCAGCCATGCGTCGAATTCGGCGAGGCGTGCAACCACCTCTGCATGGCTCTCGTCAGCTTGTCGTGCGGGGGTAATGTCGCGGCGCACGAAGATTTGTCCGAGTTCCTCGTTGCTGCAAATGGTGCGCGGGTTGAGCAGGCTCTCGCGCGTGACGGTGGCCTTGGTGAAGACCTGTGGTCGATTAGCTGTTGGGCGTGTGCCTTTGACGGTGAATTCGCCATCGGACTCGGAGTCAGGCTCGATGAATGAGGAGGGTTTCGAACTCGCGCGTCGGGCTCGCAGGATGCGCTTCTTGACGGGACGTCCGCTCTCGCTGGCGACGGAATCGGCACGCTTGATGTATTCTTCGTCATCGGCGTCCTCGTCGCTGTTCTCGTTGCTGGAGATCCAGTCCACGTTCGTGCTTCCTCGTTTCTTGCCAGAGGAGCGTGCGGGGAGGTAAATCTTGCGTACAAGGACTTTGCCTGTGATCCCCTTGTAAATTTCCAGCTCGATTCGGAGCTTCTCCTGCTCCCAGACCTCTTGCCGTCGAATGACATTGTCCAGCTTTCCGTGAGTAACGCGTGCCGCCTGGCGAGTGCCCTCTTTCTTCTCCCTGACACGCCTGTTCTCTTTGCGCGCGTCTTCCTTGCGGAGAATTTCCTTTTGTCGGTGTTTGATCGCGTCGATCTTTTCTTGCTTTCGCTCTTCGGCTCTGGCCACTTTAGCTGCTTGAACAGCTTTCTCCTTTTGCTCGATTATGATGCGGCGTGCTTTGGCTGCGGCGATGCGCTCGTCACGCAGCTTGCGGCGGCCTTCTTGGTCGTCGTCGAGTTCGACTGGTATCAAAGCCGATCCATCGATGAGTCCGTCAAAACGCTCGCGGCAGGCCTTGGCAGTGTATTTGCGAGTTTTGGTCTTGTGGGCGAGATAGATCGATACGTCTTGCCACTTTTTCTTTTCGAGATTCTGTATCAGCTCAGTGAATTTCTTGTCGACTTCCTCCTTGATGTTTTTGAGCATCTCGTCCTGGTAAGAATTAGCTTGGCGTAGATGTGAGGACTGATGCCGAGAACTTACCTCGCCGACGTGCCAATCGCTCAATTCATCGTCCAGTCGCTCATCCTGGTACTTCTGGAGGATCTTGCGCAGTCGCAGCCAACGACTGCCAACTGTCTTCGAGGCATATCGCATGCGACCCTCGTCTATGAGCACCCTTGCCACATGCTCATCCGGATAGCCCTGCTGCTTGAGGTCGATGATGCGGGCGTCGTCGGAGTCGTAGTTGGCGGAGACGCGCTTCGCCACAGCCGCAAGGCCACCAAAAACGCGCCGCTTGTTGGGCCGCTCCTCGGTGACCTCGCCTGTCTCGCCATTCTGTGGGTTGTAATAACCCGTTGCCGGGTCCCATAACTGCAGTATCTCTGTTAGTGTCTCCTAGAAAGTGGTCGCAATAGTCCCCGAGTCTGCGGTCGTGGTCGGTAGGCAGGCGACAGAAAGAAAGGTACTTACATCTCGGTCCGAGTCGCTCTCGGCGGCGCGGAGTTTTGTGAACTCCTTCTCTCGCAGCTGAGCGAGTGCTTCGTCGGCTATGATTGTGGTCAGCTATTCGCCTTGCCAGCTTGTGCAGAGATGGGAGTACATACGTGTGTTGAGTGGTGCTGGGGCGCCGCCCCAGAACATCTCGAGCGAAAGGTCCGCCATGTTTGGTGTAAGTGTAAGAGAGAGAAAGAAGCTGCGTCGCAGTTATTATAGAGGCGGAATTTAGCGCGGGCTTGGCAGTAATCAGTGAATTCCAGTAGTAGTGTTACGGAGAATGCCGTCGACCGGTGACTGCTACTGCCTCAGGTAATCTTTTTTCGAGTCTTAAGTCAAACTTGGAAAGGGGATACAGCTATACATTAGTAGCGTAGCCGGTAAGTTCCGTTGGGATAGGTAGAGAATACTATATTGCCCTAGATAGTCTTTCTTCCAAGTCTTAAGTCAAACTTGGAAGGGGATACAGCTATACATTAGTAGCGTAGCCGGTAAGTTCCGTCGGGATAGGTAGAGAATACTATATTGCCCTAGATAGTCTTTCTTCCAAGTCTCAAGTCAAGCTTAGAAAGGGGATACAGCTATACATTAGTGGCGTAGCCGGTAAGTTCCGTCGGGATAGGTAGAGAATACTATATTGCCCTAGATAATCTTTCTTCTAAGTCTTAAGCAATATTTGTTAAGGGGACACAGCTGTATATTGTTAGCGTAGTCGGCAAGTTCTGCTAGGATAGGTAAAGTTATTACTATTGCTTTAGGCAATCTCTTTCAAGTCTTAGGTAATATTTGTTAAGAGGATACAGCTGTATGTTATTAGCGTAGTCGGCAAGTCCAATCAGGAGAAGTAAAGTTACTAGTATTGCCTTAGAGAATCTCTTTCCAAGTCTCAAGGTATATCTGTTAAGGGTATACAGCTGTATGTTATTAGCGCAGTCAGCAAGTTCTGTTAGAGAATAGCAGTAGTTATTGCTAGGGCAGAGGTAGGAATGGAATGATTTGACGCTGCATATACGGGCTTGCCCAGATAGAAGTCGGCCAGGTCAGGGATGTTCTCCGGGGCCTCCAACTTCGCTGTTGTTGCGGCTGGCGCGGCCACCGTGACTGTCGGAGGGGTTGGGTCTCGAGTGGCTGTCGCTGGTATTGGCTTTGCCTGGAGGACGGGCAGATCATCTGGGCTCGCTATGCCAGAGTAAACGAGGTCCAAATGGTCTTCTCTTCCACGTTTCTCGGGAGCAAACGACAAGGTCTAGAACACGCGTGTCACTGCTGCTCCTACAGAGCGTTTTGCTCGACGACGAGCGATTGAGGGATAGGGCTGGCGGAAGCAGTCACGCCAACTTTGACCAGCTACTGTGAACGCGAAAGGGGTTCCCAGCGAACGGAGGCAGTACTTGGAGATCGCGATAGGTTCCCTATATAGTTTCCTAAGCTCTTCCATACAAGGAGAAGTCCGGGAGTGGGAAGGAGCAGGAAAAGGCCGAGAGTGTGCCCCGTGGAGCTTTTTGGAAGTCCGTGCTACTAGGAATTCCGCCAGGGTGCTATTAGTTCCTCCGTCTTGGGATCTCTCCACCAGTATGATGTTCACAGTCCATCGGCGGAATCTGGCCATGAAAGTCTTCAAACGCGCTCCCCATCAAGCTCTTCTCTCCGACGATTAGATCACGGCAACGGGCCCTGTCCACCACTGCCTGAGGCCGACTTGTCCGTGAGGTAGCAATACGCGTCGAACAAAGGAGGCGGCAAGTTGACACGGATAAGAGCATCATTGTGGACAGATCAATCACCTGCAAGCAATGCTGTGGACAGGCAGAACATGTTATATATCATTGATTGCATCAAGACTGAAAGCATTCATTCTCAAAGGGGACGCGTGAAGTGAGAGCCAAGACGGGACGTAACAATATTTGACCGAAGCCCTCCCCCGATGCCCGCGACCCCTAGCCCCCCCCCCCCTA